TACCTAGTCTTATCATAACACGAAACAGCCTATCGTTGTAAGGAAAATATTTCGGTTTTAGTTATTTTCGTTTTAGTTCTGTAAGACCTACAAGGCCACAGTTAAGTTTTATCTTAAGTTTAATTGTTGAGCGCAACCACATGTGATGAATCGCTATTGTAGATTGTAGTCAAGCTACCTCGACTCCCGATTACTCAACGTGTCGTGTACCTATACGGTGCAAACAGTATTGGTATGTTTTGATTGCTGTAGTTACTACAGTGCATATTTATGCGTATGTAATTCGTTCGGATTTTCTCAGATTTGTTACGGCATTCTAAATTTGTTATTCCCCCAACACCACACAAACATTCTGTTTGGGACACTTTTCTTGGAACCTGTATAACGTATTTGGTGACAGATGTTTTTTTGGTGTAAGGGGGCATAAATTTGTGTACCCCATTTTTCCTCTTGGTAACAAATTGGCTGAAGAATGTCAGGTAATAAATGTTGTAGATTACCACTCACTTGTTCCCTTTCTGTTACCAGGCGAGTAGGCTTGCTTGATGATTTATGGTTGTACTTTATTGTAAGATAAATTTACGGTTCATGCTTGGTAGACTTTCTCAGTTTACATTCAGGTTTACAAGTGCTGTGTTACCTGTGCAAGCGAAAATGTTGATTGAGAAATAAAGAAAACAGATTAGTATGGCAGTGGAAATGAAATTGAATGCTTTAAATAAACTGGACAAAGGGGAAAATATTAATAAAATTACCATGGATTTAGGTGTTGAACGATATGCGTTCCACATCTAAACCCATGATAATGAGTTGTTAATAACCGATCCCTTCTTCAGTAAAACTTGACGCCCACCAGTGGCCGAGCGGTGAAAGTCGCTGAACACTGGTAGTTCGGTCCGAGGTTCAAATCCCGCGAACGGGCTGGCTGCATGGGCGTTTTCGTGTTTTTCTCCATGTGTAATGTGTATACGAGCCAGTTTTCCTCAGAAAGTTCTCCATGAAGGCCTACCTCTCCTTGAGCAAATAATCCTTGAGGCTTTGCCGTAATCTCATAAAACCAAAAAACGTATAATTCGGCATTTTCGCTAACTGGTCACAGTCTACGTTAGGTAGAGTTTGCGGTACTCTACAGGATTTCGTTTCTCTTGAGATATGTCCTGTGGATTTTTTCCTCCAGGACTGTGGCTATGAGTCCAGATCCCTCCATCCTCGCTTTTGCGTCCATAATCATTTTTGAAATAAAAATATATTGAAGCCAAATGCTATCGCCGCTTATTTAAAAAAAATACTATAGCGAATATAAAGTCTATGGCAATACTTATTACTCTAGGAGGCTTGATGCTTTGGTTGCATATTCTGGTTTTACAGTGGGAGTAATTCCGCTTTTACCAGCTTATCACGGAATATCACGAGGTGCCTCACACATAAGGGCTTATCAAACTGGTCCACCATAAAGATATAATACCTTAAGACAAAATACAGTCAAAAGAAGAAAACATTGAGACGCATTGTCTCTGGAGGGGCAAGTGAGGATGCGATGACAAAAGATTAGTATTGTCCTATTAGGGGTGTGGCGCAGTACTGCGACTCCTGCTAAATTACTGAAAGTTTTTAAGTGCAAAATTTGCAATAAAATTAATACCAAGGTTACACATGTTGATCATAACTTTGCGTGTTTGCGGTATGTAAGAGAAAAAGCTGCAAATGGTCTATTATTATTCCTATCTCCAAGTATTTCGTAAGCGGCGGGTGTGTTCTGCGTAGCTTTATAATAAAATTTAGCATTTATTCTGTGCAGAAAATAAGTTCCACTTTCAGGTCAGCATGCAGACTTTTGTTTATGCTATGAGGAACTGTAAAGATATGCCGTCTTTACGCATTTTTTTAGTTTCGCAGAGGTAGTTAATAAACTCAAGATATAAAGTTAATAAAGACAAAAAAAAGTTGTGCAAGTCATCTTATTAAGAAAACTTATCATTGATATGATGAAATGAAGACTGAAAAAAATAGAAAATTGTATGGTAAGTTAACACTACATGAAACTCTAAAAATACGATACTTTAAAAATTTTGTCATTTTACTGTTGAATTTTATCTAACTGCAAGAGCGGAGAAAAGATTTTTTAATAATAAAATTAAAAAGATAAAAATGGGTTGTTTTGGCAAGAGCATGTTGTTAAATTGCGAGAGCATAGAACACCTCAGAAAACCCTTTGCCATGACGTTAAAATAAGCATCCTTTCAGATTTTTTCATTTTTTTTTATTTATTTTTAAGTTTTGGAGGTCTTAAAGAAGTTAAAATTGGGAATTCTCTATGACAATGAACGACGTGGTGGTTAATCATCTTAAATCAAACTCCGAAACAATACTGATTAAATAAATCCATAAACTGATAAAGAGGCAAGTCTTTTATTGCTGAGTGTATAGCGAAAAGGCCAATTAGCTATCAAGCTTTTACCACACGTTGAAAAAGTTAAAATTCTTCCTTACTAAGACAGATAAACTACAAACTAATTTTTTGCATATTGGTGCCATTTAGTAAATTTATTCAAACAACAAGGAACAGAAACACAAATCTATACAGTCCACCACTTCCTCCTTTACGTTAAGTAGCAAATTTTTTATCACCATGGTAGCTTAAAATTACTTGAGGCTTATTTAATGCAATGAAAGCGTTGGATATATCTGTCAATTCCAGAAAATGCAGGATTAAATAAATGATTCATTCGTTTTAAAAAGGATATACTTTCAAAAGTATTTATGTAGACACATGAAAGATGTGTGAAAAGAACCACAAACTCGCAAAGTTTATACATCCTTTACAAATATTTAGTATGTGCCAATTTGGTGACACGACACACGTCTAGACGATAATCGAGCTCATTCCATACATTTTTTAGGCCCGCCAGCGGCCGAGCGGTAAAGTCGCTGAACACTGGTAGTTCGGTCCGAGGTTCAAATCCCGCGAACGGGCTGGCTGCATGGGCCTTTTCGTGGTTTTCCCCATGTGTAACGTGTATACGAGCCAGTTTCCCTTAGAAAGTCCTCCACGAAAGGCATCCCTCCCCTTAGGCAGATAGTCCTAGTGTGCTTTGCCATAATTAAATACACCACACCACCATACATTTTGTAGCATTGTTATCCAGATGTTCGTCCTGTCAATTGACCAGATGTTCGGAATACCACAAAAAACTATATGGAAGATTTAGCGTCAACGATTGTACCGTACCATGTGCAACTTCCGCAACAATTAAACCGGGAGGATTACGCCCGTCGACTAGATTTTTACGTCACAATGCAGGAAGTATTGGAGGACGAAGATTTCGCCATTAAGTTGATATCCTACGATTAGGCAACGTTCCACTTATCTGGGAAACTTTGTGAAACAGTGAAAAAAAAACTTGTTGAGTTTGTGGTTCTTTTCATATATTTTTCATGTGCTTACCCATAATGCTTTTGAAAACATATCCTTTTCAAAATGAATGAATCATTTGTGCTAACCTTGTAAGGCTCGGCTAAAAGACGGTAGCTATTGTAAACCAATTTAGCCAAACAACTCGGGCATTTTAAGTACTTCATTCGCACCTGGAGCCGTTTCTGATATTCTTCAGACATTTCTGGCAGGGATAAGGAAACACATCTTCAAGCTATGATCGAGCTTCGAAACTTAGTTTCGAGAAAACCTGCTCCAATCATTTAATACTCACCAGTGACCGAGTAGTTAAGGTATTTGCAGTTCGGCGAAAGGGTTCAAATCTCTGTGAATTGAGACAATAGCAGAGTTTATGGGACTCCATTCGTTGGCGGCATCTGAAGAATTAAGGCGGTAATTAATATTTTCAAGATTTCGAGTACAAAGTTTCAGATTAATTTTATATCTTCCTATCAAGCAAGCATTGGTGTAATAAAACTCTTACTTATACTGGAAAATTTACCTTGGTACTTCAGCGGCGTTTTGAAAGCATGGATGAGGAAACGCAGTAAATGTTGTCTATACGTATTGCGTAGAAAACGTAACGTTTATCTAAACGTAAAATGTTGTAAGAAACGTTCACGATTAATGAGCAATCATTGGTTGTAATTCAATGGCTTTTACCGACCGAGCGGTAAAAGCCATTGAACACTGGTAGTTCGGTCCGAGATTCAAATCCATCAAAAAGGGCTGGCTGCATGGGCGTTATCGTGGTTTTCCTAATGTGTAACATGTATATGGACCAGTTTTCCTTAGAAAGTCTTCCACGAAGGCATCCCTTCCCGTAGGCAAAGATGGCCCTCTAGGCTTTCCCATAATCACATAAACCAAACAAAACCAATGTTTATTTTTGTTTAGCATTCGCTTCTTAACGAAGCCCAAAAGGGCTTTAAGTTTACTATAATTTATCAGTAGTGTTTATAGACGGTGATTGCTCGGGTGAAATAGCGAAACATTTTACAGGTACCAGATGAATATGCACTTATACTAACATGAGAAAGTTGTTTATCTTCTGTATATTTAAATAGTGAAAGAATATGTAAATAAAAATAATAGAATATGATAATAAAATAATGATAGAATATGTAAATAATATATATTATGATGAATATGATAAAATTAATAGAATATGAATATGTAATAAATATGATAATAAATAAGAAATGATAATAAGAATATGATAATAAAAATATTTAATCTTTTTAATTAGATATATCGGGAATTAACTGAATTTTATTTAAATCGCATTAAAAAATGTAAAAGTAATATTCTTAAGAACTACATTATTGCTTTAAAATAGCTGTTTGTTAATTAATAACGGACAAGTTAAATATGAAAGATTAATATATTCCTTTTTTCCGAATGGCAGCAGACTCGAATGAAAAGTGAAACAACGCAAAATCGTGTTTCGAGACTAATAGCCTTTTTGGGCTAATAACATAGGCTCTCAAATTATTTAATCAATAATACTTTTTAAAATAATTGAAGTTTTAATTTAGGGATGATTGAATGCTAATTTTAATTTCAGAAAATGAGTGAGGGAGATTCGGTTGAATTATTACCATTAGCGGACAGAAAGAAAGGATTGTCATTATGGCTAGCAGCTATTTTCATCGTTGGAGAAATGGCTGGCAGTGGAGTTCTAGCTCTACCAAAGGCTCTTGCTGACGCAGGTAACATTCACTTATTAACCATTCCGATGCAGTAACCCTATTCCTTATGTTCGAGATAAGCAATGTGATTTGCATTGAAAAAAATCGGGAAAGCTTTCAAAGAATTCCTTTATTTCAGATTGAAAGAAGTTATAAAATAAAAATATGATCCAATGCACTGTTCTTTAATACTGCTCACTTAATTTCACTAAGCTTTATTACGGCGAATGCATGTTTTTCAAAGGTAGCATTGTCTCCTCCTTTGTAGGATGTCTTCGCACTCGCTGTTTGTCATCTGCAGTTTATCATGTGAGCAAAAGTGCTTTCAAAATCAAAGGAAACGGCTTATAAAACACAGAACCTACACCAAATGAGAATGGGATATAGGAGGATGAAGGGACAGTAGGTAATCCACATGTACTTTTTCCTAGTTCCCATGACGGTCCAGACGTAAGTCAGAATGCAAATGCTCAATTCACATTTGTTCTTCATTCATTTATTATACAATGATTATGATGAAAAGCATGATTTTTTTATTTTTCCTCTTCTGAAATAGTTCATGATATTTAACGACAGGCGTTCAATATTGCTTCATTGCCGTTTCTTTTTAGCCCAAAGGGGTATTAATTTCGTTTTGGCATTTTACGTTGAAAACTTTAAATGTCCGTTTCACTTTTCAAATTGTTGTCACCAAAATATTTTTCTCCCTGTATTACATTTAAAGAAATTAAACAATGGAGAAACTGTGTGAATGTATGTATGTTTCCTCGCATTGTGATAAAGCAACGGTACCTAGAGTCATCCAATTTTGAATAACTTAATCCTCCACCGAATATGGGCATCTATGAGCCCTAATTTGGAATGCTTTTATTATCGATTTCATATTTTGTAAAACGTTAACGAATTTTTGATTGACAAACTCGACGATATCAAAGCGGACAATAACACTGTAGGAGGGCGAAAAAATACTTTTATCTCTAGTTCGCGAGACCGTGTACCGGAAATTCTAAAGATATGCTCATTTAAAAATTATTTTGCCATATTGCTGTTGAATTGAATTTTATGGTTTAAGTTCGAAGAAGATGATATGTAATAATAAAGGTAACACGCAAAACGTTAAGAAAACTCTTCTTTGGACGTAATATAAAATCTGAAAGCGTTCAGATTTTTACTTGTATTTTTTTTCTGAATAACTTATTTAAAACTTCAGACTGTCTTGCTTTCATATATGTATTTATTTTCGCAACCGTCGGTCGTAGACGTGTAATTCAAATGACAAAAATGTTTTAAATGATACAAATGCTCATGTTTTGGCCTTTTACTTTAGACATCAGATTCGTAAAAATAGAAACTCTTAAACATTCCTCCGGTCCCTATATTTATATTTAGGAAAATTTTGTACTCTTTACTTACATATAAAAGTTTGATTTCTGTGTGAGCAAAATTAACCGAAATATTACCTTCTAAAATGTGTAAATTTGTACTTTATTTTCAATATGTATTCAAGGGTCAATTAATAAATAAATTGGAATAATGCGAGGTTGATATTTTACCGTTTAAATGGCCCTTAATGATATTCTTTGATTTACTGATTCTTTGGTGCCTTTATTTCTGTTATTGTAGGCATGGCTTCCTGTCCCCGGATTATATTATTGCCTAGGACGTGCAGTCCTTGGGAAGGGGGGCAACGTACGAATTGTGTATGTAGCCAGACGATTTTAGTGCAGTTATATGGGGAACTTTTGTATTTGTCTGTATAATGTTAGAGGAAAACTTAGAGAAATGGTGATCTGCCGGGAAAATAAGATTACTGGGGCTAGTCTATGTAACATTGAGTAAATGGCCGTCTTGTTAATTTGTCAAAATATTGCCAAACTGTCAACGGTTTTACAAAGTTGGTGATCATTTGGCGATATGCCGTCCCTGTATCACCGTAATAGGTATCGTAATTGATTTCATATGTAACTGTAAAACCTTATCCGGCCATCATATGCCTTCAAGTGATTCCGAGGTTCTGTATGTTCTGTCTGTTCTGTGACGAGTTCTACAACTATTTTTGTGGAAAGTTCCAAAACTGAAATGTTCCTTTTGGTAAAACTGAATTTTAACAAGCTATTATAGTTTCTGTGTGCTTTCAAAGGGTTAGGAACCTGTACGCACGCAACAATCATTTTGTTACATTTGGTACGCCAAAAGAAATTTTATACATGTCATTTGTAGATTTTCAAAGTCTAAGAACACGTTACTAATACTATGAAGTTTTATTTCATTTAGAATCTTAATCTGTGGTAATCGTGTAAAAAAGGTCATGAAAATACAAATAATATTTTAATTAATGCAAATAATACTACGAATGGGCTACGGTGCCGATATTCAGGCCTGCTAGTGTTTTCTGAGGCACGACTTTTGTGAGATTCTATGAATAAGATCTTCGTTTTATAAAAAAACATTGTTGTGATTAATGTTTTTCAAATATCTGCGTGGTTTGCTAAGCATTTAGTTCTCAATATTAGAAACCCTTTCTAAGCTGAGATTTTATTTTTAGTTACGTAAAATGCAAGCATTCCACTCTTTACTTGTGAAAGGTCACTGTATATGATCTCCGATTTTGATATAAAACTACAGGGCAACCCCGCCAGATAAGCGTTCCGCGGCCAAAGCAAAATTTATAAGTTCTATGCACACCTGAAAAGTTATATAAAAACATTTCAGTATGAATGAAATCAATTCATTCTTTCCAAGCAAAGACCAATTGGTAAAAGTGTTTTTGTTGCCAAACCAGGAAACAAAACCTTTTAACACTTCAGAATAATACAATATGACGTCATGATTTAAATTTAATGTAATATAACGGCTTTTTCGCAATATCAATAAAAGAATTAACGTGGCAATAATATTGCGTCATTTATCCTAATCGGAAGTAAAGTTGCCAGCAGCAGCCATTTATTTAAAATGCTGACATTAACGAAAAGGTTTCAAATTACAATGTTACTTGCAATCGCTTACTTTTCTCAACGTCAGAATATGACCTTATTATAATAGATATATATTTCATGTTTGGCAGTGCTATTTTTATTTCACATTTTGTAAAATTTACAATTTTTTTAATTAACAAACTACGATTTGAAAGCGAGCAGTGGCAACACTTTTCGAAGTAATGCAGATTTTTGTCTCCAGCTCGCGAGACTGTTGCCACTCATAAAAATGAGTGCGGAAATTAGCGTTTTCTGAGTTTTTAATTAATAACTGGGCTGATCTGAAGTCGTACGAAGATGAGAATGGTCAAAATATTATCCCACGAATTTTTGGAATCCGGGTCTACCGCTCTGGAAACTCAACTCCCCGCCTTTCCGGAGGAGATAATGCCACAAACAGATTCGCACAGATTTTAATAGTATAGAACATTTCGGCCAATTTGATTGTACTGGATTCAAAACTTATGTTGTATTTTTTACAATGGAAACAAAATTTTGCCACATATAAAGTATAGAGACCGAAGGAATGAATAAAATGTTAGGTTAATAACTTTTACAAAATTGATGCGTTTAAATTTTAAAATACCAAAATATGAATTTTTTGGGTCATTTAAAATTTTGTAGTTTGAAGTATATACCTATGTTCGACGGTTGCGAAAGTAAGGGCCGGGCTTTTGCATGCATGCATGTATGCATGTATCTACAACACAATGTATCTACAACAGCACTGTAAATAATAGTAATAGTTACAATTAAACCTTACCGAGTTTATGTACTTTCCATGTGTCTGGACACTTTATGTGCTTTTATTTAATAGCGTAGGCATCCAGTCGAAAGTTAATCGAATGAGATCAAACGATAGTTTATCATTTCCTAAAAAAAAAAATAAAGTTGTGAAATTTTAAAGTTTCAGTTTTTTATTATACCCAAAGGGGCGTTTTTTTTAAATTGTGCGTTACCTTTATTAAATATCATATTCTTCGTACTTAAACCATAAAATTCTATCAAACAGCGATGTCGCAAAATATTTAAAAGAGCATATCTTTAGAATTTCCGATACAATATCGCGCGCTAGAGATAAAAATGTTTTTCCCCGTACAGTGTTGCCATTGCTCGCTTAGAAATTGTCCAGTTTATCAAAAACTCGTTGATGCTTTACAATATATTTAGATAATAAAACAAATTCCAAATTCGGGCTTTCAGAAGCTCGTATTCGGCTTGCGTTTTTCAAAATTTGATGGCTCTAGGTAACATTGTTTTATCACAATGCGAGAAACATACATATTCATTTATGCAGATTCTTTAATTTATTTAAATATAACACAGGGCGATAATATTTGGTGGCAACAAATTTGAAAAGTGATACGGACATTTAAAGTGAATCGACAAAAAATGTCAAAACGAAATTAATAGCTCTTCTTGAGCTAACGCTCTTTTGGGCTAATAAATTTTGTAACAAAACTTCTAACAGTATTCTTTAGTTTCCCTTCAGTTTTCTATTCTAACAGAGAGTAAAGAGGGACAAAAATAACTTTACAGGATGTACATGATTGTTATTTATTAAAGTTATAGCTTTGCGCGGTTTTACAATTTACTTAAAACATTTGTGATTTTCAGTAGCCAAAGGACATTCCTTTCGGTGTTTCTCAGGACAGTTAAAGGAGCTGTGCCAGAAAAACTAAATAAACTGTTTACTCATTGCCAAGAGAATTTTGTTTTTAAGGTAAAAATTCCTTGCTGTTAGTTAGCAAGCTGTACTGTGCGCACCAGAGTATGGCTTTTCCAGTTTAATTCTTAAAAAATCTGATGTGTGCACCACATGACTTCCTTTCACAGAATATTAAATTATACACATTCTTTGCTGCGTTTCATTTAAACTTATTTCCTAGATTTTCAATATATTTCTCGTTCAATTTATTCAGTTCTCACTTCGCGTCAAAGGAAAACTACATTAAAACTCGGAACATCTTCATTAAAAATTGTAAAATACAGTTAAAACAGTTAACATTTTTAAACAATTAAAGTTAGTTTCTACGCAAAAACAAGCAATTCGGTCAGCGTGGAAGACCGATTTTTCGGTACACAAAAAAAGTTTGGTCCCACTCGGCAAAAAGACATTGAAGATGCAGAAGTTGACTTAATTTACTATTCTACAGAGTTCCAAATGTAAACAAATGGCGGTTCGTTAGTTTTAACTCGTCACTTTTAAATTGTTGCTAATTCTACAACTGTTGCATGCAGATTAACTAAAGGCATAAACACCATAACGGGAACATAAACCAGAATTCAAACACTTTAAAGGCAAAAAAAAGGCACAATTTACCAACATATAAGAATAAAACTAAGCTGACCGAGCCAGGTAATAGAGTGGGAATAGGCTTGTATAGGATAGGTGCAGCCGTGTGCAACGAAAAAGGGGAGGTTACAAATAAATGTTAGAGCAGTCCCATATCCAAAATTTGAAAGTTCTACGTCTACTCGTTCTTGAGTTATGCGCGATACACATATACGAACAGACGCCAAGGAAAAAAATCTCTTTTAAATCCGTTTTATATCCATTTTACAATCCTTTTTGGCAAAAACAGTCCTTCAGTTTCTCCGTACATACAGATATAAAGCAAAAACATCGTTCAAATTGTTTCGAGAGCGGTTGGTATGCATATTTTCTTTGAAATATGATACCCGAAATTTTTCGCTATTAAAATACTTTCCTCACTTCATACAAGGAAGTAAAAATGCTTAGGAATTTAGTTTAGTCTCCGAGTGGCTTATAAGATATTTCATTTTAGGAATAGCAAATTCTACTCAGCTAATTTCATAATATCTAGGAGTATACATGGCAGCATAAAAGTACCTTAAAATTCCAAAGTAATTTGTAAGACTCCTTAAAGACGTTACTAAGGTCAGAACATAAAATTTGTCTGCCTACCAAATTTGAAAAGAACTCAATGCAATTCATTATCTGCTATTCGATGCGTGTTCTCTTTATTAAATATGTTCTTCGCACTTAAACCATAAAATTCAACTCAACAGCAATATCGCAAAATAAATTTAAAATGAGCATATCTTTAGAACTTCCGATAGTCTCGCGCGCTGGAGATAATTTTTATTTTTATTTTTGTACGCTGTTGTCATTGTTCGCTTTCAAATCGTTGTGTATGTTAATCAAAAATTCACAAAATATGAAAGCGATAATGAAACATTCTAAATTTGGGCTTCCCATAATCGGTGGAGGATTAAGTTATTCAAAATTGGATGGCTTTAGGTACCGTTGTTTTATCAATGCGAGAAACATACATATATTTATGCAGATGCTTCATTATTTAATTTCTTTAAAGAATGAAGCATTTTCATTATTTAATTTCTTTAAATATAACACAGGGAATATTTGGTGGCAACAGTTTGAAAAGTGAATCAACGCAGAAAGTTAATGCTAAGTACCAAAACGAAATTAGCCCTTCTGGGTCTACAAATTTAGACCCATATGCATTTCTAAAATGCCTAAAAGTTAATCTCAAAATTTCTGTGTATACCTTCTGTCAAATACTTGCGGAAAAGTATTTTTTGTCATATTTCTTCTCATAGAATCTCATTTCATTCCTCGTAATCGGCCTACCAGCGGCCGAGCAGTAAAGTCTCTGAACACTAGTAGTTCGGTCTGAGGTTCGAATCCCGCGAACGGGCTGGCTGCATGGGCGATTTCGTGGTTTTCCCCCATGTGTAACGTGTATACGAGCCAGTTTCCCTTAGAAAGTCCTCCACGAAGGCATCCCTCCCCTTAGGCAGATAGCGCTAGTGTGCTTTGCCGTATTCTCAATACACCACCACCATTTCTCGTAATCGTTACATTCCATAACATAAACGTGTTTAAAGTCTGCTATTAAGTTAAAGCTCGAAGCTGATGTTTCCTGCTCTAATTCAGCCCAGCAGTGGCTGAGAGGTAAAGTCATTGAACACTGGTAGTTCGATACGGAGTTTGAATCCTAGCAAATGGGCTGGCTGCATGAGCATTTTCGTTGTTTTTCCCATTTGCAACATGTATACGATCGAGTTTTCCTTATAAGTCCTCCACGAAGTCATGTGTTGCGTTAGGCAGGTAGCCCTCGAGTGTTTTGCTGTAATTAAATAAACCAAACCTGCATTTACTTTAAACGCGCTCTTTTTGTTGTAAAATCATAGTACTATCGCTGGCCTTATCAGTTACGTATTTTATAGCAATTTGTCGCAATACAACAGTTCTAATGAGGATTTCAACTTCCTAGCTGTCAATGTCCTGTTACGATAAGTAGTTACAGTAAGAAATCGATCTTGGATGCTTTTGAAGACATAAAACCTCTTTCTGTAGTCTACTACTTGCGATTCCAGAACCTTTTAATCACTTTCAGATGGAAGAGATTATTTGTTTTGAAATATTTAGCCCTGTTGGCGTTTCCATAATGGTTGCCTTGATTCGAAGTGGCCGACATCGACGATGTTGGAAACTGATAGTTTCAATAAACACTGAAGTCAAACCATGAACTGCGAAAGTGCATTTGGAATCTTTATTTTCCATAAAGCTTTTGCAGCTCCCTTCGTACAATGTCTTGCCCAATGTTTGCATTTCATAAACAGATTGATCAAATTGAATTTGATAATATTACATTTGTTGATTGCTCAGTCCGTGAAACAGCGAATAAGACTAATTGGTTGTTCCACAAATATTATTTTTATGTATGTAAACTAATTTAGGATGAGAGTGTGTGGCTAAATTTATTACAAAAGATTTTATTCTTTACAATGACTGCTTTCTTTCAGGTTGGAGTGGTGTTGTTGTTTTACTTGTTTGCTGTGTAAATTCGTTGTATTCAGGAGTTTGTCTCGGCCGTTGCTGGACGATACTTGAAGAGCGTTACGATGAGTACAAACAGAAGAACAGATATCCCTATCCAACAATAGCTTACAGAGCAATGGGCACCAAAATGAGGCAAGATTATTATTAGCTTTTAGAGGAATACTCGTATAAGTATGACCTTTTGGAAAGACTTATATTTTTTCCAAAATGTATAAATCCAACTTTTACTGAGCATGCTTTTTAAATAAAAAATACAGCGAATTCGTATATAAAGCTATTTTTTCTGTAAACAGTTTAAGTCTAAATTTTTGAATAATGCCCAAATTATTTGTTCTTATTATTGACGCAAGATCTCTATTTAGAAATTTATAATTATTTCTTGTCAGATTTTGCGGTTTTATTATTTTCTTAAAATCTGTTTAAAAGTAAAAATTGTATTCCATAACGATTTGAATTATTATCTTTAAAATAGAATATCACCTATGTTTGAGATTACTTTTGCCTCTCCTACAAGAACAGAAAACAACATTTGCAACTCAAAAACGAACGTAACATATGCATCTCAGGAAACTTGTGATAAAAACATCCCAAACAGATTGAGAAAGATCCTGAGTTTGATACTACAGGCAACGTACTATACATTGAGTAATGAAGTGGAAAATGAGCTAGGCATGGGCAGAAAGGCTACTCATAAGTTTCTCTATAATGGAAGACGCTGAAGAAAGAATTACTATAAATTAAAGGAATATGAATTAAAAGTTTCATCTAGAGATTATTTAAGATTTCCTTTTTATAATTTTGAAATTTTCACTTTTTTCTCTTTTCGAAAAAAAGGTAACATCTGTTGTTGCCAACTCTAAAAATTAAACCTTAGCTATTGAAAAAAATTAGAACTATAAAAGAATTTAAATTAAAAAATAGGCAGTGCTTGTATTTACCTTTCGTTCATTGTTATTATTATTCTCATGTGAATGATTCAAGAGATTCCAAAATTGTTAGAGATTAGATTCCTATTTGAGAAAATTTAGGATTCATTTCATTACATGCTTGACTATCATAATATTAAAATTGCATACATTTTGAATTAAATTTTAAAAGAAAGTAAATATATCGTAAAAAGTAAATGAATGTAAAATTTAAAAATACATTACTTTAAATTATATTAATTACTATAATAACAAATGTGGATAAAAAGAGAATATTTGAATAAAATTTTAAAAATTAATTGCTTATTTGTAATCTATACGTCATGCGAAATTTTTTCACATTTCTTAGACTCTGGGTTGCAGATGACAGCCCAACACAAATGAGAAATTTAGCAATTCATTTATTAAATCTTGGCAGAATTTAACACTTATCATTTCTGTATTGCCATTCGTAATATAAAATAACACTTATTACAAATATTACTAAGAACACAAATTGGTCTTTTTTAAGGATTCATTTGCACTATGATTGAGAATCACATATTTTTTATAATGTTGAAGATAAAACAATTGCCTTATCAGTCACCGACTTATGACATCTGTTTACTTTTAATACGAATTTATCGAAACTGAAAACAATAACACTTCTTCGAGATGTTAAAAAATGTTGCCTTTTGTTATTGTATAAAATGTTGAATCATTGATGGTTTTCGCAATGATATATTTTTTTACCGCAAACAGGAAGTTAGAAACAAATAACAGTATTTCAAATATTCAAGTGTGAAGGGGGATTTGTGAGGAAACAAAGTACGTATGGATTTAGCCTGCCGTAGCTGATTACTACTTACATTGGATCTTACACTCTTGATTTCGTTTGAATAACAGTTCTAAGAGTTTAAAAGTAAAGCATCTGCCAAAAAAAAAAAAAAAAAAAAAAAAAAAACTTAGCACATATCTCTTAAAAAGAACCACAAAAGTCGACTCTGCGTAAAGTGTTAAATAATTATGAAACTAGTTACTAAATTCTTTTGTTTGGCAGTATCTTCAACGAAAGCAGCTAGTCAATAGTAGTATTAAGCTTAACACAGTGGGAATTAGCATCGTCGTCCCCATGTAATTGTTATCTACCTACGAAATATCCTTTCTGGCAGGATGACTATTAACACTAGACTTTTATAAGTTAGGTCAGTGGTTATTCTAGGCGGTGCTCAGTATCCTCAACGGTTTCATAATGACATACAAGAGTTTATGACCGAAAGCCCCGAAAAAGATATTTTCTGTTTGTACTGTTTATCTTCATTTTATGATACTAAAAATTATTCTTATAAATCTTTTACAGAAAGAATGAAAAAAATTATCCGAATAAAATGTTCCAGGAAGAGAACATTTTTATTTTTTTACTACAGTTCATTGTAGGTTTTATACAGAGTACGGCAGAAATAGCTTCCGGATTTCATGTGTAAATAATAAACAGTCTTTGTCGAAAAATTTATTCACAAACTCAACGAACGAGGTTCACCATTTGTTTTCTATGTGGGAAAGAAATTTCCGGATTTATAGCTACTTGATAGTTTTTTTTCGTAGTGTTGCCATTGCTTGCTTTTTAAAACCTTGAGTTTCTTGGCCCAAAAACTCGTAAATGCTTTACAAAATATAAAACTGATAATAAAACATTCGGATTTCATATGCCCGTATTCGGGTACAGATGTACGTTATACACAATTTGATGGCTCTAGGTACCGTTGTTTCATCACATAGCGAGAAACATGCATACATTTATGCAGATTCTTCATTATTTAGTTTCGTTAAATATAATACAGAGAGATAGTATTTGGTGGCAATAATTTGAAAAGTGATTCAGACTTCTAAAGTTTTCGACGTAAAATGCAAAACGGAATTAATAGCCTTTCTGGACTAACGCCCTTTGGGCTAAAAAGTTTAGAGGTTTTGATTTTAATAAAAGGGAAACGTAAAGAGCATAAAATGTTAATTTTTTGCCCTCTGTACAGTTCATTTTTCATTTTAATATACTTTATAATTAAGTCGCTAATAACTTCTGCAAACAGAAACTTGAATAGCATATAGAATATTCAGAATTTTACCAAGTTTCAGGCCTTTTTTTTAAGAGTTGCACTCTTGGAGATTTCGAATTGACATTTTTTAAATTCTGTTAAAAAATCTGTGTACCCCACAGGACTTCCTTGTACGCAATGTTAAATTATACGCATTTTTTCTTGCATTTCATTTAAACTTATTGTATTGAATTAAATCAACTTAACCGACAACGCATAAAACACAATAGAATAAATGCATTCTTTTAAAATTCACTCTATTTGTTTACCATAGCGACACTCTGGCGCTAGGTTCACTTAACAGAATTATATTTCATTCATATAACTCAGAATGCACAAAATTTATATCATTTAAAGAATTATTTAATCGTTGCCACATGTTCTATTCAAATACTATAATAAATCTAGAACGACGTATAAAAGAAATTAAGCAAACAAAACAAAGAAACTGTTTTTCACAGACGATTGAGTATTTCTCATTCAATTATTTCAGTTCTCACTTCGCGACAAGGCAAAAAACATAAAAACTCAAAATATCTGTATTAAAAATTACGCAGTAAATCTTAAACACTTATTTCCTCGAAAAAATTCCAGAAAGGATTAAGCATGATTTAATTCGCAATAATAAATGAAGGCGTTATCTTTGTTGTTACGAAGCTAAGTTTCTCTAGATTGGCAACAAATCCACTATCCTGCTGTTTCAAATGTGAACAAGCAATGGCAGCAATCAAAAAAATTATTGGGCTTAGCGGCACTTAAAAAACTTTAAAATTGTTGATAATTCTAAAATTACTGCATAGGTTTACTAAAGGCATAAAAACCTTAACTGGAAAATACGAAAAACATAATTCAATCATTTTTAAAGCAAAAAGTGTACAATTTACAGACGCATAAGAGTAAAGAAACTGAGATTACCGAGCCGGGTAACAGTGTGGATATATTTATATACGTTTGGTGCGGCCGATTGCAACCAAAATACGAGGTGCACATCTACATGTTATAGCAGTCCTCTATACAAAATTTCAACGTTCTGAGGCTACTCGTTTTTGAGTTATGCTGGATACGTACATACGTTCGTACAGGCGCAACGAAAAATTCTCTACAAAATTCATTTTAAAGCAGTTTTATAATTTTTTGGAGGAAACGAGTATTTTATTCTGTCCTTACGTACAGATGTCACGCAAAAACATCGTTAAATTGCATTCGATAGCGGTCAAAATGGATGTTTTCGTTGAAATATGCTGCCTGAAACTTTTCGCGATGACAATACTTCCTTTTACTTCATACAAGGAAGTAAAAACCGTGTGGAGTTTCCGACGCATTTTTCGAGTCCAAGATCTTTCACTTTTCTTTCTAAACTTTAAACCCTGAATCTTTTACTTATATACTCATGAATGTTCTAGTTATAAAAATTCCAGTATAAATTTCATATTTTAAAATCAATTTATGTGCATATTTTAGCATTTTTAATTCCGAATTTGTCTTAAATACTGCGGTAACGTTTCTTAAGAAAACTGGATAAGTATACATGTAAGGAATAGCAAAAATTAATTATTAATTTTATTTCCCTTATAGATATATTGTATCATTTTGTATTGATTTTACCTTGTTTGGAGTGGCAACAGTATTTCTCTTACTGTCATCTCAACTAATAGGGAATTTAGCTGCACAATGGGGAATTTCATTTTGCTACTGGATCTTGATTCTTGCTGCCTTTCTGGGACCCCTTATGTGGCTAGGGACGCCAGAAGATTTTTGGTAATTCAAATATTTTCCCATTTTCATATTATGTTTTAAAGTTTATTTTTAAAACTGTTTATCTACTAAATTTTCAGGCTATTTTGCTCGGTTTCATTTCTAACATTGTGTTTTAAAGTAAGCTATTAAATGTTAATAATACCCTAGCAAAAAATTAAGATTAATAACTTTTTATAAGAAACACACATGCTGCAGTTATCATTTGAAACCAAAACTGCAATAAATGTGTCTAGGTAGTTCCTTGTAAGTATGACACTAGAAAATTCGATATACAAAGTTATTTTGTTCAATTTAAAAGAATAAAATATTGCCTCTAGCACATGTTTGGTTTTTAAAATGCTTCAGCACTTGGAAGTGAAACAAGCAAACTTTTTGAGAATTTCATTTGATATTAACAGAGCTTATGGCCTGCCTGAACTGCTGAAACGGCTTAATATCAGCGTGACATGAAACTTAGAGGTGATGCAGTGAATTTTGAGGCAGTTTTTGCCACTTCCTCGCGAGAGCATTTTCTATCATCTTTGCCGAATAACACGTCTCCTAGACAATCCCTTTCATATTTTAATAGAATCAGTTCAAGTGGGCATATCGGCTGCTCCATGCGTTTGATTCCGTTCTCCAAAGCCAGTCTCGCACTCACAATGCTTTTCTCATCAACCATTAGCGTCCACAAAAAAGTCGACTTTGACCGATATCACCAAGAAACAACAAAATCGATGGTACGAAGATCTCATTATAGTAACTTTTACTCGTCATACTTCCGTTTCAGATGCTGTACATGTCCGTACTTCCGCTTATTCATACGCAAACCGTTCCTCTGCCTCGATTTTTTAATCTTTCGCACGCAAATTGGAACTATTTTACTATCTTCTACCTCTATTTTCTTGATCCGTCTGTCGCCATTATATAATATCTCAACTGCGAAGTTTAACCACTCAAGTTCTGCCACATCGTGGTGTCTTAAGTGCCATTCACACTTGAGTTTATCTGAGCAAACTATGGAACTGACTATTTAAAGGAATCACATGGAACTGACTATTTAAAGTCAATTTCATGTAACGGCTAGCTCCGGTATACGTGCAGTTCAGATTTTTCAGTTCACTCTCCTATGAATGAAAACTGGTTTTTCAGCTGCGTCGGCTATGCCAGATGTCTGCATTAGCTCAGATAAACCCCAGTGTGAACGGCCTTTAAAGGGCCATTCGCACTGGGGTTTATCTGCGCTAACGGAGTCTATATGTCGAGTAGCTCTGCTGTACATGAAATTCAGATCTTTCTGCTCGTTCCATCCTGAAGATAACTGGTTTTGGAGCTGACTATTTAAAGGAATCACATGGAACTGACTATTTAAAGTCAATTTCATGTAACGGCTAGCTCCGGTATACGTGCAGTTCAGATTTTTCAGTTCACTCTCCTATGAATGAAAACTGGTTTTTCAGCTGCGTCGGCTATGCCAGATGTCTGCATTAGCTCAGATAAACCCCAGTGTGAACGGCCTTTAAAGGGCCATTCGCACTGGGGTTTATCTGCGCTAACGGAGTCTATATGTCGAGTAGCTCTGCTGTACATGAAATTCAGATCTTTCTGCTCGCTCCATCCTGAAGATAACTGGTTTTGGAGCATCGGCTGCTTCAATGTCTCCGTTAGCTCAGATAAACCGCAGTGTTAACTCCACTTTATGGTTAAGGGAACCCAAACTACTGGTGTACGTCCATGAAAATCATGCTAATTAGGGCGATTGATCCAGTTTACTGGACAAGTTTCGTCCTGTAGCCCGGGAAATCTCCCTTTAGAGGCAAGTGGCATTTCTTGTTCTGTTGAGACGGGCTGTTATGTACAGAAATCATTATGGGCATTTGCTGTCGAACATAAACGACCTTGATCCTGTATCCAGGTAAAATTTAGTTCGAAGCACTGATCTTTGTAAATTACAACGTCAAGGGAATACCGGAACTCTTTCAGTAAGACTAATGTTGTAAAACGTAATACTGTGAAATTTCTCCTCTCTATCCATTAATTCTAACCGTTACGCATTTTGACATCACTGGATGCACTTTTGCATAAGAAATCTTTTGATGCCTTTGAAATATTATATTCGTATCCGATAGGTTTAGTAAGTTTTAAGCGTTGGGTGAGCATAATGGTGAGTAAACAGGGTAATGCTTTAATTTTTTTAGCAGTGTATAAGGCATTTTGAAATAACCTATATTCTCAGTCTCGCTTATATAATCATTTTGATATTACCGTTCTAAAATTCTTGTTTGCAAACAAGAAATTTTGCCAGTTTGCGTTGACGTGTTTTTTTCTTCTCTTGAAAAAACTTTTTTGGTCATGTTTTATAGAAGCTATTTCTTTTAATTAAAAAGTATTTTATTTTAATTTTCACAATCAGAAATCGCAAGACTGCGTATTTATAGTGTCATTATTGTTCTGCCAATGTGCGATAGAAAAAAATATATAAACCAACTGAAATTTGAAACAATCTTCTATTCATTTTGAGATCGGAATTCATTTCAAAACATACCGTAAAATAAATGCAAAACGGTAACAAAAATTTCTAGACAACAAACCTCTAAATATTTGCTTTATAATCAACCAATATCAGCATGTTCGATTTCACATCCTAAATTGATATCAGTGCGTTCGATCTAGTCTTTAAATGGTACATTTTTGGCTAGTCCAGCGTTTCTTAAACTGTGGGTCTCGATTCCAAATGGGATCGCAAAGTAAAATTTTGGGAATTCAGATGCATGCATTAAAAGAAATTATATTAATTGGTATGAAGGAGACTAGTACCTAACATTTGAAGCCCAGAAAGAATTAACTGAGCTCGGTTTTAATTTCTTTTAATTTCTATAAAATTCCTTGACTGAATTTTGGATCGTAACTATAGAATTTATTCTATATTTAACAATTGGAGCCGCGGAAAGTCTCTATCATAGAAAGGGGCCATGAATGCAAAGTTTAAGAAGCGCTAGACCAGTCCATTAAACTTTATCTATGATTAAGTTTTATCTGCAGATAATATCTAAAATTGTTTTTAAATCAATATCTGCCATTGTGTTAGAATAGAAAATCCATAATCATAAACGAATGACTCGGCAGACGAACAAGCAAAGTCCTCTTTTGTTTTTGAAAACGAGCTCTTTTGAATTTTAAAGCCCTCAAATTATTAATCGCAAATGCCGAGATCAGCTAAATAATGATCAAAGTCCACTTTTAACTAAAAAGAATGAGAATTATTTTAGACTAAAGTACACACATTCAAGATCAGAAATGAATAGACGGGCGCAAGAACGGTGAAAATGTAGCTTTTATATAAAAGTTATTTTAATGATAGTTTCACATCTGCATGTGGTACCCCGGAGTGTCAGCTTATAAACTAGATCTGAAGAAGACTATAATTATTCTTTTATTATACTGGTTAAACAAACGATACACATTTCAGTGTAAAAAGATAATTTTGCCGCTTAACCGGTATAGTGGTCAGCATCACTGACTGACGTGCCGAAAGGTCCGGGTTCGAATCCCGGAGAAGGCATGGATGTATGTAAATGTACAGTGTCGGTACGGCATGGCGGCACTCTAAATAAGATGCGAGTTTAGTCTTCTCGTGTGATATGGCGGAAGAGAAGTGTGCGAGACCTTTAGACCCGTTCCCGAGCTGTTCTCCATCAAAATTGGGAGTTGTAACTGAACTGTCACCTGAATGGTGCTCAATGCTGTTGCCAACGGCAGGCGTATTCTAGCACTCCTTGCCGCGAGGAATTTCGTGGGCTTTGGCTGAATACATCAGACAAGTGAGCATAAGCAGCAACAACAACAAGATAATTTTGTAATGGCCAGGTAGCCTTTTTTAGTAGCCATTAGCCTTGCGCCATTCTATGTATGCTTTATGTTTATTTAAAATTGAACAGAAAAAAAATCTGCATCTTTGGATGAAATGCATGATGCACCGCTTGCGGTTCAGAACCTGTGGCATGAACTAAGTCATCAAATGCTCCTAGACGCGTCTCGCACGATCCTGGATAACGTTGTTCTAGACAGTGAATATATGGAATGAAACTATACCTGCTTGTCTATGACGAACACCTGGTGTCCCACACACTTTTCCCTATACCGTGCCGGAAGTGGTGGCTATTTCATTATGGAAGCACCTAATAGATGGCTACCGTTGCCTCCTGTTAAGAGACTGAAGTTACAACAAAGCCTTTTCCGGCAGTATGGAAGGACCTAATAGATGGCCAATTGTTGCCTCCTATGAAGGGACGGAAATTGCAACCAAGCCTTCTCCGGCAGAATGGAAGCACCTAATAGATGACCATCGTTGCCTTCTGTGAAGAGACTGAAGTTACAACCAAGCCTTCTCCCTCCGGCAGTATGAAAGCACCTAATAGGTGGCAACCGTTGCCTCCTGTGAAGAGACGGAAGTTACAGCCAAACCTTCTCCGGCAGTATGGAAGCACCTAATAGATGGCCATCGTTGCCTCCTATGAAGGGACGGAAGTAACAACCAAGCCTTCTCCGGCATTCGAATCGGGACCCATCACTACAAGGGTCTTTGTCACTAACCACTATACAAGCAGGGCGGCCTGATAAGATGATAGATTATTTAAGCTGTTGAGAAGTGGAGGGGGACCGTTATTCCACCAAGCCCTTCAAGAGATTTATCCTAAATTTTCATTAATCAGTTTAAATGAAATGTATCTTCTAAAAAATCAGTTAATGGGATTATTATTAAGTAATTACGTTTTGAAACTTTATTAAGTGCTCATAGCACCTGTAGTTCTTTGAAATTTACTGTACCTTTCTTTATTAATCGGCTTATTCTTATATTCAGTTTATGCATTTTTAATACTTTATGACACTCAAAACAAATGCTTTCTCATTAATGATGAAGGGAGGACAATATCGTTTAACCACTGTTGAGACAGGTGTCCCCATTCATCATCAACTGATTTAAACTAATTCAGAATCGTCGAACTGGAAAGAATTATTAGTGCTTCTGGAAGAACTGTGTAATATTTTTAAAAATGCCTCCTTAATTTAACATCCTACAAGGCTTTAACTATTTATCAATAAGCTAAGTTTATAGAACGCGGGTTTAATTTTTGGCAGCCTAACGGGCGGGCAGCATAACGGTTATGCGGGTTTTTATCGCTACGTAACGAAACCACAAGGTATTCCTTTAGAATTTTCTTCACGAAGGCATCCTTTTCGTTGGAAGATGCAGCACTAATCTTTTTATCAACCTTCAATAGTACTTTTAAGTTGATGAATTACGCCCTTAATCTGTAAAGGCAAAATCGTAAATGTTTAAGCTTTATCAGATCTCAAATCCGAGCCCATGTTAACGGTAGTATTGTCACCAGCCACCACAAAGTTTAAACGAAAATAGTCAAGGTATTCATTAGCAAAATGATTAACTTAAAGATGTGTTGACAAAAAGAGGTTTTTGAAAATATAGCTTTTCTGTGGCAATTTGATGATGCTTTGTTTACAGCGTTACATAATTTTGATAACCACTCGTGATAAAGAAAATTAGTCTTTTGATAAAGCTAAAGAGGACAATAACCATGACACTTGATAAGAATATGAGCAAACAACGAGAAATCTGAAGTGAAGTTAAGTAACCTATTTTGTGAAGTTACAATTTTTCGAAATATAAATCTAATAAGAGAACACAATAAGAATCCAACTATGGGTAACAAAAAAGCGCGTACCATCATAAAGAAACAAATAGATAATGGTGTGCTTTAAATAAAATTAATTTAGACGAAGATTTTTCATCTACAAAAACTTTAACTGAAATGCATTTTTCTCTAGGGTAGCTTTCCTTAAACTGCAACTCGCGACCGCAACGGTGTCGTAAAGCGAAGTGTTGGAGTCACAAAAATTTTATTCAAATACATGAACTTGAATAAATTACACTAATTGGCATTAATGAGACTAATACCCTCTGCATAAAGCCCGAAAAGAAAATTGAGCTATCAAGTGGTTCCTTAATGATGAACTTTCAATACTTCACACCTGAGTTTCTATAAAATTCCATGCCTGAATTTTGAATCATAGCGAGAAATTAATTTCTCACTGTTCCTGAAATGGCATTAAATGTTGTTCTAAAATTCAGCGCCACATACTTCACATGGAATGACATTTTAGCTTTAACGTTTATTGAATTCAAATGGCGTTCAATACTTAAGAGTTTAAGATGCTTTATGACCAGTAGCATCAAAGATTGCACCGAAATTTAATTTGTTCAGCAACATAAAACAAGCACATTCGTATTATTAAAACGTGATTTTCTTTCATTAAGTTTTGTATTGATACAAATCCTAAAAATACTTTTCATATGTATATTCACTATAGAAATAAATTACTTGTGGGAAAATATTTGTTTTTATATCTTTATTCAATATTTAATAGCTAGGATCGTGAAAAAAAATCTCTGATAAAAAGGGTCCTGAAGGATAAGTTTGAGAAGCGCTGAACTATAAAATTCATGGTATAAAACTGTGTAAAAATGATGTAATTTCACACATTTCTTCGGTATATACTAATCAATTGTTTTAGCATGAAGTAAAACTAGTTAATTATTAAGATTAAGGAAAATAAATATGCTGTTGTTAACGGAAGTTATAAGAAATAGATTAAAATTAAAAGTTCATAGGAAACTAAAGATTAAAATATACGACAATAATACAAAAATTACATCCAAAATTAAGCAAAGTTCATGCAAATCTCTAATTAAATTCGGACATAAGAGGTGTTAAATGCACATATGAATTACCAGTAACAAACATAGTCAGAATAAGAAGAAAATTATAAAAGCTAAAAATACTAAAATGTAACTGAGTTAATTACCACCGGAAAATAAATAAAAGATAATCTCTTATTAAAAAATTTCTCTTGTGGCTGCGCTTTTGCTTGCACCGCCTCCTGGAGTAATATAACTCACTTTCATGCAGCTCTTGTCTAGTGCTTATTCTCTTTTGTTAAAATATTCTTAGGCTTGCAGCTCTAGGAGCTTTGGGTACGACCGTCATAGCGTGCTTCTTGTTGATGGCAGCTCTAGCTAAAGAGGAATCAGTTTCTGTCCATGTTGAACATCCTGCTCCTAGTGTTACATCCTTTTTCTTGGCATTTGGTACAATATTTTTCTCCTTCGGCGGTGCCGCTACCTTTCCAACTTTTCAGAACGACATGAAAGATAGAAGCCAATTTCCTAAAGCTGCTCTTATTGGTTTCGCAGGTGAGAAAATTGCTACTTTTCCTCACATGATACCACCTCCCTCTAAGCGGTATTTATTGTGATCTAGCGGTATCTAGAATATTTATTGTAATATCTGTAAGAACGTATGTATAAGTACATATTAAAATATGTCAACGAAATTAAGGCAATATATCAAAAGAAAACAAATCCAGATATGAAATACCAGTAGAGTTTTTACATTAAAATAAAAAAAAATTGTTCTCATAGTAGTTTTGGGAAATTTGTGCTTTCTTAGCGAAAACACTGGCCGCCCAGAGGGAAATCTGTATTTCTATTACTGATAATTTACTCGTAAGACTGTTTTTCGTGTCTTTTTTTCTACCTTTTGTGTCAACTCTGGAACTACTTCTCTTTATATTCATTTAAAAATTTATTACTGAAGGTCATTGCTTTCAAATGCAATTAGTAAGCTAAAACTTCAATTAATGTGTAATGTTTCTAACTACTTTGACTATGCTTAACTTAGTAGCAACCTTGTTGAAATATATAGCCACTTATCGCCGAGTCGAAGTATGTGAATGAAAAGTCCAAAGAATATTTAAACTCGCTCTTCATAATCTCAAACTAAGAACACAGATGGCCCCTTTCTAGGGCTGACAGAAAAGTCTGTACTTGGGCCTTTAACTCAAGATAAGAAAATGAGAAACTAATGCTAAACTAAACTGAATTAGTCGAACACAGTTATCTAACGTATTGGCCTTTAATTTAATTAACCGGCGAATATCGGCAGGGTCGTACAATACGGCCGAGCGTAGTTAGCTTTAAACAAGGCACTAAGGACGAGTTCTTCTGCTGAAGTAAGCGAAACCTTCCTTTAAACACCATTTCTACCTCATTTAAATGCAACGCGATACTAAAACTTATTCTGGCAGGGAATAGTAGGTGAAAACGAGAATATAGAGTAAAACATGTTTAAAAATTAAAAACTGTTAAAAACTTAAAATAACCTCTACAAATGTAGAACAGGCTTATCTTTTGCTCCTGCTGTAATTTGCTGCAACACTTGTAAGACGAAGAAAATTTTCCTCCTCCTGTTTTTACTTTTCAATTTATTGAATATATGTGAGTTTGATCGTTGAGATCTTTATCGATTTTATTTCTTTTATTATACACTTCGATTTGCATGTCCATAAGTCTGATTATTATAAATATGCGCTATGAATATGTACGGAGAGGAAAATCATTCTGCTGCTTATAAGTCTAACTAGGACTAATCCAAACAATTTTTGCGAGCTTTGAATAAAGAAGTTTTGTGGCTTGGTTATCAGATAAATTCTTTGAAATGAGAACGGGGGAAAAAATGGGGATTTTTAATACTCTCTAGACAAGACGTGTGGTAAAAAAAATCATGTTTCTTAACTCAGTAAATCCGATTAAATCTCGTACCCAGCTTACTTCAGGTGTACTTCAAAAACCACAGAGTGTCGTATCCGTATTAATCATTCTCATTTAATGCAGTAATGCTAACTAAATTCAATAAACTTATAAGAAGTACATACTCGACTATATAGATTATACATTCGTGAAGAGTTGAGAAAGGACATCTCGTATTCACGTAACACATGAGGAAAGCCATGAAAATTTCCATGCATCTAGGTCCAAACTATTGTGTTCAGCAGTTTTGCCACTTAGCGACAGAAATAGGAATAAAGAGCATTGCCAACATAACTACTTTCAGAGTGCACTCTCTCGTGGTATAAATAGTTAATATGTGGAGACGGGATAATACCGTCAAGGTTACAGTTAATGTTTCACGTATATTGCTTCAAAAAGTGCTAATGGCCTTTGGAAATTAAAAAACACTTATTTTTATGCTCAAAGTTGTTTAGTTTTTAAAAATTTTAATTTTAAAATATTCTATTTTTATTCTTTCCATGAAAAAATTTAATTTGTGGAAAATGTACTTTCTCTATTCGCATTTTTTACTTTCAATTAAGTTTCTAATTAAACAAATTTTACTTCAGTTTTTTTTCAATGCCACAGTTTTTAAATGTGGCAGAGAACGGAAATGTAACAGCTGTTCAAATGATTTACTCTGGAATTGTTCTCTGTACCTCCTTTAAGCAATTGTTCCGTTTTAGTTGCAATCATTTAAATAAATTCGTGTAGTGATGCGTATCGCTCAAAATTTCCACGGATAATGACAATTTACGGTAGCGGAAAATTTCCTTATGCTCAGTAGCACTCTGTGCTACCTCAGCTCGTCATTTTGGCACACACATTCCATTTCAATAGCTGCTTAATTCGATCCTTTTTACCCGCCTTCACATTTCAGTCAGATATTTTTGAATCACCTTTTATATATATATATATAAATTCTGTAAAGAAATACAAGGAGAAAAACTTTAAAATTAATGACTTTCAAAATTTTAAAAAGGACTTAAAAAGTAAAATCCTACGCTCTGGCTGGAAAGATTAAAAATTTAATTTGATAGAGAATATATAGCGATGAAAAATTATCTCCTAGGAAATATGAAGTACAGAAGTTTATGTAGTAAATGTGAAAATCAAAAACTGGAATTTATAAATACTTAAAATGCTTATTTAATAAATATATAACCATTATCGCATTTGGCCATATGCATAATATATACACATTTAAACTGTGTGTACACATGTTAACTTCTTTTTCTCTAATATAACGTAAATTAATAATATAACATAATTAAGCATTCCTGTAATTTGTGTCCAATTCTGTGGAAGTTGATGATTTTTTAACTTTCTTTTACAGTTTTAATTCTTCTCTATCTACCGGTTGCTGTATTGGGGTACAGTGTATACGGCGAAGATGTAAAATCCAGTGTCATAGAATCTTTGCCAGATTCCAACATAAAGACTGCCGCTGAAGTTCTGCTAGCAATTCACTTGACTTTTGCTTTCCTTCTAGTTATCAATACTCCTGCCCAAGAATTTGAGGAATTTTTCAATGTACCAAAAGGTAAGGCATCATAAATTCAGGTTTAGGTATAAATAACAAGAGTATCTAGCTGTCAAATGGAGATCTTTAATTGGAAGAGAACTGGACAATTATTTCCGAGTTTCATCTTCTGTATCCAGCTTTCATATTTCCAACGAAATATTTTTGTTTTTCGAATGACTAGACAAAAAGTTAACTAAAATCTTACAGAGGAATACAAACAATAGAACTTAAGAACAAAGAGAACGAAGTAATTACCTAAGGAGCGCTTTTGCCTCCCAGTATCTCGACTCTTCTGTAAGGCCATGAAGAGCTTCACATCTAAACAGGTGGTCACTGTCTATTTCTTCTCCGGAATTACAAAGTGGGCAAATAGGATCGCTTGAAATGCCTATGCGGTGCAGGTGGGCGGCAAGGCAATCATGTCCTGTAGACAGACGGAAAGACGCAACTGCATTACGTCTTGGATTCTTAACATTTTCCCACTTTTTAATGTTGTAAGAGTCTGAAAATCTCGTAAGACATTAGGCATAAATAAACTTTATAAAAACTGTTTACTCCCATAAAAATAGCTGTGTTATGATGATGTTGTAAGCTGGCCCCTCGTTTTGCAAGTAAGTCCGCTTATTCATTGCTCCAAAGGCCACAATGGCCAGGCACCCACTGGAGAATGATTTGTTTCCCCTTTAAAGTGAGAGTTCTCGGGAATTCTTCTCCAATGAAATATCAAAATAGTAATTTTAAATAATTTTTGACTTGAACATGTATTGATTTTAATATTGTTCTTGGTGCTTATCTGAGGACCGTACTATACATTTTTATGAATTAGTTATTATTTTCATGTACCTGCAATAAATGTGTATGTAATATTTGTAATAGCTTTTGGATGGAAGCGATGCGTGCTGAGATCAAGCATGATGGTCATCATCGTCTTTATTGCTCAGACAATTCCTCGCTTTGGATCAGTCTTAAATTTGGTAGGAGCATCGACAATAACTCTGATGACGTCTATCTTCCCTTCTTTGTTTTACTTAAAGCTTTGCTCGCAAACCAGTCCGGAATGGCCTCAAAGGTAAGTTTCCATACGTTTTCTCACTTCTAAGTTCTGTATCATTCATATATGCATTTCTAAAATTAGCCGTTTTTCAACTTTGAGTCTTTTATTATTGTACGGTGCCCAGAAAGTTCCTGAACAATTTTAACAGCTGTGACAAGGGACATAATACATCCTCAACATGCGACAAAATGACTTGGTTGGTGGTCCTCCAACTGTAGCCAAATGTAATTTGTCAATGTATACAGCTAAACTCCATCGGTTATTGTTTGTTCCCATCACTCACAGTTCATTAAGCAAAATGAATCTAAAATCTAAGCGGCCTGTCCCGCTTCACCTCCTAATGAAATAATGATTTTCGGATCGCCAAAACCTCGCATTATGTATATATCAGATTAAAACAAATTTCTGGGGAAGAACTTTGATATGTGTAAATAATGTCACAAAAATTTGCAGTACTACCTCTTGCAGGATCGCAGGGTAAATTTGTTCAGAAATTTTATGGACAGCCTATATTTTCAATAAACTTCCTACAACAATAGTTTCTCGAAGTGAAATAAGAAAATATGTTAATTTTAATGTTATTTACTAAAAACAAAAACATACTTCTTTTATCACTAAAAGGCGAATGTTTTTATTCTTTCCCGCTTAATTTTGTCCAATGTGTGACAGGATTAACGTTGAAGACAGTAAAACTGAATATTTACATTATCATAGATGTATGTTCAATTCTCTAAAATGATAGATTAATGAATTTTTCTAAAATAGGATAATTACTGTAATAAGAGTGATATAAAAGATTTTAACCAGGTAAACAAATAATTTAAAAACAATTGAAATCGCCTAAATTTTTTTAAAATTTTGTTTAATCCTGATGCACGTTATAAGGTAAGTAGATAAATATGGCGCAGTCCAACCTCCTGGCAAGCCCAATCTCACATTTTTGATTTTCTAGGCCGACCACTAAGGAAAAATATGTAAGACGGCACAATATAAATAAATGAAGTCTATTATCAGTCAGCAGCCATGTTGGGTGTTCTTTGTTATTGTTCCATTCCAATTGCAACCAGGTTTAAATTAATTTTTTCCAAGCTCTCTTTTGCTATGTTTTTTGCTTCATTTCCAGTATAAACCAGGTCTTTAAAGTCCTTCTTGCTAGTCCTAAGGTCTTTTGTTAATTCACATTCTTCCACATAGTGCCTGTGATTTCCCAGCTTTCCTCTTAGTAAATAGTTTCCGTTTTCTTGAATTTTAAATCTGTTTAGGTAAGTCGGGAATCTACCTTGACCTGAAAGGATCTGACAAAGGTCTCTATCGGTTATGGTTTTCATTTTTTCGGGATCTTTGTTTTCTAAGTGTTGTTTTCTAAGATCTTTCTACGGCCTGAATATCTCTATTTTTATCCCATTATCTATCTATATATATATATAGTTCCGTTTCTCTTATTGCTTTTCGTTTTGATCCACCATAACACGTTATTGGGAAATTTGCGTATTCTCTTTTTCCTTTCTGCATGCTTTCGTGGTGTAATGGTTGGCACGCTTGACGCGTATTCGAAGGGTTCGTCTCCCGCCGAGGGCATCGCATATTTCTCATGTCTGCCGTATCAAAATAACCTAATGACTCTAGTGGCGCCCGAACTAAAAGATGGTTCTTCACCACCAGGATGGGGCGATTGGGTCACTTAATCCCCAATCGCCCCTTAAAAGGGGGAGTATATAAGGTATTCTCTCTTCGCATGTGTTCGTACATATAATTAAGAACAAAAAGACCGAAGTCATTGCCCAAGGAGCCCTCTTACTTCCCAGTATCTCGACTCTTCTGTAAGACCACGAAGGGCCCCACATCGAAGCAGATGTCTATTCTCCAGAATTACAAACTGGGCAAATAGGATCGCTTGAAATACTTATGCGATGCAGGTGAGCGGCAAGGCACCCCTCGCTCTCAAATCGTAGAGTTTGTTGTAAAACATTTCGAAGTTTTTTACATTGAAATAAAAATAACATTGCCAAACATTAAATACATTATTCCCGATTCCAAAAATTCGTGGGAAATCATTTCGACTGCTAGCGACTTTAATCAGTCGAGATATTAATTAAAAACTCCGAAGAAACTAATTTTCGCACACATTTTCCGAGTGGCAACAGTCTCTCGCGTTGGAGATAAAAATGCTTTATTTCGAAAAGTGTTACTGCTGTTCGCTTTCAAATCATAGTTTGTTAACCAAAATAAGTTTTACAATATATATATATTACGGTGAAACACCGAAATCTGGAGAATGTCGACTTTCGCCGGTGAATGTCCGAAATATTTTCCAAATACTCTTATTTCTGACTTAACCGGTCAATGTCGACATTCACCATGTACTAATGGTGAATGTTGAACATATAAGAATATTATATTTTCTTCTCCGTGATTCAGTCACGAAAAAACGCACTTGAGACTTAAAATAAAAACTTAAGAATATAAGAACTTAAAACACACAGTACATTCAAAATGAGAAAGGAAAATAATAGAAGTTATAAACTTACCAAATTATGTGATTCAAATCTTATTTATTGCAACAACGTAAACTATTATGACACTTTGAATTGCACAAGAGGCCCTTGCTTTTACAACTGCATTTATTTGTGGAACACTTCCTTTTGGAATGTCAGCGTGTACATATACTCCTCTTTTCGACCTACACCAGAGAATATCTGTCATTGTCGACATACACCGGTGAGGGTCCGAATGTAAAGAAATATTCGATCTTTCACCGACGTATTTGGTGAATGTTGACATTCTCCAATTTCGGTCTTTCACGGTAACATATATATAAGCAAGAATGCCTGTTTGTGTGTTTCTTCGTGTTACTGATTTCTGATGAATTAAGGTTAATTTTTGCCCCATTTAATCGACTAAAATTGAATATATGTGAAATATTGGATGGAACATTTACGACCATTTGACTAGATAGACTAAAATCATTAAAAACTGTATGCCGTTGTTGCTGATATGATGAGAGAGAATTAGTTTATTTTCTATTAAAATTTTTATGTGGGGTACCATATCGCATCAGACTGAAAAATGTACGACTATGAATCGTATTTTCTGCATCGTTATTGGAGAATGATTACAACGCTATCGTTCTCTTTCGTTATATGCATTGCTCTCAAATCAAACTTAATTGCCATCGGGTACTTTCGCTAGTAATAAAATAAAATTGAGAATAACCGGACAGGAAAATTCTAAAAACTATAACTAGAGCTCTAGCATCTGAAGGATTAACTTGATACATAACGTTCTTGAATTAGAAATTACATTTTCTGTTTTCCTTGTAATTTGAAATTTCTAAGCATTTTAGAAAACGTGTTCTTTAATAGTATTTCTTTTTTTACAGGCATATTCCTACGTATGAAAAAGTGTATTTGATATTTATCATGATCACCGGAATAATTGGTGGTTCTATATCAACTTATTCCGCTATCGATTCTATTGTACGGATAAGCACATTCAACCCGCCCTGCTATGTAAATATAACCGCAGCCGGCATACAGCAGTGATTGCTTGCAAAGATGCCAAGCATGGCATGAAGATTTTTCTTTCAACTATTGCAAAGTTATAGTCCAATAATGGAGGAGATGGAAGCAATCGCAAAGGAAGATCGCAAGTGTTAAGAGGATGCAAAAGATGCATGCAAACTCTATTTCCTGACCAGTATTCCTTTCTTTTTTTCCCTGGAACATTTAGGTGGCCAGCATAAGATCAGTTACGAGAAAACTATCTTGTAGCTAATCTAATCTCGCAACTAGCCTTCTTGAATGGTACCTTTTGATGTAAATAATGCAAATTGCTTTCTTTTTAGCTAGTTTAAAATGTAATTAAGTTGTGTGTATTAAATATTTTTTATACAAAGAATATTTAATTGAGAAATATTTTATGGAAGGATACATTAACACACAAATGTGATCGGAAAAAAAAATGGTTGCGTGCGTACAGGTTCGTAACACATTGAGGGGACAAGTCCGATATTAGGTTAATAAAATATATTCTTATCAAAAGAAATATATCAGAACGCTGGAATTTTCCTCAAGAGATATTCATACAAGTGTTCACAATATCACGTAATATAATCGGTACTTATACTTCAAACTACTAAAAACGTTAAAATACAACTCAATACAAACGCATCTGAAGGAAAAGCTAACTCTGATTTCTAAACACACGCAGAAATAACTCGCAGCAATAGTAACTAAGCTATCTGAACTGAGATTCTCAAAGTTACACTTATGCCGAGATTATCAAGCATTCTGCTTGATGTGTTCCGGCTGTCATCGGATGTTTGCTCTGTGGGCGCTGAAGAGGGAAGGAGTTCGAAGTGCGAGTCCAGAAGGGCAGGAGCTAATGGCGAAGGGGCGTGACCAGTAGTTACGTGGCTTGCAAGTTGACTTATCATTGGTTGCGAGTCTTCTAAGGAATACCTCGCTAAAATTGCAATTAAAGAAACTGATTCTTTCTCTCTCTCCGGCCTTTTATAGCTCTCAACCGGTCGTGAGATATTTCTAATAATTTCTGCTTTTCGAGATTTCTGGAATGCAATAAGAGGATATAATTAAGCTTACAGCTAACATAATGGTCAATTACATTTATTCAATTTCAATACAACTCTTGATACAAATTACCGAGATAACCATTTACTCAATGTTAAATGCACGTGCACCTGTATTTCCGGCATAGCTTTCTCTTAAAATTTGTTTCGTCAGGCACTGCACGGGGAAATACAATTTTAATTATAATCCTACTAAAATTATCTAACTAAATACAAAATTCTTCGCAACATAAATCTTTCCTTTGTTAAAAATCAAATGTTAGAGCTATATTATATTTGGTGAAATGTCTCCAAATTCGAAAAGCGGCAAAATCTACTTCATGTGTGCTACTCTCAGGGTGTTGGTTGTGCATTAGCACTGAAGGCGTAATGAGTACGTTTCCTTAAGCACAGAATTAAAGAATCATAATTCAAAGATTAACTACGAATTCTTTATTTAATAAAATAGGATAATTCTGCTTAACTTAAGCATAACAAAAGTAATAATGTTTACGGACATTAAAATTCTGAAGTATTGAAAAGAATAACTTACATAAAATCATCATCAGTACTAAATATCATCAGGCTTACCTATATTAGGCAATAAGAAAAATAAACAGGAAAATACTTTGTCATCGTACCTGAAAGAGAAGAAAGTACTATGGATTAGACCTTTGGCCAGGTACAAGTAGCTAGGGTGAAAATCAAATATACTGCATTGCACACGAGCTTTACTTTCTCTCGCCAATATATACCTTGGCGCACGTTCGTTTCGTATGCCTTTCGAGTTTCATTGTGCAAAATACCTAAATTTATGCTAACACAGGGCCTGATTTCTTCAGGATGGCACTTGCTGCGGGTTTCCACTATCAACGGGGATCTTCAAATCCTCCTACCGTATTAAAAACATTTAAAATTTCACGCATTTTGTTCAATTATAGGTTTTTAAAACTTAAGATTAGAAAGTGGAATTGAATATTGTATTTCATATTCTAATATTTGCCTTTCTTCGAAAGCTAGCCGCAGGACTAAGTTTTGCATTCTTATAAGAATTAAAGCCTTAATTAAAAATTGTTAATTGAGCTCGCTGGTGGGTTGGTTAGCGTAACACTCAAAGGGTTTCCTACAAAACAAACAAAAAATCTGAAAGGTTTCAGATTTTAAGTTACGCCCAAAGGGGCGTTTTCTTAACGTCTTGTGTGTTACCTTTAGTTATTAAATATCATGTTCTTTGCACTTAACCATGAAATTCAGTTCAATAGCAATGTCGCAAAATTTTAAAATGAGCATATCTTTAAAATTTCCAATACACAGTTCCGCGCGCTGAAGATAGTTTTTTTTTTCGGGGGGGGGGGGGGGTCCGTAGAGTGTTGCCATTGCTCGCTTTGAAATCATTGAGTTTGTTACTCAAAAATTCGTTAAAGTTTTACAAAATATGAAATCGATAATAAAACAAATTCCAAATGTCAAATTTGGTCTGCTACATGCGAGTATTCGTAGGAGGATACGTCATTCATAATTCGATGGCTCTAGTTACCGTTGTTTTATCACAATGCAAGAAATATACATACATTTATGCAGACTTTTCATTATTTAATTTCTTAAAATATGATGCATGACTCTAACATTTGGTGGCAACAGTTTGAAAAGTGATTCGCCGTTTATTGTGATTCAACGCAAAGTCGCAAAACGAAAGCAATAGTCTTTCTGTGACAAAGCCCCTTTTGGACTAAAAAAAATCCAGCTGGGACAAAATGGGTTTTTTGGTCCGGCGGCATAAGTTGGCCATTTTTTCTTCGAAAATGAGCAAGGTGCCGCCGTTACCGTTAATAACGAACTTCAATACCGTGCCATGCTAAACGAAATTTTGTTTCCAAAAATTGAAGAGAATGATATGGGTGACAATTGGTTTCAACAGGGCAGGGTACTTGCCACACAGCCAATGTAACCATCGATCTTTTGCGCACTGTTTTTGGAAATCGAATAATTAGCCGAAATGCTGACGTCAATTGGCCGCCTCAGAGATGTGATTTGGCCCCGCTGGAATTTTTTGTGGAGAATCCTTAAGAATAAGTGTTACGCTAAACCACCCAGAGACGAATGATGCATTGAAAAACGAAATCGAAGTCATGCGACTGGAGCCCAGACAATGGAAAATGTACTGACAAAATTGGGTTGATCGGATGGGGTACTGTCATGCCAGACGTGACAGTCATTTGAATGATGTTGTGTTCCATTCTTAAATAAAAATGTCCAATCTTTCTAATAAACTCATAATTTTGAATTGATATTCATTAATGTTTTTATAGCAGATTCAAATTCCAAGAGTCAGGTGGCCTACCATTTAGTATCGGCGGCAAGAGAACGCAAAGCCGATATAATTACAACTAACTGCAGCTGGCAGAAGCACACTACTAATTAAGTTAAAGAAATGCTCCAAACCATAATAACTGATTAGTTTAAAATAGGAACCTTACATATGGATAATTTTTGCACAACTAAAGTCAACACTATGATTAACTGTTTAGCAATGATTAGCTATCGAAGATTTGTTAATTCCTCCTTACAAAACATAAGATTCGTATTCCTTGACTATAAATTTTAGCACTCTTTCAGTTTGGCCGATTTATGATGTGCCCAAGTATGCTATAAATTCCCGAATAATTTAAGCCAGAGATGAGATCTTGAATTGAATAAAGAATTCTACTGCTGGTTGAGAAAAATGACCTAAAGTTAAACTTCTAGAGAATGTAAGCGACTTTATAACTGATAATAAGATGAAAGGAATAACAAGACTTTTATGGTTATTTATAATACCGAGAAAAATGTCTTTTTTACCGGGGCAGCAGCCGAAAATCTTGTAAAGGCACTATGAGTGACTGTGGGAGAAAGTCATTTGTCCATAGCAACAGGCTTTAAATAATTGAAATAATCGAAAAACAAATATTCTGAAGGAAAAACAAAATTCAAACCAAGGTATACGCATTTGTAAAAAGATTCCATTTTACAAGAAATTCAAATTTGTTGCTAACATTTCAAGTATCAAGAAAAGTAAGGGTGTTATTAGATTCAATTTCAGAAGCGAAATTAATGGCTGAATCAATCAAATTCATAACAGATGAGATCTTGGCTAGCTCTTCTTTTTTTCTTCTCTTAAAGCTCAAATATGTCATTAAAGTAGCGAATCCAGACCTAAAAGATAATTCTTTAAACAATATATTTGCTGACATTTACCAAATACTTGGGCGCCAAGTATTTGGTAAATGTCAGCAAATATATTGGATTGAGAAAATTATCCATAGCTATTCCTTCATTTTTGCGCTAGTATTTATTTTAGAAAGCGGAATGAGCTGGGCAAACGTAACTTCAGTGAAACAAATTAACTCTTGAATTTCATTACGTGTGACATGGAATTCTCGAAGTCTGGTTTCAATCTTCTTTAATTGGATGATTCTGACAGTTTGCTTAACCATTTGACTTCAAATTTAAAAACATTTACCCCGTTCTCTATCCAAGTGAACGAAATGTGTCATAAATACTCTAAATTTAGCAGTTGGGATTTTTTTTGACAAACGGTTTTCAAGCCAAAGGATGGATCACGTGTTTTAGTTAGTTGTTGGGATATATGTCTCATACGTAGCGATGGACTTACTATAAGCGCACCTATTATTCTGGAAAACTTTATTTCATAAAATAGATTTTATATCGAATGGTACAGGGTAAAGCATTCTTTGCATAAACCAAAATTGCACATTGGGCAACTCATATTTGTTCTTTTCTCTATGTTCCTTTGTTTACAACAAGCACAGCGGCATCTTGGTTTTCCAACTGTTGGAAGATGATTCCCAACATTCAGGAGAATCTGAGCACTTTTTAACCCACCAATAACTTTTAAACTTTTAGTGCACATATATGTCCTGTTAAGTAGTCAAAGTAAAAATGTCTTCACGCACCAACTCATTTTATTTCGTTCCTGAAGTTTACAAAAATGGTATTCTGTTTCCTTACATTGTTTCTAATTAGATGACACTTTCTCTCCATTTTTTCCTATCTCTTTATAAATATATATATGTTTGGGAGTATCTATGGTTGGGAGTTGAAGGTGCTATCCTTAGGTAAATAACACTTCCTTCACGTCTTCCACACCAGATATTTAATAAAAATAAAAGAAAAGGTACAGCTTTGAATCGAATGACAGTGCTGTTGCGCCTTCTTGCGCTTGTTGGATACAAAGTTCAGCATAACTTTTATACATTTTAAATAGCTGCTTGGTGCCTACTCGCGCTCGCTATCATATACTGTTCTTCAGTTACCACCGTCACGTGGAAACAACATCTGTCTATGTGAGCGACATCCTCCTCTTTCCTCTCGCTTCAGGCCCATAGGGGATGCCCTCTGGTGGCTGTGTAGGATATGTTACCACATATAAATGTAATAAATATGTATAACGTGTATATATGTAATGATAACAAATTTAGAAGTACTGATGTAAGAAAACTGGAATGTAGAAACGCAGAAATACTGATGGCACAGCACATAGATAGCATAGAACCTAGAACCATATTGAAGAGGAAGAGTTCTGATTACGTAGAATGCTAGAATGTTGAATCCATAATGACTAGGAAACTTGACAGTTGAATGTCATTAAATTTAATTTCAATTGACACTCGTGACCACAATTTACACTCCAATCGTGCCTTTTCAAGGAGATTTACATTTTTGATACTGTTGCGATAGGAAGAGAGCAAAGCGAAATGGCGTCCGAGCGGCACAGTGGTAGAAGCAAAAGTGCGCAGTTAAATCCATGACGGAAACTCACTAAGAAACTGTTTTGGTTTAGGTTGCAAAGGTTTCAGTTCTCAAAATTTTGAGTTCAAGTCCAAAATAACTACGTCATCAGTGTTACGCAAACTGTGTGACATAGATTAATCTAGAAATGACGCAGTCTAGAAAAGTTATTACGGTTTTTAGAGTACAGAAAGAACATACCCAATTTAAAGATGAGGAATTGAGAAACTATTACTAATTAAAACAAAAAATACGTAAATCAGCTTTATAATTTAATCTTTCATTTCCTCATTTTAAATTTGTGTATTTCCTCTCTATTCTAAAAACCGTAAAACATTTTCTAGACTGCGTCATTTCTAGATTAATCTATGTCACACGACTTGCGTAACGCTGATGACGTTGCTAATTCGGAACTTTTACTCAAAATTTTGAGAACTGAAAACTTTCCAACCTAAAACAAAACTCTCTTTTGGCGAGCTTCCATACTGAATAATGGCACACTTTTGCTCCTACCTCTGTGCCACCTGGAAGCTATTTCGGTTTGCTCTTTTCCTATCGCAATGTATCAAAGCTGTAAATGTTCTTGAATAGGCACGATTAGAGTGCCAAGTGAAGAGTGGCCATATATGTTGATTGAAATAAAAATGAAATTTAATCCGCTTCGACTGCCAATTTCCTAGTCATTACGGATTAAACATTTTAGCATTCTACGCAATCAGAATTCTTCCTCTTCAATATGGTTCTATGTTCTTTGCTATCTACGTGCTGAGTCATCAGTATTTCTACGTTTCTACGTCCCAGTGTTCCTATATTAGTACTTCTAAATTTGATTTTATTACAATACTGCTGTATGTATATGACATAATAGCACCAAGGAAAAGAAGGAGCACTATTGGTGCGTACGTAGATCAATATTGAAGAGGAAGAATTCTATTGCATAGTAAGCTAATATGTTGACTTCGTAATATCTAAAAAACTTGCAGTCGAGGCAGTTTTGATTCCATTTTTATTTTCCAGTTGACGTTTGTGGCCGCAATCACTTGGCACTCTAGTCGTGCCTTTACAGAACATTTACATTTTTGATATTATTGGGATAACAAGCAAGATAGCGAAATTACATCCTAGCAGAGCAGAGACCGAAGGTGAAGTTCATAGTTATGCAATATGGAAAAGTTTTGGTTCCCAGTTCTTACGTCATCAGAGCTGCGCAGGCCATAGAATGATCTAGAAATGACGCAATTCAAAGGAAATTATTGCGATGTTTAAAGCAGAGAGGAAGAATGAGTGTTTTACCGTTAGTTTAAATTATAATTTTGATTTACATATTTTGTACTAGATTGAATGTACAAGTCCGATGAAAGATTAGAATTTATTTTATCACAAAAAATGTAACAAAACTCTGGAATTATCCTCAGAGGTATTCTTACAATATCACGCAATATAATCAGTAGCTATATTTTAAACTGCAGAGAACGCTAATCCGATCAGAACTACAGCAGCTAAGTAAACAGCAGCACATCACTTAAAACAACTGAACTCAGTTGTTTCTCTCCGGCTTTTTAATCAGTCACGAGAAGCTTCTGGTAATTTCCGTTTTCTCGAGATTTCTGGAAAACAAAAAAGTAAAATTACGAGATATATATTTATTAAATGTTAAATGCGCGTGATCCTGTACTTTACTTTTCTGACTTGGCTTTTCTTAAAATAAGTTTCGTGCTGCATTGCAAGGGGATATAAAATTTTAATTTAAATAGTAAAATAGCTACCTAAATACAAATCCGTAACACGATATGATAAAATCTGGTAAAATAAAAAAAAAAAAAAAAAAAAAAAAAAAAAAAAAATCTGAAATGTTTCAGATTTTAAATTACGTCCAAAGGGGCGTTTTTTAACATTTTGTGTGTTACCTTTCTTTATTAAATATCATGTTCCTCGCACTTAAACCATAAGATCCAGTGCAACAGCAATATCGCAAAATAGTTTTAAAACGAGCATATCTTTAGAATTTCCGATACAGAGACTCACGCGCTGGAGATAAAAATGTTTTTTCTGCACAACGTTGCCATTGCTCGCTTTGAAATCCTTGAGTTTGTTAATCAAAAATTCGTCAAAGTTTTAAAAAATAGGAAATCGATCATAAAACAAATTTCAAATTTCAAATTTGGTCTTCCACATGCTCATATTCGTTGGAGGATTACGTTATTCAAAATTCGATGACTCTATGTACCGTTGTTTTATCACAATACGAGAAATATACATACATTTATGCAGATTTTTCATTATTTAATTTCTTCAAATATAATGCAGGACTCTAACATTTTTTGTGGCAACAGTTTGAAAAGTGAACCGACATTTATGAGTCCGACGCAAAATGCCAAAACGAAACTAATAGTCCTTCGGGATTCAAATCCCTTTGGACTAATAAATAAAAAAACGAGACTGTGTAGCTTCAAAAAAGAGTGGAGTTGGCAACAACTATTTTGGTGACACGTCATGCTACACATCTCCTCTATCCATGCGGTCAGTTTCGACTTAAGCGACTACACCAGTGCTGCGTCATAGTGAACACATGCAACTGCATTCTGCCGGGAAAAAGTCTAATGTAAAAACCGAACAGCGAATCACCACCAAACTTAAGAAATCAGCCACGAGGGAAACATTTCAAATCTTAACCGAGGCTTATAGAGATGAAACTTTGTCTCATGCACGCATGTTTGAATAGCATAAGTGGTTTTCAGGGGGAAGGGACAGAGTGGAAGATGACGCCCAGCACGTTCATAATGATTGAATGGGTTCCCAATAGTCAGACTGTTAATCAACGCTATTACATTGAAATACTAAAACGATTTGATGAAAAATTTAGGAAAAAAAGGGCTGCAGTTGTGGACTGATGGATGGCTGTTTCACCAGGACAATGCACCCGCTCACACGGCCCTATCTGTCAAGCAGTTTCTGACCAGCAAAAACATCGCTGTGATGGGGCATCCTCCTTATTTACCTGATTTGGCTCCATGTGAATTTTTTTTTATTTTCTAAAGTTAAATTTTCCTTAAAGAGAACCCATTTTACATCAGTTGAAGAGGTTCAAGCAAAAACGGAGAATCCCCTAAAGGGCCTTCCAAAACCATCGCTCCAGAACTGTTACCAGCAATGGCAGCACCGAATGCAAAAGTGTGTGAATGCCGAAGGGAACTACTTTGAAGGTGATAATGTCACGGAGAAATGATTCTGTACAATGATTTATTGGACAAGTCTTAATTAATTTCTTAAAAATAAAGTTTCTCTATATTTTAAAAATATTTCATGTAATTTTGTTACGAATAGATTATAGATCTTATTATTAAAATCTCATTCAGAAAGTTTACTTTTAATTAATGGATAGAGCCCTATTTCAATGAAAATCATAAGTGTAGGAACACTTTTGGGAGCCACTGTAATTTCTCTTTTTCAATAACATGATGCTTCTTATTATTATGAAATTTTGCCTTAAATTAAACTTTTAATTTTAAATTAAACTTTTAATTTTAAAGTTTTTCTATGGAATATTTTTAACAATTCATTCAAAATTGTAGTAAGAAGTTGCAAAATTAATGGAATTGTGAACGAAAATCCTTCAGAAACAATTTATTCTTTTCCAAATTCTTTTTTTATTGAGATAACTGAATAAAACAGAAGACAATGAATTTTTAAGCTGCACAAATTATATTTAGCTTTTATTATCTATATTTGTACGTGAGATATAATGTAATCATAATTTAATCGCTTTCTTACTAAACATTTTGTAGGCGAAAAATGCGACAGAATAAAATTAAAAATGCCTTTTTTATCATTGAATGAATCGTAAATGTGATAGCTCATGTCTCTACGGAACAGGAATCTCGTGATCTCTTACATCTACGCTAATGTCGTCTGCGTTGCAAAGTATATATTACTCCGCTCACGAAATTCTCTCTCTCTTCCACCTTAACGAAATAACATTTTATAAGCTGATGCTGCCTGCTCCTCTGTTACGGTAGGAATTTAGGTTTGCTATGGAAGCAAGCAATGATGTTCACAAACACGAAACTACGGTAAGGAAGTATTTTCGGTGTTGCCAAATTATTGTTTTGAAAATTTTTATTCAGATGCCAATTAAATCATAGTTAATTTTATTTTATAATATTCTTAAATTTAATGATGCTTAGAACTATTTGTTATTACGAAATTTATTTTTATTTTTAATATTTTTAAGTTAATGAAGTGTGAAGTGCGTAGTAGCTTAGAGAATTTAATACATTTTAGCCCAAAAGGGCAATTTGCAAATTGGGGGCAAAAGGGCAAATTGTTGCCCCTAAATATTATATATTGTTGCCCCCTAAATATTAGAGCCCTTTATTATTTAAAAAAATTAAATAATGAAGAATATGCATAAATGTATATATGTTTCTCGCATTGTGATGAAACAAAGGTACCTAGGGCCATCAAATTTTAAATACGTACATCTTCATTCGAATATGGGCATCTGGAATCCCAAATTTGTAAGCTGTTATATTATCTATTTCTTATTTTGTAAAGTATTTATGAGTTTTTGATTAAGAAACTCAACAATTTCAAAGCGAGCAAAACACAATACGAAAAAAAAAAATTATCACCAGTGCTCGACACTGAGTATCGGAAATACTAAGGATGTGCTGTTTTAAATATTTGTGATAGTGCTGTTAAATTGAATTTCATGGTTTAAGTGCGAAGAGCATGGTATTTAACAAATAAAGGTAACACACAAAAAAGTTAAAAAACGCTCCTTTGCCCTTAATGTAAAATCTGAAGGCTTTCAGATTTTTTTTTTTTTTTTTTTTTTTTTTTTTTTTTTTTTTACCCCAAAGGAGCGTTAGCTCAGAAGGGCTATTAATTTTGTTTTAGCATTTTGCGTCGATTCACTATAAAGGAAAATCACTTTTGAAATTGTTGCCATCAAATATTATCGCCTGTGTTATACTTAAGCAAATTAAATAATGAAGAATCTGCATAAATGTATGAATGTTTCTCGCACTGTGATAAAACAGCGGTACAGCCATCTAATTTTGATTCATGTAATGTTCCATCGAATATGGGCATCTGGAAGCCCAAATTTGGAATTTGAAATTTGTTTTATAATCGATTTCTTATTTTTGTAACATTTCAACGAATTTTTGATTAAAGAAACTGAATGTTTTCAAAGCGAGCAATGACAACACTGCACGAGGGGGAAAAAAAATTATCTCCGGAGAGCAAGACTGTATCGGAAATTCTAAAGATAGGTTCATTTAAAAATTATTTTGCGATATTGCTGTTGAACTGAATTTTATGATTTAAGTGCAAAAGACATATTTAATAAATAAAAGTAACACACACAAAAAAACCCTTTGTGCATAATATAAAATTTGAAATTTTTCAAAATTTCTTTTTAGACCAAAGAGGCAATTTGTCCAGAAGGATTATTAATTTCATTTTAGCATTTTGCGTTGATTCACTATAAATGTCTGTTCCCTTTTCAAATTCTTGCCATCAAATATTAGAGCCCTGTGTTATGTTTAAACAACTGAAATAATGAGGAATATGCATAAAGTTTTGTATGCTTCTCGCATTGTGATAAAAGAACGGTACCTAGAGCCATGAAGTTTTGAATAACGTTATCTTCCAACCGAATATGGGAAGTCTTAATTTGGAATCTGAAATATATTTTTTATCGATTTCATATTTTGTAAGACTTCAACAAATTTTTGATTAACAAACTCAACGATTTCAAAGGGAGCAATGGTAACACTGGAACTGTCCTCTGTAATATTGGCGAACAAAAAAACTGTGGTTCGATTCTCCATCACGTGTTATCTTCAATTACTCCAAATCCACGAATTCGTAGTACGCAACAATATGTTTGGAGAAATAGCAATATTCTAGAGAATCAAATCTTTAAATTATGTTAGATTTAGCTGCTGTAGCACTTTGACTAGAAGAACGATCAAATATGGGCTTGTTAATGATGGCAAAAAGATGCCATCATTGACAAGGCATTTCATCTTCCCCCATAACCCATATTTGATTGAATGACATCTTTTGACAAGAAATAACCGATATTTGAGTATTTTTAGAAGCTACTACTACAAGTAAAATTCCGTTTGAAGATGAAGAAATAAGTGGGTCAGATGCATGGATTTTTCACAGTGTAACACGAATACGACAGTTTTCCTTGAAAATTCCTTCACAGAGAATCCCTCCCTTCCTTTAGGCTGCGATCCCCAATGTGCTTTGCCATATTCAGATAACTTAACCTAATCTAACTTTGAAATAAAGAAGTAAAATACATAGAAGAAATTGAAGGTGGGAATGTAATGCATTGAAAGTAAAATAATCTGTATCAATGTTAACTGAATCAGTATTGCTTGATGTTATTAATTTTCTCCTATTTATTTATGAACAAATGTGGTAGCGTTTTCAGTACCTGGATAAATATTCGGGTTGTTCAAATGAAAAGATACGAAATGGCACTATGGATATACTGAAGTACTTGTTCACAAGTAGTCATCAGAGGCCTGAGCACAACTATCCCATTTTTTCACGAGCCAAAGGATTCCCTCTTCCCAGAATTTCTGTAGCAGTGACAGGAGCCAGACCTCCACTGTGTTCTTCAGTTCGTCGTCCAAATTGAAGCATTTTCCTTTGAGATGCTTTTTCTCACTAGGTCGTTCATATTGCCAATGAGTTCAGCCGTGATTACTGTGTTTGCCTGGCCTGGTCTCGCGTCATCACTCAAATACTCCATGCCTTAACGAAAACTGGCACTCCGCTTTCTCACTGACTTGTTCGACACATAGTCTGCTCTGTATACGGCCACCATCCGGCGTTGAATATTATCCGCCGTTTCTGACTGTGGACCCTTCCACAGTCAGAAATCTGATAACATCTCGCTGCTCCTCTGTCGTCGAATTTTGCAATGTGAACGCCATGGTGTCATCACACGCACTGCTGCATCAATTGAACGGAACACGCAACTGTGTGCGTCATGTTTTTATGCGTCATGGCATCTCAACATCTGACAATTGTGTCTGTGGCATGCTAGGTTCTCCCGAGCACTACCTATTTGACTGCGGTCTAACAACAGACCACCACTTACCACATCCAACGAATGATAGAACACTTTACTATCGTTTCATAATCAAACACCCGCCAGCTATAAGGAGTATCTGCGCAGTTGTACAGCAAATCAACGCCCTAGGGCAAGACATTTGCGAGCCACAATAGGCATGGTACTGAAGACAATGTACTCAACGATTAGGTATTCGCAGTATGTACACATTCTGTAAGCGCCACATTCAATTTCGAGCCTCATGTAATCATCTGCTTTCAATAGAATAATGTTACTGACATGTTTATCTGTGTAAAGCACTGAGCACCCAATGGAACGATTTGTGTATCGTAAATCGAAATATATAATATCCGTACAATGCACCAATGCAGTGTATGCAACGAAAATATCTAAATCATGCAACAGAAGCCCCTAATGAAAGTATGTACATTTATGTATTATGGGTACTGAGCATATTTCCGCACATAGCGCTTCTGCTTTACGCGCACCTTACTATATCTCACATGTTTCTTCTGTGTGCAATATTTGCATTTATGTACTCTACGTGTTTCCGTACGTATTCTATGTGTCATGATTATGTTATTCTCGTGTGTGTTTTTATGTCTTTATGTTACCGTAATTACGAGTGTGTTTTTTATGCTTTACGTTTAATTTTGTATATCTATGTGCTCAGCTATATAGTGTGTTTTAGTGTTTTAATGGTATCCTTTATATTCTTTTTAAGTTACTTTGTGTTATTAACAACGTCCTATGTAAAATCTACTTGACATCTAGCCCCTGTATGGCCATGTAAACTCCCGGTGCAGTCTTACGGGGCTCCAGCGAGTTGCTTCTTCGAGATAGTGAGGACGTTGGACATATGCCTGTTTACCTATGTTATACGCCAGGTGTCCTCGTCCTCCGTCACCTGTCTGCGTCATGTGCAGGTGCCCATACATACACACAACCACGCCGGATACTACATTCGCGTCCTTAGATGTCTCCCTACGTTATACCAAAGCAGCATATTCAAATTTCAACCGGTGTTCTTGTTACAACGTTTTGTACTTTTTCATTTCAACACCCCTTATATATTTATACTACACCAGTGAAATCAGCAGATATTACTAGCCTACTGGCATGTGAAAAAGTGTACTGATTTTGTTGGAGTAATTAGATTTAATCACATGCTGAACATGATGTCTTAATTGTCCGTATAGTTTATTAGCTTCTTTTCTTGTTTTGAGCTCAGTAACATGACCACGAAACACGGTTTCTTTTTCTGGTATTTTAAGGTATGCTGAACACTTTCCTTGCAATAGTACCTTTTAAAAGAATGGTTTTCTTCATTCACCCCCTTAAATTGTTCTCTAAAATGTACTACAGACAACACAAACAAAGTACAAATCTTTGCACATTGTAAATAACAACAATTAGACTAAGAATACGAACAAACATTTTGAAAAAATTAAATGGTCTATCAGATACATGTTTTAATATTTTTGCTTTGTTACTATATTATTAATTTTACAAATACAAATAAACTTTCAAAAACAAAATCACAGATTTCTAATTGAACAGAAGTTCGATTTTAATCAATATTATGACTCATGTATTCATGTAATTTTTTTAAAATATTTGGCATAAAATTGCTTCACTTAATTCTGAAATCACCTCGTTCAAAATTATTCGATCTGTATCTTGTTTTCCGTAGTAAATTATTGACTTCACTAAAGCTTCCATCCTATAGGTAAGAAGAGGAAAATAAATGTCAAAAATGTTGGTTTGGTCACAACTTTTATTCGGGGATATTTTCTTCCGAATGACTTTTAAACACGAGAACTTAGTACGCCCATGTGTTTCGAATAAGACTTGATTTTGTTTGATACAACTGTATGGGAAAAAAGGGGGAGGGACATTTTTTATACCTTTCGTTCTACTGGATCAATTGTCGAAATTTAACTTGCGTTTTCCATGTCTTGAAAGCGAGACTTAGGGATATATATTAGGTTTATATATAGCATTGTTCTAACATAAGTATTTTGGCGCAAAATCGGACTTTTCTGAAATAACATACCAATGTTTTTCCATATTTCGATTCTATGACTCAAATTAGGCTAGAGTGTCACGTTTTGTAAAAATCGCACGCGTAGTTTTAAAAAATTAGTTCTCAAAATTTTAGTTCCGCCATGTTAATAGAATTTGGTATATATTTATTAATATCTCTTTTTTTATTAAACTTATTTGATTCTTACTTTCACATTTCGAAATTTAGATTCATTTCAAATAAATTACCCATTTTTTGTGATTTATTTTTCAAATTTGTATTTTAAAATAATTTTTATAAATTTTTGAAAAAAATTAGAATTATAACCTATAAAAGTTTTACTATCATCTGAAAGTAAATGTATTTCTATGCATGCCTGCAAAAATTTAGAGTTTTTTATACAAAATTTCTTAAGATATACGTGAATTTACATATTGGCGCGTTTTGAAATTTGGTTTGTCGCCACATTTGGCGTTATTATGTCTTATTTTTTATAAGACATAATAACGCCAAATGTGGTTTACGCACTTCGTTATAATTATTTGAAAGTATAAACAATGACTTTTTCCCCCCTCGCTCGTGTACAATGAAAAAAAGGAAAGTAATATAGGTTGCTATAAATTAAGAAGTTCGCTAATTCAGTTCTTGGCGCAAACTGAAAAATATGCGCCAAGATAAAATTTTAATTTCTCGATAAATTTCTAACCAAACCTTATAAAATTTAATATATAGGCATAATTTGAGTCATAGAATCGAAATATGGAAAAAAAATTATGTTATTTCAGAATCATTCCGATTTTGTGTCAAAATACCTACGTTAGAGCAATGCTATATATGAATCTAATGTTTGTCCTAAGTTGAGCTCTTGAGCCATGGAAAATGCAAGTTAAATTTCGACAATCGGTCTAGTAGAACGGAAGATGTAGAACAGTCAACCTCCCCCCCTTTTTTTTCCGAGGTTTACATCAATAAACAATAAATTATCAGTTTTATTGCTAAATTTTTTGTAATTAATGGAATCTTGATTATGTCGATGTATATTTGGCTGTCGATCCCAATCGATCCTTTGAACACTATTGACGCCCTTTAAAACGTCATTGATCCCCAGGGATTAATACCAATCCCACTGAGAAAAACCTGCAATAGTTTAAAGAGCTTGTTACGCTCGCTCTTTTTAGTTTAAACTTCTCGTAGAGGAAAAAATTATAAAAAAATAAAGTCACCAAGATCAGAAACGTAACAAACAAAGAATAAAATCCCATTATAGAAAAATCGATTAAATATCGAAAGAAGAATTGAATTCCATTAAGTTATCTTAAAAGGTAGTGTCACTGCTAGATTATCATGTTGTTCGGCGAAAGGTTTATCAGTACCTTGTCAAGGTTTATGACAAGTATTCAGAATGATTATATTTTTATAGACAATGGTTATCTCTCAGGAAAATTCAAATGATAGGGATAAATTATGTTTATGATTTTTTTATACTTTTGCGCATTTTAATCTGACACAGTAAAATTCATTTTTGGAATTTTATTACAAAGCATTCATCATATAAACGTTTTTGCAAACAAAAAGTAGATTACTGACTCAGTTAACCGAGATTTATTGACCAATTCACATAACAAATTCTTTTCAACGAACTTTTAGATAAGCATTGTATCATTTTGGCATTTAAAACGTCACCTTAGAGAAGAAAAATCTTAAATCCGATAATGCTTGCTTAAATTTGAGTAATTAGTTTTCTAATACTCACTTTAATTAATTTCTTTAATTTTTCTATCTTGCTTTTATGTAAAATGGAAAACTCAGATGTTCTTATATGATGTGGTGAATTCATTTAACACAATTACACCAGCAACTTAGAAAACCACTATGACAATATTGCTACCTTTTTCTTCTTACGTACGTACGGTAAGGGTACGCGGATTTGGAGTGAATAACGACGCTATTTGATGAAGTATCGAAACACAACTTATTAGCCAGTATTATTCAAGACAACTCCAATAGCATGTTTACAGTAGCCGAAGATCTACTATAAACACGCTGGAACAATCAGAGACACAACCTTCAGGTTATCAGGGTATAACGGTGGAGACAGCTTCACTGCAAAGCACCAGAGTACAGCTCCCAACTCTGCTCAGTCGTTCTCGGAACTCTACGTACTCTCGAGACTCTCCACGCTACAACTCGCGATGCACTCGACTATACACTAGAGCACAGCTCCCCACTCCTCGGTTCAGTCGTTCCCGGAGCTCACACACTCTAAGATCAAACTGGACAACTCGCGATACACTAAGAGACTCTCTCGATGCATTCGACGACCAACTTGGCACTAGACTTCGAGACACTTGCTCACTGACTGACTATCAAACTCGCTAGACGAGACACTGACTCCGCACGGAATTGCGATCGCGTACCAGCAGGGTTTATTTAGCTTTTTGGCGTGTGTTCGAGAACATTCTGGGCTAAACCAGTAAGAATTTGCTTCATCCGTCTATAGCATATCGCCAATTTCGTCGCCAAATCTGGCAACCCTGCTTTCTCTTGCCATTTTCTGGCAGCCCTAAACTTGCTTAGCGGGGAAGCTATCTTACCGCGGCTAGACACTTCGTAACAATATTATTAATTAAATTAGATTAACAATATTTTTAATCACATTTCTAGTTAGTTGAAACTGGAATTCAATTTAATTTTCGTTAACACAATTTCAGGGCATTTTATCGAAGTGTTCATCATTGTCATTAGTACAGTCGGCGAATTCAAATCATCGGACTAAAGGACTACCACTATGGCTCGCTTCCGTTTTTATCGTTGGCGAGATGGCAGGAAGCGGTGTTCTTGCTTTACCGAAAGCAATAGCAGATGCAGGTATATTTTTTTGGCTTTTAATTATTTAATCTTAGCTTTCCAGATATAGTTAAAAATTTTGGTACTTACATATTACCTCGTCCACTGTGAAATCTGGCAGAGATCCTACTAAAACTAGTTCCTGCAGAATTCTGAAGGAGCCGATGCCATTTATTTAATAAACAATTAGCATTCGACCCACTTTAATTGATGATTACCACTTTACCAATGATTTGGCAGATTTCTACTATTGTATTATGCACTCCCAGTTTACCGAAAGCTGGGTTTAGAACGCTGCTAGTACAAACTACATTTTACGACGACTCCCGTCACGGACGCGAACAATTATGGTCGCTCGCTAGAGAGCTCTCCGCTCAATAGTACAGCAACTACGAACATGATTACGGCGCCTCCAGCTGGCAGTACGTCTCTTATGGATGCATCTCTTCTACCTCCTCCCCGAATAATTACGAACACTGATATGGATACGACTGCTCCTCCTGCCACTTTCCCAACGCAAGTCGTCAACAACACCATCCAGATCTACGCCTTGAAGAACCGAATCCTTGAACAAGAATCTGATATTCAACGGATCGAGAAAAAAGACTATCCGCCTGAAACCAAAGACGCCATGCTGAAGCAAATGCGTGCTGAAGGTGAGACACTTTTGAATTCCTTAAAAATGCTTTGGGGGAGCCTTGGGGTTAACTTGTTTACTCTTCCTGCAACAGAAAGTGAATTCCTTGCAAATTGCAGTAGACTGAACGATAAAAGAACTAATGTTATCTCTAATCCCAAGCAACCTGCACCTTCTAGTCCTGCTAGTAATTCTAAACCGAAAGTGGATAATAAGAAAAGACCTAGAGCTACTGATTCGGAAGGCTGTTGCCCTCCCACCTAAGCATCTTGTTGCTAAAAAATCTCCTGCTACTCAATCTCCTACAATTTCAACTCCTAATACCTCAAATAAATTTGAGAACTTAGAAAATGCAAAAGCTAATCCTGAAAATAATTCTACGCAGCTGGCCACAAATGCAACTCCTAAAGTTCAAACTCCTCCCCCAGTATTTATCAAACCACGAGCTGATTGGTACTTTCTTTTACAACAGCTACATAGACATGCCCCCCCCCCACTATTCAATCTGGGCAAGATATTGATTTTCTTAGATACTACTAATGAAACTGATTATAGAACTCTTGTTAGATTCCTCCAGAGAATCAAATAGAATTTAAATCTCATACTCTGAAAGCAGAACGTCCCTTAAAAATTGTTGTTCGGGGCCTACCGTCTGTTAACGCCCATTAACGTTGTTCAGACTGCGATTGAAGTTGCTAGGTTTAAAATTCACAAAATAACTCAAACGATGGAAGACTAGAGTTCCAATGCCTCTGTTCTATGTCCAGATTTACAACAGCCTGAAAGCTGACGAAGTCTTCAATATCACGGAACTTCTCGGCACTGACGTCGAAATAGAAAGATTCAAAGACGCTGTGTATGATCCAACGCTGTGTATGATGTGCTGGTTCGCAGCAAGTCAAAGACTGTACCAAACCCTTCGACAAACCGATTAAGTGCGCAAACTGCCTAGGTTTTCATGCCGCGAACTGGCGTTCGTGTCCGTGCTTTCCTGGAGCCAAGAAAAACCTAAATAAACCCACGACTCAATCCACCCAGTCCGTTAGTCCTTCCCCCAACAATAGCAACAATCTTAAATCAAACCCACGTCCGGCTGCAAAGTTTAATAGTGACAGTAAAGTTCGTCCCGAAGTCTCATACTCCAATATCTTAACGGGCACTTAACAGGTTGCTTCCCCCAAATTCCAAATTATTCGGTCCCCCAAGGAGCTTATCAGACTCAAAATTGCACCGAAATCCTTTGGCAATAATCCAAAATCTCTAATCAGCCTGGCATTGACCAGAATAGATACTCTTAGCATTCAAAAATGCCTTGCCTCAGCTACGAGTGGCTCCCTCTGGTGCTGAACGCTGCATACTATATTTTTGAGATCTATGCTATTCTACAATTTTCTGATTCTCCCCTCACATTAAAATTCAATACTTGCAAAGGTTTGAAGTACCTAAAATTATGTACCTGGAATGGCAATGGCATTATGCGTAAATATCACGAATTTCGTGATTACGCCGAAGAGAAGGGCTTTGACATTATCTCTGTCCAAGAGACCAGACTCCAACCAGGGAGAGTTCCTAAGCTTGCAAATTATTTTACTTATAAAAATGACAGACAAGCACCGGATCCTCGTGCCGTTTATCATGGTGATACATGTGTTTTGATTAAAAATCATATTCCCCATCGCAGAATTGACACACCGAGTCTGAGCAGACTCGAGGAGACGATTATCGAAATTTTTATTCAAAATTCACCTTCCTTAGTTTTGATCTCTGCCTATCTTCCACCTTTATCCAGAACAAGAGACAAATTTCCGGTGGAGGATTTTAACAAACTGCTCAATTTATCAACCAGTATCATTATCGCTGGTGATTAAATTGTCACCACCAGACTTGGCGTCGTAAAAATTCCAACACCGCTGGTCGTGGCCTCCTAAAAGGGGCTCAGTGAGCCCAATTTAAAATTATACAGCCGAATTAACCCGCACGATGCCATGTACAGGGAGCCCCTTCTTATATTGATTTGGCTCTTTTTCGAAATATTCCTTTTGACTATCACGTGACTGTGGAAAAGTTGTCTATCCTCAGATCACAACCCCGTACTCATCTACTTTAACTGTAATTCTTTTAATCAAAATTCTCCGGCACTCGTCTCTACAAATTGGGACAATTTTCGATATAAACTTAACAGTAAAAGTTTTCCCTCCTCGAAATTAAATCCAGTGACGATACTGACAAGGCTGTTGATCAGTTAACTTCTATCCTAACAGATACTTTTAAAGAAGCATCAAAACCCACCCTTTGCGCCAATTTTAATAAACTTCCAGCTGAAATCAAACTCAAAATCCCCGAAAAGAATAAAGTACGAAGGCTTTAGCAAAGAATTAGAAGTCCTGACTTAAAATTACAACTTCGTGCTCTCCAAAATGAGATCAAGGCTTCATGTGACCAGTTCAATCAATCACGATACTCTAATCACATTCAATCCCTAATGACCACAGATAAGTCTTTGGCGTGCATCTGCCAGACTTCGCAAACACAAATCTCACATTCCGTCTTTAGCTAAGGACACAGTGGTGACTCATACAGACACGGAGAAATCTGAATTAATTGCTGACAGTCTCCAAACACAATTCACACCACATAATGAAGGGATTTTTGCTAATACCGCAAATTCCTTCTAACTAAATCTTGAAAGATTTCTAAATTCTTCATGTTAGGGAGACATACAATATACAACCATGCACGAAGTTAGCGAATATATCGCTAAATTAAATCCTAAGAAAGCGCCTGGATTGGACTCTATTTCTATCGCACGATTAAATACCTACGCACCAGCTATCTATTTTTCTTAGTAATACTCATAAATTATATGTTACTGCGTTGCTATTTTCCTCAAAGCGGGAAGAGAGCACTTATTGTGCCTATTCCGAAACCTGGCCTGTGCCATTCAAATCCTCAAAATTAGAGACCTATCAGCCTCCTATCTTCGTTATCAAAGATTTACGAATTTGTGCTACTTAAACGCCTGAATGATTTTCTCCGAACCTAAAAATTCGTTATTGACGAGCAGTTTGGTTTCCGAGCAAAACAGTGCGCAACGCACCAGCTTCTGAGGACAGTGGAGTTCATTCATAAAGGCTTTCGTAGCAAAATGTGCCTTATTGGGGCCTTTTTCTTGACATAGCCAAAGCATTTGATAGGACGTGGCATACGGGTATTATTATCAAACTCATGCGACTTGGTATTCCGGTTCAACTTATTCACATAATTAGCACGTATCTCACTAATCGTTCTTTCTCAGTACGAGTTAATTCTATCATTTCGGCTCCCCGTCCAATCCTAAGTGGCGTAGCTCAAGGTAGTCTACTCGAACCGACTATCTTCAACATCTTTATCAACGACATTCCAAAATCACCCAGTGTTACTCTAGCACTCTATTCAGATGACACGGCCATCCTAACAGAACACAAACATTTGAATGCTCTGGTTCACAATATTCAGAGTTATCTCCATAGCCTCGAGCACAGGCTCATTACTTGAAAAATCAAAATTAACTTAGCTAAATGTGCTGCAATGATATTCACACTCTCTCGAATCTCGTACCCTGCCATTAATATAAAGTTCTTCGATGACTATGTCCCCTGGTCAAATTAATATAAGTATCTTGGAGTGATACTTGATTCCAAAGTAATCTGGCGTCTTCATATTGATTATACACTCAATAAAGCGAAGACCGTCAGAACGCAACTTTACTCCCTTCTAGGCCGAAAGAGCCCTCTGTCAATCAAAAACAAAGCTCTTCTCTATACTTCCATTATTCGACCAATATTTTTGTATGATTGCACCATCTGGGGTACAGCTGCAAAAACACGCATAAAAAAATTTCAAGGCTTCCAAAGTAAGACCCTGCGTTTAGTCCTTAATGCAGCCTGTTATGTCCGTACTGATGTGATTCATTCCGATCTTAACATTAACCCATGATGTTTTATTTAAAAGTAGTCAAATATTCCTCAAATTGAACTGATAAGTGCACTTCAACTTCATGAGCTAAATTTCTTACTTTATATATATAATGTGGGACATCGTCAATGCTGAATTAGAATACCAGGATTATGACGTCATCAGTATAGCATCACCCAGCGCAGTAAGAATCATCCGAGACAGCGCTGAGACCTGGTCGAGAGTGGAAGGCAGACGTGAGCAGACGGCTCACACGTCTTCAAGAGTATATGAACTTAGATTGTGCTTTTGATGTTATGCCTTTAGGTGTAAAAGGACTACATCATTATGTTAATCCTGCATACCGTTAACTTCATCTTTATTTACTTTTTCTTATTTACTTTTACTTCTTTCTATTAAATAAACCATTTAAATATTACTTCGTGCTCTCATGCTGTGAATAAGTCAAATTCTACATATATATATACTCACTCTGTTATCTAGCTCTGTGAGCTCAGTTTTTTTTTATTATTATTATTCTTTGTTCTTATATGATGGTAAATTGTGCATTTCCTTTAAAAGTGATTGAATTATGTTGTTCTTGTGTTCCGGTTAAGTTTTTATGCCTTTAGTTATTCTGCATCCTATAATTGTAGAATTATCAACAATTTAAAAGTTAAGATAAAATAACACGCCGAACAAGTATTAATTTAGAAGTCAAACAACAAAAATCAGCGTTATTTTTGCAAATTTTCACAGGACTAGTTTCGATGGTTTGGTTTTACCGAACCATCATCCTCAGCTGCCAAAGCACAAAAAAAAAAGGCTTTTTTTTTAATTTTTATTTTTTTATTTTTTTTTTTCGCTTTGGCAGCTGAGGATGATGGTTCCGTAAAAACAACTCGCATCGCTTGTGTTAAATAAATCAACATCCCCCAAATCTTACTCGATCCGATTTTTTTGTCCCTGTGAAGTTCCACGAAGCAGCAACCTATTGTTGTCAATGTTTGTAAATATTGGAGTCAATTTGATTTTATTGTCGCTTCTATGTATTGGTTTAATGTTACGTATTGTTTTTTTTTTATACATTTATTTTTCGAATTTGAGGTAATAAATTAGAATGTGTTTTTGTCTAAATTTGTGGCAGCATATGATTCACCCATGTGCATATTTTTTCCCACAAAATTGAACATGTTGCGATTCGGAACCCAGTGTTTAAATATACCGAACTTAATGTTTAAATATTTTAATTAGAATTCAATAGAAATAATTTCCTGACGTCCTTCGCAACAACATTTTCGCCAAGTAAGCGACATTCCGCAAGTTTCTTGAAAACGCATTTTAAAAGTTCTGAATTATTTTTTCACCTCTAAGCTTTTAAAAATGCCCGAAAACCTACATAAGTAGTCCTCTTTGAATCTCACAGAAAAACCTCACAATTTTTTTTTTTTTTTTTTTTTTTTTTTTTTTTAGTAATTCTGTGAGTAATGTCGATAATCTGTATTATTTTTAGTGTGTTAAGCCAGAATTGCTTTATCTCTACGTTCTACTGAGATATTTATGGTTGTTATTTTTGGTTTACACTTTAGCAGAATATTAGTCAAATTCTTCCTGCTCATACAGTGATTATTTGAAAAGATCTCTATGAAATGGTGACAGAAGTGGGGTCTCTTTGTACGGCTGTAACCCACAGCAGCTAAAAGCTAGTACGGAAATGATATCTGCTAGCAAAGAAGAAACTGTGATATGAGGAAGGAAAGAATCGCGAATACCGGTGAAATGAAGGCGGCTATAAAAAGTAAATATTCAATCGCCCCTCTCCAGGATGAAACAATAGCCGCTGAGATGAAGACAGAAATTAAAAACACTTCAATTAAATTACATTAAATTACGTTCAATTACATTTTTCCTAACAGCTCATAGTCCATTTACAGAATACCTTCATAGATTCGAACTTCACCATACAAATCTCTGTACTTATGGGAATGAAGACACAATGGATCATTATCTCTTTTACTTGCAACCTTAACTAAAAGATTATCACCTTAAAACATTCAATTTAACTTCTGCTCAATTATGGTTTCGACAGTTATTAAAAAGTAAATATTTTAAGAAATCAACTTCAAAATATAATAAACTATATCTCCGCAAACATCGAGCATCTTAAAGGAACTTGAAATCATATTATTCTATGTTCATTTACCTCATTTACCTTACTTAATGCGCCATCCTTTTTGCTATCTCATTTTAATGCTTTCACTCAAGACCATCTTTATTTAAGTACATATTCAAGATCTCCCAAGCTCAATCAAGAATTTAAGAATATTTTGTAACTCCATCTCCTTAATATATTTATCTTAAATATATTAATTAAGTCTCAACTCAAGATTATTAGTCAAGATTTTTAATCAAGAATGACTCTTTATCAAGAATTTCCATGAACTTTTCATTCAAGTCATCCTAATTCATTCAAATACTATTTCTCATCAAATTTTATTCAATTACTGCTCTTTATTCTCCATAATCAAAAACTATACTCTTATTCTAAACTATTTACATAACTTACATTCTCAGCCCCTTCTATTCTCCTACATTATGTTGTTCGTTTTCAAAATTTGTAATGATCTTCCTAAGTATTTACGTACGTATTTATGTTTCATTTGCTTACATATTTATTTAGGTATTATGTATTTATATGTTTAATTTTTTTTAAATTTATTATATAATTCTCAAAATTCTAATACTATATTGATATTATATAACAATGTTTGTTATATAATATTATATACAACATTGTATTTAGGCATTTATTCTAAGTTTTTTTCAATTTTTATTTATTGTATCTATATATGTAATTATATATTTATTTCATGATATTGTAAGGATCCTAACTTTTACTAACGTTTATTTTGTCTTAAATCTTTACTATCACTTCTTATTTTCTACTTCCGGCCAGAATTAAAAGCTTTAACTTATTTATGCAAATTTGTCTTGCTAACGCCAAGTGCTTAAGTTGTGGCTTTTTGCCAAGCAAGAGAGAAGAAAGAGTTATTGCAAGCCGCTTGCCATAGTAGTTTTACTCGGTTGCTGGTTGCCTTCAAGGCCAGAGGTTTAGTCCTCTTGATAATTTCAAACGTATCGTAGTTTTAGCAGCTCTCTGTACTACATACGGATTTTTAAAATAACGGCCAATCTTAAAGCTAGGCACTTGTATATTAATCCAAAGTTAGTTTTAGTTAGAGTGTTAGTAGTTTTATTTTTTACGTTCAGACCACAAGGTGTTGTCTCTGTATTCCGAAGTTCCGGAAAATCTCTGTAAAGATAGAAAAATAAAGGGTTTCGTATACCCTTCCTGTATGCATTGTCTACTTCACAATTTATTGAACATAGCTTGAGTAAGCTCCCTGTTCCGAGTCAGGACAGTTCATGTTTCCAAAGCAAGTGAAGAGGAATACAAGTCCTGATAATATTTAATTTTTATTAGGTAATTATCAAAATTCTAAAACGTTAGTGAATTTTATATATTATAACAAGACAGTTGGTAGATGATTCCATCAGTTGAGCATAAAAAGCTGAATGTCTGAAAGGCGGTGCAGCTGGTCATCTGATGGTAAATAAGTAAATAAATAAAACAGCAGATGCTATAGGAACTGAAGAAAGCATTGGAGCTGTTAAAGAGAGGCTTGTGAATGCTATGAATGCGAAAGAAGCCGCTATGCAGTTGTGTGTTTTGATACAAGGAAGCTTTTTTTATGTATAATATCCACTTCAACTGTTAAAAAATGTGAAAAAGAATTGGGGGTTCTTAATCAAAGTATCTCTACATTTAAACGGAGTACAAAGAATTTCAAATAGCAGAGAAGAAATTATTGGAATCGCTTCAATCTGCAAATCCGTCTCAGCTCAGCCTTCTGTGTTTGATGTCCCAGATCATCCATCTACGAATAAAACTTTGGTTCTGTCATCTCGTTACATAAACACCCTATGGCTGTATAGTGGGAAATCATTACGGAATGTATACAGAATGCGATATGAAACGATTTCGCGGATAGTTCAATGGTTCTTCATCTGAAAAAGCTTTTTAAATTTGGGAGCTGCCTAAGCCCAGCTACAGGCTTTTTAAGGAAAATGTAAGGAAAAACTACCATATGCTTTAGCTGTAGTTAATGCATTGGAAATTCAGTTTAGGAAAATTTTTCTCATAACTTGAGACTTAGCAACAAACAGCAATAGAGGCCCTTAAAGAACTATAGCAATAGACATCGAAAAATTTACTCAGCTAGATTCTGGTCAGGAAATAAAAGACACAGGTACAGGTGCAGTAAAATATGGGGGACACCAACGATGTACCATAGGTCAACTGGTAATACCTTCCCACACTAACTCATAAAAAAAACGCGAGATAGGGGGAATTGCATGTTTTATAAGAATTTACATAGACTGAAGCTTTCCAAATGGTCTGGAGTTTGCCTATTCTGGTACATTGTGCAATCCCACCGTACGCACCGTATCCAGTATTTATTAAAAACAATGATGTAGGACATAAGTAGAATACAAAATAGTCTGAATACGATTTGAAATTCACAAATTAAATTCAACATCTGTTTTGGTGCAACAAAAATAGGAGATAAACATAATTAGTAAACAGATAAACATAATGAGATAATTGGTACTGGCAACACAATGTTACAATGAATTGTAATAATAATGCTAAAGAGATGGGTGTCCATGGGCTATTTCAGATATAAAGGTTTATTGTAGCTTATAACGTTCACGAGTGGAGTCATTTTGTCCACAATCACAGCACGTAAAAGTTCACTAAATTTATGCAGTATGTGGACTGAGACCTGATTTTCCCTTCAAATCGAGTTATGAAAGTGGAACACTTTCCTTAAAATGCTGTGGCACATTTGAGGATTATCTTAATTTTTGTAAGTTGACACTGAATAGCTTGTTTAATTTAGCTATGTACTTGCGCCTTTTTCAGGTTGGAGTGGGATAGCTCTTCTAATTATTTCCTGCCTGAACACTCTTTATGCCGCTATATGCCTTGGGAGATCCTGGATGATAATCGAAGAACGCTACGACGAGTACAGAGAAAAGAACAGATACCCATATGCAGCTATAGCTTATAGAGCCGTTGGAACTAAAATGAGGTAAGATGATAAACATTTAAAACTTTATTCAGACTTTGTATTTACCAAGTCTGTAAAAGTCTTCGAAGTCAATATGGTATATCGAATACATTAATTAACACCAGAGAGACAGCCCCTGCCCTGGAAAGCTTAAGCTCTCCTTTCAAGGTTTAAATGAGCTGCAACTCCAGAGCCGATCTGGTAGGGCGCCACCCCTCCCGATCGTTGCAGAGGGTTAATTTCCCTCACAGTTTGGGTCGTCAGTGTACTGCACCGACTAGCTACACAAGTTAAGGAAAAATCGAACGTTCAAAATTCCCTCGATCAGGGCACCACTCTGTCACGAGGTACTAACTTCAAAGTTTAAGCCAAAATAGAGTTCATACGTCTCTCCACACCGACCATATCATATATCCTCCCAGACCAGCAACTACCATCCACTATGTAGCTCCCCACAGCTTTGGTCGCAGACAAGACAATACCACAGTCCCTGTCCAAGCCTGAACGACCATCGAATAATCAATGGCTCTAGTCTTTCGCTGTGAAGAATGTTATTTTAATCTGTAGTTCAGAGCTGTCTAGACACATAAGTCTAACCAGTGATCTGAAAGAACCCCGGGTCTCCTCCCATGAATGGTCGGTTCCGGAAATCCCATTCAGCCGAACCACAGAGATTTTTGTTCAGCATCCGTTAGCCTATACCAACCAGCTTTATAGCCTAAAATTGTCCTAGGACAACCAGCTTTATAGCCTGAGTGTCGGCATAGTTTCCAGCGGGCAATCGAATACAGATTAAATAGCAATATGGTAAGGGATATTTATACTACCCCATGCTGCTTTCTGTAGGTCTTAGAAAAAAGTGATTCTGAAGGGTGCCAGAAAACACTGAATCTAAATAGCCATTTTGTTCAACCTTCCTTTGGGAATCTAAGAGATGTTACATTCCACAAAAGAAAAGGAAGAATGACCAATTTGTTTACATCAGCCATGTGATCTCTGAGGTTCTCTAACTTGTTTGTTTACATTAGCTATACGTAAGTCACGTGAACTCGGAGGTCATTGGAATGTATCTCATATGAAATTATTGGTATTACAGGATTTTATTGATTTGGCCCTAGTAAGAAATTTCAGCGCTTTCTGTAACAAAATGTTTACACTGTCTTTTGAACTTCCAAGCTAATAATACTTTTTTATTAATTTCATCATTACTGGATCTTATTTGACTCAGCACATATTGCTCAGAACGTAACGACTTTAATTGTTACTGAATATTATATTTTAAAATTGAATGAAAATTAATTTCCTGCAAAAGAATTTCAGATAGAATAGAAAAATGGAAGTCATTTTAATGGGTGGCTAAAAATAATTTACACGACTCTCAGCAATGCATAGTTCAGCAAAAATAAAACTCGAGATATAGGGTTTATAAGATACAAACTCGAGAATGATATGAATAATAACGATCGAACTCTCATTAAATCAGAGTGGCCCACCAGCGGCCGAGCGGTAAAGTCGCTGAACACTGGTAGTTCGGTCCGAGGTGCGAATCCCGCGAACGGGCTGGCTGCATGGGCGTTTTCGTGGTTTTTCCCCATGTGTAACGTGTATACGAGTCAGTTTCCCTTAGAAAGTCCTCCACGAAGGCATCCCTCCTTTTAGGCAGATAGCCCTCGAGGCTTTGCCATAATCACACACACACACACACACATTAAATCAGAGTGAACAAATTTTAAAACTTTCCTATAACAATACCTATTTTTTTGCAAGGTAATGGGATCGGTCCAGGACAAAATCATCTGCTGCTTTGAACGGTATATATAGTTTACAAAACACTAATGTAAGTTGGTTAGGATAGATTTCCGGCGCATAACCTTTGCGGTTATAATGCACCAAAGATATGAGCAGTATTTTCTGAGCGCCAAAACAATCGCAAGAAAATTTAAAGATTAAGAACGATAAAAGAGGAAAAGAGAGTGAGTGAAGTAACATATGGAACCATATGAACGCACGTAATTTGCATTGCCACAATAAAACTTCATGTACAGAGCAGAAAATCATTAGCACCAAATTTACATAGCCCAAATGGCTAGAGTCAATCCTATAAAGATGTAGATCACGAAATCACGAAAGATGGTATCCGCCTCATTTGTGTAATTAACACTTGTAAGTTTTCCATTATCAGGTGTCAGAATGATATCCTATATCACTGCAAAAAAAAAAAAAAAAAAACTTTAAAAAAATTCATATCTACATGCAGCCCCCCCCTGGTTACAACCGAAAACATCGCGGGAGAAAACGTCGTGGAGAAAACAACGCAAGAAGAAACCGTCGTGTTACAAAACATCGCAGTGCAAAACATCGTCGTCGAAAATAAAGCGGTTCAAAAACTTCGCAGTTTGAAAACATCGTCATAGAAAATATCGTGGTAAAAAATAAAGCACCTATAAATCATCGTATGACGATAACATCGCACACATGTGTTTTTCAGGTTTTAAAAATTGTAAATACATATTCGTATAAAGATTTGGAAGCGCAAAAAATGTTAACAACACTTTAAGAATAAACGGAAACAAAACAAGATATAATTTTCACCAAAACAATATCAGATTAACAAACGTGAAAAAAAAATTTTTTTCGTAATTAACATGTAGGGTTTCTCACTTCGTAAACGCTATGTTAACGTTGACGTGAAGAATCCTAAGAACTAGTTAGCGAATAATCGCTTGAGTTCGTGTACAGGAAACAACAGATACGAAGGGTTAAGAGACTAAGAATTAAACTCAAATTAATCTAAACTAAAAAGAGATACAGCCGAAGCTATCAAGATTCTAACAGTGTTGGCCCCTTAATTAATGGTATTTCAGGATTTTATTCATTTGGCCCTAGTAAGAAATTTCAGCGCTTTCTGTAACAAAATGGTTAACACTGTCTTCTGAACTTCCAAGCTAATACGTTTTTATTAGTTTCATCATTACTGGATCTTATTTGACTATTTGACGAATTTTGACTTATTTGATCTTATTTGACGAAGCTATTAAGGGCCTAAGTACAGCCGAGCGTAATAACAGCTTTGAGAGAGAGTAGCCAAAAGACAGACGCGCGCAAATCAGAAACTCTGATTCTCTCTCACTCAGCAAGTAGACTTCGCGGTTAAATACCGCTCTTCCTCGTTATGTATTCAGAGAGATTCCCAAAATACATCTGGCTGGAAGTGTAAGTGAAGTAAAATTTGAAGGAAAGGAACTTAAAATTTAACTGTTAATAAAATTAACATAATCCTTACAAACTAAGCAATTTTTACAGAGGTAATCTCATGCAGTTATTTATGTTCCTTTTTCTAAACATTTATAGACTGTATATTTCATGAAAAATTATGAGTAAAACTTTATAAAAAAGTTAACTTATTAATGAGCATTGTTAATTATGTAAATTTAAAATTCTATTAAGTGCTATAAGTTGAATTATTTTTCTACTCATTTCCAATTTTTAAATGCTTAAATTTCCTTCTTACGTTTTAAGAAGAAGTTTATTAGTTCATTCAAAAGTATAAAATGTAAAAGTAAAAATATCCCTCTTCCTTTCTTGCGCTCCCAAATCATTATGCGAAAATGCATTTACAGCTTTGAAAAGCTGAAAAACGCATGTGTGCGATATTATCGTCATGCGATGGTTTGTAGATACTTTATTTTTTACCATGATATTTTCGACGACGGCGTTTTTAAACTGCGAAGTTTTTGAACCGCTTTATTTTTTATGACGATATTTTGTTTCACGATGTTTTCTCTTTGCTTTCTTCTCTCATACGATGTTTGTACAACGAGGTTTTCGCCATGTGTTGTTTTCCTTGCGACGTTTTCTTCCGCGATTTTTTCGACGGTCACCAGCCCCGTTGAGCCGAGTGTGTGTACCGAAAATGTTACGACAAATTTCTAGGGGAGGTAGGGCACATAATTAAGAATTGCATAGGAACCCATGGCAGAAACGGCACTGTACGCCACCAGGAGGTGCTCTACTGGTGAGTGCTAGTGGAGTGGAGTCTGCTGGTGGAAAGTGAGCAGAGTGCTAGTTTAAAGTGAGGATTGCTTCATTCGAGCGGTAGACACCATACGAAGAGCATGGAACGCTATACGAACGGAGAGCTTGTGAACATCTGGTTCCAGCATGATGGGCTGCCTGCTCAGTTTGGACTGGATGTCTGTAGCCATCTGAACAGATCATTCCCGCATCGATGGACTGGGCGTGGTGGACTGGTTCCCTGGCCCACACGCTTACCGGATTAATCGAGCCTTGATTTCTTTTTGTGGGGAGCCATCAAAAGTGTCGTGTATTACGATCCTGTTGTGTCTGAAATGGATCTCGTGGCAAGACTCGCCTGCGCAGCTGCTACGATCAAAGAAACTCCCGGTGTGTTTGAACATGTTCGGCAATCAATGATCCGTCGGTGTCAGGCAAGTTTGGCGTCTGATGGTGCAAACTTCGAGCTTCTATTGTAACATTCAAGCTGTCGAAACACCATTTGTATTCATGTCCAGTAAATGCTTAAAATAACCGCTCTCTTGGTTTCCTTTCCCATCTTCTAGCTCTGCTACCACTTACCCCTGATATTTCCGGGTATAGGTTCCTATGCAATTCTTAATCCTTATGATGTGCCCTAACTCCCCTAGTATACTGACTAAGTATTATATTCTGACAGTCTCGGCTCTAAGGGCATAAAATACACGGACCTGGTTCCTACTATCCGTAAGGGCAGCCTATGTTGTCCTGGAGTATAATGGCGTTAAGCCATCCGAATGGGTAGCGCAATAACCAATTCTGAGCAATTTCAATAATATGTTCCACGCTTATCGAGATCTTCGTACCACTGGTGTGGTGACCCACTGGTGTGGGAAGCCGGTATAGCGATGTGGTAAATCGTCATCTGTGGATTGGGAACCCAGAGACGTTTGGGCAAATAAGACACTATAATACTCCTCTCCAGGGAGCTTTTGTATGCTATAAATAGTCCATCTTCCAATTAATACGGAAGTGAAAGGGTAAGCAGCATTCACATGTAATGTCTTTAGTTATAGCGGAAACGTACCTATTTCATTATATCTAAACGCATACACCTCTTCATTGTCTATCGCGATACATTTCACTGCGTTTTTTTTTTTTCTTTAAAGTTTTAACTTCTGAAGCTTCTGCACTCAATAACAAAAGATGAAAGTAAATTCTCTCAGATCACAACCTGATCCTACACGTTCACTTACTTAATTTTGAATTTACTGGAAAATGTTACGAATTTTGTACATAGATAGATGATTTTAGTGCAATTATATATGAAATTGTTGCATTTTTCTGTGTAATGTAAAAAAAAAATCTAGAGAGAAAAGCTATGCCGAAAAAGTAAGAATACAAGGCAGTCCGTTTAACATTGAGTAAATGGGTATCTCGGTAAACTGGAACTCGGAGAACTCACCAAAGGTCGCCAGATTTGAGCAATAAAAAGTCACCAAATTTGGCACGAGATTCATCAGATTTGGCGCTATTTTGATCCGGTTCCTATATCACCATAACAGGCTGTAATTGATACTGTAGTAGTTACAGATAATATACTATACTGTAATAGCAGTACACTATATTAGCTGTAACCGTAATTCGACCCTCATATTGCTTTCCACTTATTTTGAGAAGCAGAAAGTACTAGAAATTTCTCGGCGGCCGGTTGAAAACTATATAACGCCGGAGAGAGCATCTGCTTTCAGTAGTTGTTTAGTTATTTGTTAGTTCAACGTGAACTGCAATATGTCCGTTAGCTTTCTCTTTTTAGATGCGCTTTGCATTGCCTTGTGTTTAACTTTCTTAGTTGTTTGAAGAGCAACTATTGATTGTACTCTCTAATGCTGTGAACACCTGTACTAGTATTTCTGCGGAAAATTTAAAACTTTGAAGTGTTTAGTTTGATAAAATAAATTTTATTAACCTATCATCGGATCTGTGTGCATTCAATCTATTACAAACCCGTACGCATGCAATAGGGACATGTATTCTGCACTTAATAACAAAAGATGAGAGTAAATTCTCTCATATCGCAACCTGATTTTATATGTTCCCTTATTTTATTTTGAATTAATTGGAAAATATAAAGAAAGTATGGCGCTTATGTAAGTAGCAAAGAAATTTATTTTTTCTCGATGATCTTGTCAATGTTTTCTTCTTCTCTTCTGAACGATCGTTTAATTCAGATAAATAAGAAGGAAATCTTTTTTTTTTTTCTAGTCATATCTCTTTCTTACTAAAATTTAATAAAAGCTTTAAAATATAATTTCTAACTGGTGCAGTTTTCATTACGGAAACATGAAATCGGTAAAGATATAGAGTTATGTATTGTTTTAACATGCAGTATTTCACAGTGAATAAAATACCTTACTTTTCAGGTATATTGTGTCCTTTTGCAACGATTTTACGTTATTCGGTGTAGCGACAGTATTCCTGCTGTTATGTTCGGAGTTAATTGGAACTTTAGCGTCAAGTTGGGGACTATCGTTCTGCTACTGGATTTTAATTATAGCTGCCATCTTATGTCCACTCATGTGGTTGGGGACACCAGAAGATTTTTGGTAAACTAAATTTTTCCCTCAACATTTATTTAATTAACAAGAACTATTGCATTAAATTTAGGTACAGTTCTTCATGTTGCGACTGAAGCTTTTGTATGAAGTACAGTTGTAGAAACATTAGGTATCTTGGAAGCAGGAGTGATGAAAAATGAAAAACGCCTTCACAGGGAATCGAACCACGGACCTCTGGAATACGAGACCAGCGTGCTGTCCACTGCACTACGAAAGCATGCTAAGAAGGCGGGAGAAATACCTTATACAGTTACTTATTATTTTAATTATTTTTCTCCTTCGAGAACTTCATTCCCGTACAAATATAAATAACAATTTAAACACTTTGAGATCTCTTCAAATTTCTTACATTGATTTGTATTGCTGTGTTCAACAATACGTTAATCAAGCAGAGTTTCTTAGACATTTATCGGTTATAAGGGCCATGAAGCCAAATACGGCAACATGTTCAATTCCGGCTTACACAGATTGCTGATATAGTAAATGGTGTGGCTACTAAACAGAAAAAGCCGGTTTTTAACACTTGAAAGAACATTCTCGCTATATCTTCGGGTGGATCCCAAAACCGTGGCTCATAAGCAGACAATAGAGAGACTCTAAGGACCCCCGAAATGGCGGAAATAAGAAGCATATAGATAGTTAAGAGACAAGAACTTGGGCTTTTGTTTCTCTTCGCCGCCAACGAAAGGTTGGTCCACATAGAAATTATCAGTTATACCAATGATGATTCTAATTTACTTCATACAGGACTTAGAGCCTACCAGGAGCCGAGCGGTAAAGTCGTTGACCACTGATCAACGGTCACATTTATTTTGGTAGTTATCGTTGACTACTGGTCGTTGACCACCGGTCCGAGTTCGAAATCCGGCAAAACGCTCCGGGTGCATGGGCGTTTTCGTAGTTTTCCCCATGTGTAACATACATGTGAGCCACTTTTCCTTAGAAAGTCACCCGTGAAGGTGACCCCTTACGGAAATAGCCCTCGAGTGTTTTCCAGTAATTAAATAAAAAAACAAACAAAATCATATATTCATGTGGCAAAGCGTTGCTGGTAGTGATAAATTTAACGAAATTTTATCGTATATGACTAAGTTATGGCAACTAGAAGTTTCAATGTAAAATAATACTTTTTTGTTAAGTTAATGGGGTTAGAGTTCCGGCGAACGGACTGGTTGCAAGAGAGTTTTTCTGGTTTTTCCCATGTGCAATGTGGATACGAGCCGGTTTCCCTTAAAAAGATACCCACGTGGCATCTATCCTTTTCCGTGTAATGCATAAGGGCGGAGCATTTAATAAGCTCTAAAAAAATATCGTAAGTTAATTTTAGCAGTTAATAAAATCAGATTAACTAGCTAAATTTATCAATTAACTAGTTAAATCCGGTTAAGTTTTATCAGTTACCTGTATCAAATTCATGGTTTTTATCAGTCAAATGATTCGTTTTTATCTTTTTTATGTTTTTATCTTCTTTTACAATTCTTAAAAAGTGGTTCATATTTAATTATTTTAATGTCTTAAGAATAACTAAAACATTTTAGAGCAAATTTAAATTTAAGATGTTGATAGTATTTGTATACAATGTGTCAAAAAAATTTCAAACAGGTGCATCTTTTTTATAAACAAGCATATCTTGAACCATGTTTTCGGAGGTACTTCACTTGAAAAGAGTAGTTAAACATAAATTTTAGTTTTAAAAACACGCAGGTTACGTAAATACAAAGTAATTAAAATGTAAATTATATACTTTTAATTATTGTGTGAATAGAGTCGCAATAAGAGTTCGTCACTTGCACTTCTGCAGCTGAAGAAGAGGGTTCTGTATATAAATCTTAGAAAAGTAGTCTTGCAAATTTGTAAATATTACGTACTTGATAATTCTTGTTGTTTAACTCATCCAATAATCGTTATTCAATTAATTAATAATTAGCCATACCATTAATAATTATTATACCAAATACTATTAAGAATTATGATATTATTCGGGATGTCAGCGTTAAGCGTTTGTTCTTACACCTTTGCTTTTACACAAGTTTCCGTACTTTTTAAATAGTGAAATATTCATAAAGGCAATTTTTTCTCGCAGTCTGACACAGGGACTCTTAGGCCTAAGTCCAAAAGTAGAAAAGTGAATGTGGGAAATCTTTTACTTTCGTTGATAGATTCTAGATTTACTTTTACGAGGAATTTTGGGTATTTCCAACCTAAAATTAGGGCCCAGTCTGAGGTATTCAATTATTAAATAAGGTGTTCCTAAAGTATTAATGGTCTCCTTTCTCCTATTCTCCTTTACAGGAAATTCACAAACCAATGCCCAGTCATTTGCATACATCAAGGTATCAAGGTTAAGTACTTCATTTTCACATTGCATTACATGTATACCTAGTGATGGCATTTATTATCTACACATGAAGTTATGTCGCGCTTATGTTTATCTAATTTGTAAACATTTCCTGCCTTAATGTTCCTACTCATTTCATTAATGTGTAAGGTGTATACGAGCCAGTTTCCCTTAGAAAGTCCTCCACGAAGGCATCCCTCCTCTTAGGCAGATAGCCCTCGAGGCTTCGCCATAATCACACACACACATTTCATTAATCTAGTTCTTACTGATGTATCATCGAACGTCAACAAAGAATATACAAGTTCATAACTAAATTTTTTTTCTAATTGATAACCAGGGAAGATTTCAAGGAAATTTAATTAAACAATAAAAAAGCTAACATTTTTCGGATAATTTTGATAGAAATGAAAATAAAATAATAGATAATAAATAACCCAGGATAAGTGACAATGCATAATTTATCTTTTTTTTTTTTTTTTTTTTTTTTTAAATTTTGACAGAAGATTAGAATTCCTTAATGCAATATTTTAAAGCTTTTTATCTCTTGCCCCTGCATGTTAAGCTCCGCTGATAGTAAGGTAATAACTTTGCTAATAATCAAAATTGAATGTAGGATCGTTTTTTATATATAGGAATATAGGATTGATATTGATAAAGATTGATATTGATCTCAAGATTGATATTGTTAAAGATCATTCTCAAAAGGATCAATCTCTCAAGATTGATCCTTTTGAGGAGGGAAGGAAGGGGAAAAAAGTACTTTACATTATAACTTAACGGTTTTTTTTTTTTTTTTTTTTTTTTTTTTTTTTTTCGTTAAATGTTCACTAACTTTAATTTTTCTGCTTAAGTCATGCATTTCCGGCAAAATAGCATTGGTTATTTTTAACTTAAGCAAGTAACGTGTATCATATTCTTTAGGAATACGTACAGCTTTTACTCAAATTAATATAATCTAAGGATGGTTTTGCCTTATTTTAAACGCGTATAAATTTTTCAACAATAATAATCATGGAACGTTAAAAGTGCTGCCGATCGTTTGCTAATTCAAACTATCATTTATGACAATTCCGTTGATGATAATTTCCCAATTGTGTGTTATACAGATGGCAGTAAAATTAAAAATCTATTTAAGTTAGCGTATTCGTTTTCCCTCGTGGTTCTAAACTGGAATACAAACTCTTTAGAATTCCCAATGAATGCAATGTTTTCCAAGCCGAATTACTGTACATTACTCAATTAAGTGGATATCTAACAACTGTTCGTTAAGTGCTAAATTTCTTATTTGCACTGATTCTCATTCATCCTTAAATTCTCTTATGAATATCTTCTCATGTAATAAATTAATTGTCACTTCTCATGCCATTCTTGAAGACTTTAATAATAAAGATGTTGATGTTATTTTTTCTGATGTACGTGGCCACACTGGCAATCTATAAAATGAAAGGGCTGATTGGTTGGCAAAACAAACTACAAATCTTCGAGTTAATACTCCAATGTTACTGCCTAAGTCATTCTTTAAGAAAAAAGTCTGATGTGTACACCACATGACTTCCTTATAAAGAATATTAAATTATACGCTTTTTTCTTGCATTTCATTTAAACGTATTGGATTGAATTAAATCTACTTCGTCGATAGCGCATAAACCACAATAGAATAAATGCACTCTTTAAAATTCATTAAATTTGTTTACCATAGCGACGCTCTGGTGTCGCTATGGAACCTAGCGCCATAGCGACCTCTGGCGCTAGGTTCACTTAACAGCTTTATACTTCGTTCATATTATAACTCAGAATGCAAAAATTTCATACATTGAAGAATTATCTAATCATTGCCACAGTTTATTCAAATACTATAATAAATCTAGAACGATATATAAAAGAAATTAAGCATACAAAACAAAAAAGAAACAGTTTTTCACAGACGATTCAGTATTTCTCATTCAATTAATTTAATTCTCACTTCACAACAAGGCAAAAATACATAAAAACTCAAAATATCTATATTAAAAATTTTGGAGTAAATCTCAAACCCTTATTTCCTCAAAACATTCCAGAATGAATTACACATGATTTAATTCGCAATAATAAATTAAGGCGTTATCTTTGTTGTTGCGAAGCTTAGTCTCTCTAGATTGGCAACAAATCTAGTATTCTGCTGTTTCAAATGTAAAAAAATATGTCCGCCATGTTACTTAAAAATTAGACTTAACCGCACTTAAACACCTGTTAAATTGTTTATGATTCTACAAATATTGCTTGCAGATTTTCTAAAGGCATAAAAACCTTAACCGGAAAATAAGAACTACATAATTCGATCATTTTTAAAGCAAAACATTCATAATTTACAAACATATAAGAGTAAAGAAACTGAGATCACTGAGCCGGGTAACAGAGTATATATATATATATATATATATATATGTTTGGTGCGGCCGATTGTAACCAAAATACGAGGTGCACATCTACATGTTATAGCTGTCCTATATACAAAATTTCAACGTTCTGAGGCCACTCGTTTTTGAAATATGCGAGATACATTCGTACGTACGTAGAGACACCATGAAAAATTCTCTTCAGTATTCATTATAAAACAGTTTTATAATTTTTTTTGGAGGAAAGAGCCTTTTATTCTGTCCTTACGAACAGATGTCGCGCAAAAACATCGTTAAATTGCATTCGAAAGCGGTCAAAATGGATATTTTCGTTGAAATATGCTGCCTGAAACTTTCCGGGATTACAATACTTTCTTTTTACTTCGTACAAGGAAGTAAAATGTAGGGATGAAACAACTCTCAAGTGGAATGAATTATACAGAAATTCTACTACTTCTCCTCTTTGACTAAATATTTTTTTTCTTCCATTCCTCACAGACTAAATAATAAACAATTTTGCTGTAATTTTGAAATTACTAAATTTCTAATACAGACTTGCATTCCTGCAGCTTTGGGGGAGTGGAAAATGTCCAAAATTTGTTGTTCTATTGTTCAAAGCTTACGAAAGAACGAAAAGAATTCATTTCTAAATTAAACTCTGTGAATTTTCTCTCCCTATTCATGTATTTGTTCAAGACAAAATGGAGTTTCCTTTCTTCAGTATAATCATCTCTTACATGCCATCTGTGAATTTGTAAGTTAATTTTATTTTGTGTTGTGTTGTTGTATTTGTTTGTTTTTTTACTTACCTCTGTAAGCCTTGTGTAATACTATGTCGTGCACAAGGAATTTAAATATTCAATAAAAAAAAAAAGACATTAAAAGTAGTTTGCAAAATATGAATTAGACTGAAGGCGCGTCTTTCTAATTTGCCTTCAATATATTTGCTAAAGTAAAAATAAATTGGTATTATTATTTTTAACTTCGTGAATTTTCTTCTTTGGTATGAAGGCCTGCAGCAATAGGAGCTTTGGTAACAACAACCTTGGCTTGCATTCTTTTGATTGTAGCTCTAGTCAAAGAAGAAAGAAAGGGTACATCGCATCCTGAATACCCTCCACCGACGGTCATGTCATTCTTCTTGGCCTTTGGAACAATCCTTTTCGCCTTTGGTGGAGCTTCTACATTTCCAACCTTTCAGAATGATATGAGGGATAGAAGCCAGTTTCCAAAAGCAGTCACTATTGGCTTTTCAGGTGAGCGTTGTATTCTTTGTTTAGTTAGGTAAAGATTTTACGAAAAAAAAAAAAAAAAAGTCGGGCCGTTCTGTCTATAATAACATCTAAATGCATAAGCAGAAAAATATTTAGTAGATATATTATCCAACATTTTACCATATATCCGGATTCGAATTATACTTGATTATATTACTTAGAAGATTCCAGTCATTTATTTCAGTGTAGTTCATCATCCTACCTTCCTAGCTTCTATTATTTTTAGTGCCAGGAGACACATCTGGAAAATACAGTGCATGAAGATCTATTAACAAGTACATTTCAGTTTCTAATTTAAAATGATGACGAGAACTTAATCAGTTTTTCCCTTTTGTTCCTAAATTATCTTTCTTATTTTCATATATTTATGTGATACAAATATATAAATAAATCTGAAAGCTTTCAGATTGTATATTACGTCCAAAAGGGAGTTTTTTTAAACGTTTTGTGTATTACCTTTATTTATTAAATATCATGTTCTTCGCTCTTAAGTCATAAAATTCAATTTAACAGAAACATTGCAAAATAATTTAAACGAGTATATCTTTAGAATTTCCGATACACAGTCTCGCTCGCTGCAGATATTTTTTTTTTTTTTTTTTTTTTTGTTAAGTGTTTCCATTGCTCGCTTTGAAATCGTTGAGTTTGTTAATCCAAAATTCATTAAATATTTACAAAATATGAAATAGATAATAAAACAGATTCCAAATTTAGGCTTCCAGATGCCCATATTCGAGTGGAAGACTACGTTATTCAAAATTGGATGTCTCTAGGTACCGTTGTGTTTTCACAGTGCGAGAAACATATATACATTCATGAGGATTCTTTATTATTTGATTTCTTTAAATGTAATGCAGGGCTCTAATATTTGGTGGCAACAATTTGAAAATTGAAACGGACATTTAAAGTTTTCAGTGCAAATGCCAAAACGAAATTAATAGCCCTTCTGGGATAACGCCTTTTGGACTAAAAATAAATAAATAAATAAATAAATAAAACAGGGAATCAAAACATTGACAGAGAAGTCAAGATGTATTAGTAACTAATGAAAGAATTCTTTCTCTTCTATAGGAAGATTAGTTTTAACTCGTCTAAAATTTAATTTATTAGAATTTAGGCTTGTCTTTAATGATATCTTTCACAATAAAAATAAATCTTTAAACTTTTCATATGTTGCAGTTTTACTTTTGCTGTACCTACCAGTGGCTGTGCTCGGATACAGTGTATACGGCAAGGATTTAAATCCAGACATCATACAGACATTACCAGACTCTAGTCTCAGGAGTGCAGTAGAAATTCTACTGGCATTACATCTCTTTTTTGCTTTCCTGTTGGTTATCAACACACCAGCTCAAGAAATGGAAGAATTTCTTAAAGTTCCTAAGCGTAAGTCAACAAATATTTATAGAAATATCCAAAAGAGGAATGTTTTTTTGTACTCCCCCTCGATGATAATTCAGTTTATTGAAAATACATCTGTAAAAATGTGAAAATTCGATTAAATCTAGCTCAAAATTAGAGTCCTTATTTATTTTATTATAGTTTGGTAAAAATGTTATTTTTTAAACTATATTAAGAATTTTAAACTAGTAGATTATACTTGTGCTTTAGCATCTTTGTTTACTTTTGTTCCCTGAGATATGAGTTTATGAATGCGAAAGTTTCCGACTAATAATCAGGTTAGTAGAGATAGGCCGTTCATTAAACTTTATTGCATTCTCTCTGCTGATATTTGTTGAAATTATTGTTTATTTATCCAACCTTTTTATTTTAACAATCTTCGGATTAGAGCAGCTGTGTAAAATCAAATATCTTATATACATATTAAAGGCGAACACGCTGAAAACTAACATTCTGAGAAATAAATGCATAGTAACTGCTGTTTAAGGAATTTTCTAATTTTACAAATTAAACTTGAAAAAAAAATTTTAAGTAAAAAGAAAAGAAAAACCAAACAGAATCTGAAAGTTTTCAGATTTTATTTTACGGCCAAAGAGACTTTTTTTAACGTTTCGAGTGTTACCTTTATTTATTAAATATCATGTTCTTCGCAGTTAAACCATAAAATTCAATTCAAAAGAAATACCGCGAAATATTTTAAAAAGAGCATATCTTTAGAATTTCCGATACAAAGTCTCGCGCACTGGAGATAAAATGTTTTCTTTTTCCGTACAGTGTTGTTATTGCTGCCTTCGAAATCTTTGAGTTTGTTAATTAAAAATTCTTTAATGTCTGACAAAGTATGAAAATGGCAAAGTTAGCAAGATTTAAAATATTAGCTTGATTTAACCGTGTAGTTTCAACATTTGAATATCCTTTTACTGTCTTAGAACTGTCTTTTGTAATTACAGTTATCTCAAATTTGAATTAAATTATTATTATGTAAAATATATTATTTATAAGAGCAAAGCATGAAAGGTGTGCTGAATTGAAAACTTTTCAAACTTTCTTCTTAATGGATAACAATACTTCAAGAGTTCTCTTCCTTTTACATGCAGAGAATTTTCACAACCGTAGTACAAGTAAAGTTTAGGTAAATAAACAATTATGTTTCTTTAACAGACAATCGATTGATACAGAAGGTGTTTACACGCTTTTACAACGATTTCGATCAAGAACTGGAAAAAAGCAAATACTTCGGAATAAAAACTTCTGGCAACAGATTATTACTTGAACTGAGAAATATCGTCTGTTACTTTTAAATCTATTCATCTTCAAAATGTCGCCGAAGAAAACTGTTCCTCTTCAATAACTCAAAAAAGTAATGAAATACATAGTATTAAAATTTTTAAGTGCAAAATAAGTAATATTATTAATCGGAAAAGAAAGCACTGTTAATCATTACTTCTATATGGAAACAAGAGGCCAAACAAATTCCCGAAAAAGGTAAGTACTGTTCTAATGTTTCTGAAGTTAATTCGCTGGTAACAAGAAACAAAAATTCACCGACGCAAACGTCAATTTTGAAGTCTTCCAATACATCTGTAACAATAAAACTTTAATAATAAACAAAGATTTATAATTTAATAAAGATAAAAAGCATGGTGTGCACCAGTTCTTGCTGAGGCATGTGGCTCAACAAGAACAATTTGTATTACCGTACAATGGAAAAGGCTTAGTAGAAGATAAATGGCAATACATTGTGACCCTTGATGAAGCACCTAAATGACTTAAAAAAATGTCAATTTATTATCAAAAACGACGAGAAGAAATACGCAAAATTGGCTCATTCAATGCAAAGGAAGTTTCGTTAAGGTGGTAGCAGGATTCCTTCACGATGGGATGTTAAACATAAGAAGTGGGGTGTATTGAAATCAACTGAACGTAGTATCAGCAGAATGTTTTACGTCTGATGATTTTACGTCTTACAAAAGCAATTCCATTTCTTTATCCCCATGAATTTTAAAGAGTAGAACTTCATCAAGACAAAGCAACAAGTCGCACTTCGGAAAGTAGCACTGCATTCCTTGGAAAAATGAAGACTGATGCATGTATTTCATACGTACCTTTTCAACGTATCTCTGCAAAGGCGACTGGTGTTTCACTTGTGGACTATTGTGCCTTTGGTCTCATGAAAAGAGCTCTTTCTAACCGCAAACCCACCACGATTCGTGGAGTCTTGAAAGAAGTGGAATAGGAATGAAAATCAATACCTCGTGAAAATCTTTCGAAAAGCCCTCTGTCAGGGAAATCACAATCCAAAGATATAGTCCAGAAAAAAAAAAAAAGCAATCAGTTCTGACATTTAAAAGAAAAAAGGTTTTTAGTTTTTTTACATTTTGAACATTTGTTAAGCGGCCCTGAAATCATTCTAAAAATGCTTTAACACCCTCTGTATCAGACTAGCCCTGTTTCATTAATATCCGTTGTCTATATGTAGGTAGGTCTCCTACAACGCGGTACCTTTACAACGCATTTTCCCTCCAACGCGGTTGGAAAAACGCGGAAAATTCTTCACAACGTAGTACTTTTACAACACAGTTTAGAAAATGTGTGACGGCTTCGCGTAGTTCTTAGTTGGATAAACCTTTAACCGACAACTTTAAATTTTAAAATGTGTAGAAATCGGCTCGTCCCGAAAGGAAATGCGCCGATCGAATCTACATATTTCCTGGAGTGCTTTATTACCGGAAATTGTCAGTCAGGAAAATGTTGTTGAGCCATTTAAGCTTGAATATAATAACACAGAAAGCCTTGCACACGAAATAGGAGCGATAGATTCACTGAAATAGCTTTTTTTTATACTTATTACATGCTCCGCCCTTAGGCACTACACGGAAAGGGAGGAAAGTGTTTCTAAGGGATACTGACTCGTAACCACGTTACACATGGAAAAAACCACGAAAACGCCCAAACCAGCCCGCTTGCCGGGACTCGTACCCCGTACCGAATTACCAGTGTTCAGCGGTTTTTACCGCTCGGCCCTGGTGGGCCTTGAAATAACTATTGATGATATTCTAGAATTGAAGATACTTCTGAAGATCTTTTCAATGAAAAAACCAAAAACTTCACTCTAAAAGGTACAGAAATATGTCTGGACATGGCGAAACAGATGAAATCTCACTTTTTAAAGAAAAATTCTCCGAAGACAGCGGAAATATTTAAAAGAAATCTCAAAATTACTTATTTGCCTATCAAGAAATTTATAACGTTTTGCAAAGCAAGAGTAAACAATCTCCGCTGGCAGATATTTTGAAACCTAAAGGAAATGTAGAGGAACTATAATAAGTGACTACGAGGAATATATTTGTGAGTATAACATTATGCTTCTTTTTGATTTTTAACTGAAATCACAACCTTTTTAGCTTTTGTATTATGTTGGATTTTATTGAAATGTTTTTATGTACATTAATTTAAAAAATGATGAAAATGTTACAACATAAAAAGCTTTTCTCTTTTTAGAACCGAATCTCAGTTTTTTACTAAGCTGGTGTCTCCTATAACGCGATTTCCCACAACGCGGTATTTTCAAGGAACGTATCCACCGCGTTGTAGGAAATCTAACTATATTAATATTTATTCCCCTACTATCAATTAAAAAAGATTTATAAGGTCCCAGAAGTGGGCGCAGCTCCACCCACTTAACCAAACAAGTTGGTCTTGTAGTCATAACAGGCGATGCCAAAATTTTCTCCCTCCTTTCAGCATGCCTTAGTGGTTTACCAGTTAGCACACTCAATGCGTATTCGAGAGGTCCAGGTTCGAGTCCCCGGGAGGGCATAGCTCATTCTTCGTGTAATCTTGCTTAAAAAAATCCTAATGACTCTACAAATTAGCCTTTTCAATTTGGAGATAGTAGATTAAGAAAACGTTTTCTTACTTATTAACTATTCAAGTTTCTAAAGTTATATTAACATCATTTATTTACTTGTTATGATTGTAGGATTTGGATGGAAACGGTGTATGCTGAGGACTGCGGTTATGTTGTTAATCATTTTCGTTGCTCAAAGTATTCCTCGGTTTGGGAAAGTTCTCAATCTAATAGGAGGATCAACAGCTACTTTGACGACATCCGTCTTTCCTTGCTATTTCTACTTAATGCTATGTTCCCAAGAAAGCACAGAATGGCCGCAAAAGTAAGTTGATCTCATAATATTGTTGCGTTTTCGTGGATATGGAGTGACTGACGACAACACTTCATGAAGAATCAAAACACAACTTATTGGCTAGTATTTAACTGAAGAGTTCCAAAGACACGTTTACAATCATCGAAAAACTACGATAAACACGTTGAAACAATCAGCGCACAGCCTTCCGGCTATCAGGCTATAACGATGATGACAGCATTACGGCAAAATACTAAACACAGCTCCCGACTCGGTCGATGACTCTCGGAGCTCAGCCCACTCAAAATACTCTTCATGGTAAACTGCTACTCCGCGTACAGGCAGGGTTTATATAGCTTTTGACCTGCCTTCTAGAACAATCTGGGGCAAATCGGTAAGAATTCGTTCTAGAATGTTCTCACTTCATCTATGGCATATCGTCAATTTTGTCGCCAAAGGGGCGATTTTGCCCCAAATCTGACAACCTTGCATTTCTTTGCCATTTTCTGGCAACCCTAAACCAGCTTTGCGGGGAAGCTATCTTACCACTGCTGGGCATTTCGTAATAATATATAACTTAAAGTGGAAACTAAACAAAGCACAGTTTTAATACTGAAATCAAAACCTTCCCTCAAAGAAAAAAAGTATTGCTTTTTTGAAATATTTGATTTACTAATTAACTTTTGTAATAATATAGAAGAATATTTAAATGAAGTTTCAAGAAACTTTCTATTAGTTGCATCTTTTGATCTTCCGCAAATAACATTTATTAGATTTGAATAAACAAATTTCTAAAATAATTCTTTCTAAAATTCTGCTCAAGATAAAATTCCAGCACTACAGTTGTGAGAGTGTAAGAGCGCTTACGGTTTTCCTTAATACCGTATTGATCTATATGACAATGTTTTCTCCCTGTATTGAAAATCATCTTCCGTTTATATGTGCTACCAAACATTACAAAATACGCTGCTGGCCATTAAAATTGCAACACCATGAAGGAAAGGAAATTCAAAAAGGGGTATTTATTGTACGTAAACAGTATGGCATGAAGATTAAATGATTAAATTTGTAGGCAGCTTGGAGATTTACAGGAGGGCGGAATTAGTAGAAACAGCTTCCACCCTTGGCATCTTAAAACAGCTCTTAACTGATTAGCCTTGGAGTCGAACTGGGCTTGGATAGCAGAAACGGGCAACTCATTCCATGCTTCTTCACGCGACCCTTCATCAACCATATTAGTTGGAGAAGGGCGGCGGGCCAGTCTTTCAGCGACCCATGAGCAGATGTTTTCAATGGGTGACAGATCTGGAGACCGTGCAGCTCAGGGTAGCAATCAAATACCTAAGTGTCAAGGAAGGTCAGAACACGACGTGCAACGTGTGGTCTTGCATTATCTTGCTGGGAGATGGCATTTGGCTCTCATCGAAGGTAAGGCACAATCATTGGACGTAAGATGTCAGAAATGTACCGATCTGCGTTAAAATTACCGTCCATCCGAACTAGTGATGTGCGTGTCGTGCACCCAATAACTTCTCAAACCATTACACCAGGTGCAGGTCCCCTATGCCGATATCGAATGCAAGCAGGTGAGCTGCGGTCTCCTCAAACACTCCAGACACGTATACGGCAATCAAAAAACTGCACGAAAAACCGGGTCTTGTTTGAAAAGACGACGTTGTGCCACCCCTATCTCCAGCTTTGTCGTTCAAAGCACCAGAGTCTCTGTCTATATGTTGCATTGTCAAGGGAAGTCGAAGTAATGGTCATCGTGTTCATAGTCCACGTGGCTGCAAACGTCGACGCACCGTACGAGCGGGTACTAGGCGTGCTGCAAACATGCCCATTTCCTGACTAATGATCCGTGATGTGGTCGTACGGTTTTGCAGAGCTGACATCACAATATGTCTGTCTTCTCGAGCGTTAGTCATTGGAGGGCTTTGAGATCCTGCATGCCGTTCAATGTAATCCTCAGCAATCTATTGATTCCATATTCGCATGACAGTGGTTGGATATTGATATCCACATTCTCGCTAGGCAAAGATCCTGCCTCTATCGCATTCCGACGCTTCCTGGTAAGAATTTCTGCTTATTTTTTGAGACACGATATTCTAAGCAAACTCCGACCTTACAAAGCACTTTCCGAATGAGAAATCCACTACACAACTTTTTTTTATGCAAATCTTCAGATGCCTTTTCCTCCTCCTGCGTCGTCTAAATGAGCTGAAATATTAATCATTTGCATATCCCAACGTTTTCTTTCTTTTCATGTGATTTTGACGTTCGTCAGATCATTCCTTTCTTGTGTTGCAATTTTAATGGCCAGCAGTGTACTATATTGGTGTAATTTATTAGTAAGTCTTCGACTTTTATGTTAAAGAAAGCATAACTATGTAGTTTTGACTTCAAGTAAGGCATGCAGATATTTTTTTCCTTGCTTGAAGCCTTTAATAAACGAAAGATAACGTTATCTTTAATAACTTATTATTTTCAACAGAGAACCTTACTCTCTTTTTTTGCTTTTTCTAGATATGAAGGATGTTTGCAAAGCTCTAAGAATTTTATTTTGTAAACGGAATATCCTTTTAACTGAGCACTCGTTTGCGAACAAAAAACTACTTTTTTAAGAGGTCCTGAAAGAAATTTTTAGTATCTTCTCAATCCACTTATTTTTTCAAATGTTGGAACAGAATATTTCTCCCCAGACGTTAAACAATTTTTGAAGTTTTTACATGTTTCCATAAACATAAATTAACTGCTCTTCACATATTTCACAGTTACAAAAGCATTGCTATGGAAATGCACCTGCCTCAGTTAAACAACTGAATCGGACAATATTGCGTCAGATATCTGTATAAACAAGTCAGCTCTTGTCTCTGAACAATAGCATTGACTGTAAGTTCTTGGAATTGAACTAGAGCTAAGTTCCTAGAACTTTGGAAATACTAGAACGTTTCCTAGAACTAATTCCTAGAACTTACCTAGAAGTAATTCCTAGAACTTTGGAAATACATAGTACTCCTTATTCTGTATAATGTTTAAGAATTAGATACATTTCCTAGGAAAATATAAATTATTCTAAAATAAAAATTACTGACTATTAGTGAGTTTCAATTGTTTACAGCTGTTTTTTAACTTAATCATTAGGCTCTTTAAATGTGAGTATGGGAAACGTTTTAAGTTTCTCAAAGCAAAAGATATGGGGGGAAAACCCTCACTTTGGACTCGTAGGAATTTAAAGCTCGGAGAGCATGCATCAAAAAATGCAACTTTTCCTTACTTCTCCCCCCCCCAACACACTCAATTGCAGGCTAAGGACATGTGGTTGACTAAACAGAAGTCGCAATGAATTGTTATCCTCCTCATTTAAATTTGAGCGCTGCTGCAGAGTCTGCTAATTTCTTGAAGTAAAAGACATAAAAAATCAGTTGCGTCCTCACCGAGATTTGAATCCCCCATCTCCCCCTTGTTAGAATGTATCTTCCACACTGATAGAAGCAGAATCAAAATAGATAAATCCATAAGATATCTGTGAACCATAATATATAAAACACTTAACTTCATTGAGCACTTACAGGAAATTAAGGACATCTCCAGATAACTAAGCATGGAAAGAACGAAGATCATCAAATGGGACATCAACTTCCAGATATAAATGCTAGCCTTACCGTTAGAGAAAAAAATACACTGTATGGTGTAGTGACATGGAAGTCCTCGATGACGGTGAGAAAACTAAAGTAACTCTAATCCATCCAAAGGTCCTTTTGAACTATTCTCGAAATTATAGAACAGCCTCAAATGCTGCAATGTATCAGCATACATGCTATACCCCCCTATTCTTGCTTGCGGAGTAGTAATATGCAAACAGTTCTTCATCTAAGAAAGAACTGCAAAATTCAAAATGTAAAAGTAGCTACCAGCATCTACACCTTACCGCTCATCCATATGAAAGGCATCCAGTCAGCAGAAATAATCTCACACTTGCAAAAGGCAAGACAGCTACCAAAAATTCTTTTCGAAGATTTATATTGGCCACTCCGGTATAAAGAAAGGAAAACGATGTGCCATAAGGATCTATCTCAATGATCATGACACAAAGGACTTCAGATTCAAGCTTGATAAAGAGAATAGCATATTTCAATCGGTAATGTTCGCAAGGAATTCTTAACTAGCCCTCCAGTGCCCAAGGCCAACATTTTTATAATTTGGATTAAAGCCCATGTTGGCCACGAGAGAACGAAGAAGCTGACTTATTAGCCGAGGGAATACGTACCATGAAAAACCCTTCCACAAAATCGACTTCCCTCAGATTCATGCTACCACACCACATAGTTTATCATTGGGCACGGCTCCTTTTCCATCTACTTCTATGCAATTAATCTGCCATCAACAGATTCCTCTGCATGTGGAGAAAAGGTTCTCTCCGGGGATTATCTATTTTCCAGCTTGTTAACAGAGTCTCTAAGATCTGCAGTCAAGAATAAGCTCTTAAGGAATAATTGCGTAGGTTATTGATTTCTTGGCTGCCAGAAATCAAGAGCTAGACACAGCAAATTAGCTGCCAAAGAAGTGCTTCAGCAAAGCGAAACAAAGCAATTAAATGTAAGAGAAAATAATAGGTATCCCCTACACTTCTATATAGCATAACGTAACTTGTTAGGTAGATCTGCTAATGGCTTAACACATCGACAGTACGTACTGGGAAATGCGTTAATTTCTTGCAAATATTTAAACTATGAATACAATCTAGATGTGGTAAATTTTAATTATAATGTGCTTTATTAACAAGAGAACCGAGTGCTGAAATATAGCGAACTCTATGAACAGTTTTCTTCAGCTTTACTTTAGGTTAGTAATTATGAGAAATTATTGTATAAACTAATGTTGTGATAAACTGCACTGTGGCAAAGTGGCTAGCTCGTCGCGCTGCAGCACCGCAAATCCGGGGATCGATCCCCGAGCTGCGCAAGGTTGACTCAGCCTTTCCTCCCTTGAGTGGGTCGATAAAATGAGTACCAAGTTCGCTCAGGGACTAAACACCTGGTAACATATGCTGATGAACTCCGAGGCCCAAAGTTCAAGAAAGCAGAAAAAAGGCACTGCAGGCCATGGCCCACTAGGGGTATTGCACCACTGAGTTTAGTTGATATTGTGATAAATGTGTAAATTTTTTCATGGAACATCTGAATGTTAATTTTTTTCCTTAGTTGGTAACCAACTGTTTTTTTTTTTTTTTAATATATTTTTTATCTTTCACAGGAGGATTCCTCTGTACGAGAAAATATATTTATTTTTTATAATGATCACTGGAATAATCGGAGGTTGCATATCAACTTATTCGGCTATTACGGATATCGCACAAGCAAAATCCTTCAATCCACCTTGCTATGTGAACATAACTGCGGCTGGAAATCAGTTATAGCATTTCTGCACATCTGAAACATGAGCTAAACAAAACTGTGATAGCTCTTCATCAGGTGCTACAGATCAACAAGGCAGCAACAAATTTTGCCACTGTTGTTCTTATGTGCTTGAAATATAGTAAATTAATTTATTCGTTATATGTTCTTATTATTCGTGTATGTTCTCATCAGAAGAAATTGTCTTTTACATTCTTTTAACCATGAACATTTTCTAAATGTGGAATTTTTATTTTGCAGTTATTACTGTTTATTCATATGATGCCCATTATGAGTGCTAAGAATGATATTATTGTTTATCTTCCATCAATGTTATGTTTAAACTTCAAATGATTACTGCTAGAGTCAATAACAGAAAACTTCTGAGATAGTCAAATGGTTTAATATTAATTTTCAAAAAGGAGGGTTATGATATTTATGTACGTACACGCCTCCTTACTTAATTCAAAAACTAATAAACACCACATGTGTTTTTATGAAAATTCTTAGCTCCTGAACTATTTTAAAACTGTTAGTATATTTTATTTATATTAAAGCTATATTTACGAAGCACAAATTTATTTGTTTGGAATAAAAATGCACTTAGATTTCAGATATGTAATTGCCTACTGCTGAAGATACGCTTACTCTACAAAGCAAAGCATTTTATTGGTCAGAAATGCGAAAAAACACGATATAAATATGTGTATTCGAAAACAAATACAACATCTGCTGCTGCAATAACCCATGTAGAGTTTTTAGAAGGCAATAGCAGCACTTTAAATTGTCTGTGTAAGATTTGCATCTGTGCTTTATCCATACAGATACAGAAGAAAAATAGTAATTTGAAATATATAAAAAATACCCGGAATTTTCAAATCCTGAGAAAGGGAATTTTCTCAAGTCTTTCTTTCCTATGAAATTCGAGAAACTTGGACAGAAAGAGAACTAAAATGTTTGCACCAAAAACTGGTCAGCCGGTCAGTTGGGATTTTAGCATCTCGGCTGTTTAACCCGCCGTTGTTCAACTTCATTCTGTCGGATCCGAGAGTCTTCTATCCCTATACCCCTACCATCAACCTCTGCAGAGAACTCTGAGTGCCCTTATGTCGCAAAGACATTATACACTAGCGAACATGTGTGTGTTTTCCAGGATTCGAATACCGTCCAAAGGGTATGGAAGAGGGTTCTCCACCGCCACACCAGCAGGATGGCAACGAGTTAATACTACATTTCAGATATATTAATCTCTCAACCGTCCAGGGCCGTTTCTAGCGATATTGCAGCTTGTAAAATTACGCGGGCGGCCAAAATCAGGGGCGGCCGGACTCTCGCGATGCCATGTCTAAATATTTTAACTTCATTAAATTTATTGTATGTACTTGTGTGATATGTAAGTACTTAGTGCGTATAAAAAAATTTATTAATCATTGAGCACTTTTTTTTTTTCATTTGGTGGGATGCAACTTTAGGAAAATACCCGGGCAGCCGATGACTTGGGAATATAGTCCATACGGTATAGTGGTTAGTGACCGTGACTGCTGTAACGATTGGCCCAGGTTCGAATCCCGTTAAAAGCATGGTTGTAACTGTCCGTCCCATCATAGGAGGCAATAGTAGTCACTTATTAGCTGCTTCCATAATGAAATGACCACCATGTTCAGCCTTTGCAGTGGCGCAATGCGAATGGCTATTAAATAAAGGGCCCGGCCATTCAAAAAAATAATCTCTCATTCAATAGATATAGATACCCTTTGTAGAGAGAAAATACCCTGCCCAGACAAAGTGCAGACACTGCCTGGCAAATCTGTCTTTTTAAGAAACTCGGTAATAATTTAGTCGGAAAATGAGTTGCACGTTTTAATACTTTAAAATTTCAGCTATAAGAAATGTGTGTTATTTTCTGAAGGCGAATTCTTATTTGGTGCTTTTTTGTACGAGATCTCGTGGAATTGATAAAACTTGAAAAAAAAATACATTAAGAAGATCAAAAGGAAGAGAAACATGTCAAAGTGAAATTTAAAATTAGGTAAAAAAAATTTAGGGTAGACTTTGAATAAAATTGCATCGATTAATTAAGTCTATGAACTCCTCACATTCTGTAAAAAGTTATTTACTTCTGAAGAAGGAGGAACTATATCTGATCACTCTCGATAGAAAAGTTTTATTCAAAATCGATAAAGTTTTATTCAAAGTCTATGTCAAACAAAAACTGTTTTCCTTCTTTTCTTGGACTTAATTGTCAATTGTATGTGTTAAGAAGAGTCACGAAAAGGAAATAATAAAGAAGTTTAATTCTTAAAAAATGTGTCTTTTTTGTATGTGTGTGTGTGTGTTTATTCTCTACATAAAATGCTCAAATATTATTTTCTTCCGCATCGTTTTCTTCTCACTTTCCATTCCCTAAGGGAATATTTTCTTTAATGTTGCCGCAGTGTTCTTCCTTTTAATAGGTCGGAAGATGAAAAATATATATATAGATTCTCTTTAATCCGGTAAAAGCCAAATTGTATACTTTAGAATAATATTGCTTCTAAGCTGGCCTTGAGTACTTTTACATGTTATATGGTTTTAATGTGAAGTTCGAAGAAGTTCGCTTGTATTTATTTAAACATAGACAAACAACATTTAACGCAAATATTTTAATTCAAATAGTATGGGAAAACGAACTCTATTGTAAACATAGTAACGAAGTTTTGAATGAATAATTTTACTTATGCACATTTTAGCACAATGGATGAGCGTATTATACGCGTACGTTTTTCAGCATATATTTTCATGGTTTTCAAGGATTTAATTAACTAAAACTGAAAATAAAGTTGATAATTACGTCAAAAATATCTTCTATTCAGTACATTAAAAATGTATGGAATAATTGCAATAAAGCTATTAAAATGACTTTTTTAAGTAAAATTTAGAAAACACTCATTACGAAGGTTGCTGATGAAATTGGTAAAAATGTTAAAGCTATTGATAAAGTATGTGAACAAGGGGAAAATAACTATAAAGAATCCCGAATATGAGAAAGAGTTCCACAAGAATTTTCTAGGAACTATTTTGCAATAAAGGTTACAAGATAAAAAAAAACAGTAAGACGAAGAGAGACTAGAAAGAGATAAAATAAGAGAAGAGGAATTAGAAAAAATGGCTGATAGAAACTCAGTGTAGATATACTAATGAAGTAGATCAAGAAAAGAACTTTAAATGGTGTCATTCTTATGACAAAAAAAAATTAATTCATAAATTAGATCCTATGGAAATAGACATTTGTATTTAATTATATTCCAAAGACAAGCTATAAAAGCAAATAAAGAAAAATCAGAATGGGTATATTAGTACTTGGTACTTTGTTAAAATGACTAGCATAAGCCTTTGGCGACAATTGCAATCTATAAGCTACAGACTGGGTAACTAGTTTTGTCCATTTATAACAACAAATAAAATTATGAAGATATCAAACACGGAATTACTATCTTCTTAGACAAGGTGTATTCGAAAAATAAGGTGAATATCCCTTTGGGTCAGCAATGGGAACTGTCCTACTAATGGCGACATACATGAGACATTCTTCCGTATGTCAGCTTATGCGAACGCGTCTTGAAATTTCTTGGACGATGTTGGTTCATGCTTCACTTCAACACTTCAAAAGTTCATGTTTCAACTTTTGTAAAATATTGCCTTACCTTTTCATGGAATTTTTCATTAGCGTATAATGAAGCAGAGAAACAATACGAAATTCTGCTTCAGATTTGGTTAAACTATAACAAAAATTCGGTAAAAATTATAAAAATTGTGTGTAGATGCAGCTGTAACTCGGCAGACAGTCCATAAGTAGTTTAAACATTTTTGGAAATGCTACAAAAACCATCGAAGAACATCGTTGTGGAAGATCAATGCGGACCAAAACGGCGACAAATGCTGAGAGATTTCGTGAAAAGGATCGGGGTTTGCTCATCCGAATGAGGCAGGAAAACCGGATATTGTTACTGAAGTCTTAGAACCAACTAATCTGCAATCTTCAATGGAAAGACGCAGATTTTCCAACATTTCCCATATCCAAGCTGATGTGACATAGAAACCAAAACCAGTGAATTATTCGTGAATTACTCAAGGGAGATCCGATCCACCTTGTCCCAGCGGGACCGTATGATTAAAAATAGGTCAACCCTCCTCCAAACCAAAACGATGGCAACCAGAGACCCGGGATTCCTCCTCTCATTAGCTGAGCAAAACGAAAAATTAATTTAAAAGCCAACTAAACCACACATTAAAACCGGGTCCCCAAAGCCCGAGCCCGGTACACAAAATTTAATAAAAGAAACCAAAAAGAACGTTAAAATATACAATCTCATCCACTTTCACTTACTCTAAAAATCATGCTGATTAAAACATCACAAAAAACATGAAATAACTAACCAAAAATAAAAGAAGGGTTAGTTAGAGCAAACTAAGATAAGAAAATGACACAAAAACACAAACAAACACTTACGCAATCAAACAATCACAGACAAAAACACAGAGGCAGTTTCTGTCCATAATAAACTCGCTTTCAAACCATAAAACAACATAAATAACTAGCACCTCAACGGTTCTTGTGGAATTCCCAAAAGAAAAAGAACCTGCAGAAGGTCACACCAAGGCCGCGCGTAGTAGTATGTGTTCGATAGTTTAAAATGCAATAGAAACTTATAATTGACAGCAATATTAATTTTAACTTTTCTACTTAAAGACCCGGTTAGAGCAGAACAAAATAACTACACAAAAGTAAAATAAAATCCTCAGCTCGCAAATGATTGTTAAATTGATAAAATTATCTTAAAAACATATAAAATCATTTAAAAGCCTAAAATTCAATTAAAATATCTAGACTATGATCTATGATATTATTACAGTGTGCTTAAACTGTAAATATGTGCTGTGAACATATGTTTAAATTAATAAAAAGAACAACAATAATTAAATACATACACATGACTAATAATTAAAGGAAAAAAATAGACAAAATAATTGAATTTAAAAACATAATTTAAAAACTAATACACCGAATGTCATTCTATTATTATATATAAGAATTGCATATTAGAGAATCTTTTTAAAGTTTCATACTTAATGGTTTATCACCAAAGCCTTCGATTCTCAAATCCTTTAACAAAGGACAGTGATTGAGGAAATGCTGCATTCCCAAACATGACAAACAAACAAATCTGTATTTTGCAAACTAAACCTAGAGAGGTCCGGGGGGAAACAGCCATGTCAAAGAACTGATTCAGATCTATGTCGCTAATCGGCTTCATTTCGTTTTATTTTAATATGCCAATAACCCGCGCCCTCTCAGGCTCCTTCCATTGTAATGTCCAGATATTCAATAAAAACTTTCATATTTCTAATGGATAGCTTCTCGACCGGACGTCTCAAAGATTTCAACTCCTTCATCAAAATGGCTTGTTTGCAGCACGTCGGCTCTTTCATTTCCGGTAAAATCAACATGGGCCTTTTACCCAATGTATAAACATCCATGCGTTGTTTCAAACATTTTCAAGTACTTAATTTCAAAAATTAGAACATTGGCTGTACGGGCCCAGGACAGAGACTGCAGCATAGACATACAATCAGATTAAATATGCACAGTATTTACACAGGTCAAATTACTCTTAATCCATTGTAAAGTCTTAAGGAGCGCACAACATATTCCGCTTGAAAAACAGAATTGTAACTATTCAACCTGTACATTTTATTTACAATTTAGACACCAAAAATGTAAATTACAAAAGCTGCACCAAATTGAACGTCCTGTCTCGACCCGTTAGTGTATACGTCTACACTGGTGTGCAAAAATTAAGTCGAAAAATTAGCATATCAGCTGAACGAAGAGGCAGAGCGGACAGAAAGGCCAATCAGGAGATTAAGTAAGGTGATGTTAGCACATGCGCAGATATGCAGGTAGACGTAATGGGGGAGTGTCTGAGTAGTATAAAGCATGTTGTCGGTGTAAGATCAGTATTTCTGGCAAAGAGATTGCACGCCGTATAGCAGTTAAAATCACACCGAGTTCCTGCCTCAGCGAGAAATGGCGAATAATCAATCTGTTAGACGACATCTGGATGCTTTTACCCGAGGTCGAATCATTGGGAAGTTGGAGGAAGGCCGCAGTGTGACAAGTGTGGCTGCAGAGTTCGGAATTGCTCACAGCATCTTTTCAAGACTTTGGAGACAATTTCAAACTACAGGAACAGCTATCCGGGGGTTTAGTAGTGCTCGTCCACGATGAACACACCCGCAGATGACCGGTATATTGCCTTACAGGACAGAAGGAAACAGGCGGCAGACAGCGGGAGAAATCGCTAGACACACGACACAGGCGACTGGACGACCGATATCGCGTTTTACCGTGGCCAGAAGACTGCACGGTGGTGGTCTGTTTGCACGACGCCCTGTACGGTGTGTATCTCTAACGCCTGCCCATCGGAGAAGGCGTTCTCTGTGGTGCCGGGAACACCGGAATTGGACAGATAATGAATGGGGACGAGTACTCTTTACAGATGAGAGCAGATTCAGTCTGAGTAGCGATTCTCATCGCATACTCATCTGGAGAGAGCGGGGAAGCCGCAATCCTCCATCGAACATCATTGAAAGGGACAGGTATGGAGGTGGCGGTGTTCTCGTTTGGGGAGGCATCATGCTTGGTAGTCGTACAGACCTTCACATCTTCGACGCAGGTTCAGTCAACGGGACCCGTTATTGTAACGAGATTCTTCTTCCATATGTGCGTCTTTTTAGAGGCGCTATGGGTCCGCAGTTCCTTTTCATGGACGACAATGCACCATGTCGTCGCACAGTAGCTGCACCATGTCATCGCACAGCTCTGCTCTTACAGAGTGAGGATATTGAACGTATGGATTGGCCGGCACGATCTCCGGATCTCAATCCCATCGAGCATGTATGGGATTTTCTAGGCAGCCGCTTGGCAGCTCGTACCTTACCACCAGTAACGATTCCGGAGCTTCGGTTGGCGCTGCAAGACGAATGGGCAGCAATGCCTCAAAAACTCATTGACACCCTCATTCTCAGCATGGGCAGACGCTGTGAAACCCGCCTAGCAGTCAGGGGAGATCATATCCCCTATTAAAGACCGGATGTTTCTTGCTGGACACCCATCACAGGGATGTTTCGGCCTTCAGTCGCATTGCGCTCCATGCTGCTTTTTCAATAAAGCTTCTTTTTATCCCTCTGATTTCTCTTTTAGTAAGTGTTACTTACATTACTCATATCCTTACGTATTGGGGATCTTACGGTATTAAATGTATTGATTTGGAAAGCTTTTGTACAAAGTTATATTGAAAAAAACCGTCTCGACCTTAATTTTTGCACACCAGTGTATTTCTCCTATTACAGGAAGAACACAATCAAAGCAAAAGGTACAATACTCTGAGGGATGTAGAAAATCTGTAAAAAATCTCACAAACTTATGTTTTGTAATTAAAATGTCATTATAAAGTTTAAAATCCATTCTCTGAGTTCTAAATAAAAATTTCTCGTAATGAAATTTATACATAATATAAAGAGGCGACGTGCCGGCAAGAACACAGAGCACCTCAGTCGACACTGTGCGAAAGCATCTTGTGATTGCTAGGCACCCACTCCTTTGTATTGAGTTTGCTCCTTAGTCTAATCAACGTTCCCCCGCTCTGGAACCCCATGCACCCAATTCCATAAAGTATCTTTTGGAATTATAACACAGTTTAGTATATCCTTTAACAACTTGAGCCTTTGTAATAGAGGGTATCACCGGAGAACGATCACTTATAATACATTAATATATCGTCAGGAACGTTGGTGAACTGTTCGAAAGTGTTCTGCAAAAGTAAGCTTTACAGTCTAGTAATAACTTGCCTAGGTATTTGAATGGCGTCTGTAAACTTTGACTTCTCTTCGACCATGGTATCTATAATCGCGGTGGCCGCACCTTACTTCCGCCACGCGGGAACAAAATCGCAAGAGGTCTTGGCTATATTAAAATCCATTCCCTCACTCGATCCTTCCAATCTTCCAGCGGTTTCATAACATGTTTCAAACAAAACGCTCAAGCTTTTACCAAAGAATCTTCGCTTCATTAAGAATTGCCAAAGTCATCTGCGTAACTAATAAACTTTATATCATCGGGGAATTCTAAAATTAGAACTTTGTTCAATATAATGTTCCAGAGTAGGGGGTAAGTACTGCAGGAGCCCTGGGGACATCCCATTGTGAATATCTAATTCAACTCTTGCGCATCTTCACTTTTGAAGGCGTTTGTAAATGATTTTTCGATTACTGAAATAACTCATATAACTTTGCACCAAATTTTTAGGGGCCTTTAGCCAGATCAAAGTTTGTAAGATTGAAGTCCAGTGTATAGAGTCAAAGGTCGACGAAACGTCCAAAGACAGCAAAAACTGTCTGTCTGTTAAGTTAAACTAAATCATCAGTTTGTTGGGGATTACTTAAGGTACCAGCTCTTTTAACTTTTTTGGAAGCAATCCTATGAAAGCCATCCTAATAATGTATATTGTTAACGAAAAACTTCTTTTTAGTCTCAAACTTAGTCTTTCTTATCGGCAGCCATTTCATTATAAAAGCACCTAACAGGTCGCCATCGTTGCCTTCTATGAAGGCACGGACAGTTACAACCAAACCCGTGCCCATCGTTATGGCAGTCAGGGTCAATAACCACTATACCAACTGGGCGGTAGTAACTTATAGACGGCTAATTCTTTCTTGTAAATAATTTTTCTTTCAGTTCTAATACTATCCATCAAACCTGTATGGAACCAGTATGGAAATTCCTCCAAGTGTTTCTCCAACCAATTATACGGATATTGTCAGAAGTGGATTGTATCAGAGAGGGGTGCCTTTTGAAGGTCAAACAAGCATTCCTTTTCAAATGTTTCATATTATCATTGACTTTTCGATCGCATCTTACATGCATGTGGCTGAAATGAGTAGAATTATCATACCGGTATTAAGGGTATAATTTTAATTTGTAAGAAATGTATTGCTTCCAAAATATTGATAGGAAGAAATGTGTGGATATAGTATCCCTTTGATTTAGTATGAAAATGTTCACCTTCAGCTGAAGGTGAATTAAAACTGTAACTAAGTGAGTCGTTATTAGTAACTTTTCGATCGCAAGTAATATCTTCTTCAAAATCTTGCTGCTGAAATGACGCCTGAAGGAACGAAAAATATCATTTCTTATACAAAATTGCTTAAGTGTCTTTCTCACTAGTTGACAAAATGAAAATTGGAAGAAGGAGATTACATCAAGAATGTGTGCAAAACAACTACGTATTTAAAAGGAACAAAATTCCAAAAGCTAAAAATGATTCACAGAACAGATTTTTACCTCGTCTAAAATAATGAACTTGTAAAACAGAAAACGGGTAAATCAAGAATCCAGCAGAATTTATTAGTTTTCCCCCATGAATATTGAGAACATTTTAAATACTTTGCCATGAAAGAACAAATGCATATTTAGGACAGACTAAAACGAAACACAGTTTCATCAGAAATTTCTTTTACTCAAACTGCTTTTAAAAAATAAAAATATTTGTGAAAACTTGCCATTGCCTCCAGAAAGCAGTAAAATCAAACTATAAAAAGAAAGATCTATGAGTTGGATCTGTTGCATTATCACCTCATTGATAACTTGACATTTTTTAATGGCCGCGCTTTATTTAATAAACATTAGCCTTGCGCTACTACAAGGACTTTAAGCGGCAGCCATTTCATTATAAAAGCACCTAACAGGTCGCCATCGTTGCCTTCTATGAAGGCACGGACAGTTACAACCAAACCCGTGCCCATCGTTATGGCAGTCAGGGTCAATAACCACTATACCAGCTGGGCGGTAGTAACTTGACGCAGTAGCCAAGATTTTCGAGTATCTATGGATAGAATTCATATTTCAAGATCAAATTTAAGAAAAGCGAAAAACATTCTCTACCTTCAGTTAGTCATCACATACCCGTTTCTCATTAATAATTTCCCTTGGCCCTAGAAACATGTCATCATATCATTGTAAAAGCTATGTTAGTTCTAGAGCAACGTCCTCAACCACAAAAGAAAAAAATTCTGACCGAATACAGAAAGCTTTCTTCCAAATATGATCCTTTACGTTAGTTTTCCTCAACCACCTTCTGATTCTTGCTCCATTCTTAGAGAGACATTTATTTTCAAGATGGGAAGAAATTTTATAAGGTTCACTAGTTCATGGAATGTCACATTCTAGGCACCATCGAAGTCAAACCATGCCATCTACTAACAAGCAGTATGATTGGTCATATGAAGCTCGCAGTTGGATTATAACTGGCCTACCAGTAGTCAAACTAGGCTGTGATTCATGTTAAAATCATGCCGTAAAAATTTCATATGATAATATGTATAATGAAGGGTATAGAAACAGCCAGCCCCGATAAATGCTAGTAATAACAATGCTAGTAATAATAATTTAGATCTAGGATTATATGAAAGCCTCACTTCAATTCTGGAACCAAATCAGCCTGCGCCTCAAATAAGGCAATCCTGTATAAGAACTTGAAGAAAAAAACGTCAATATCTGTCGCAGTTCTGCGAGAATACTTCCCAGAACTTCGGCACTGTGTGAATTTGTTAGATGTTAGGTCAAAGGTAATGTAAGCAAAGTTAGTAAAGGATAGCTTCCAATTTTCAGCACAGAAGAAATTAAACAAGCTTCAAGAGAATTAATAAAGAATGCACATTAGAGGCTTATATTTGGAAGTAGCTTATATAATTTTTTACATCTAGCGGAAGAAGTTAAAAACAGTGGACTGGTACTCAACACAGATCTCGTACTCAACATATCTTTAAAATTTTCAACTGGACTTTCTTAATTTAATTAGAAGAAATTCATTACAAATCAAAAGCACTAGTTTAAAATAATATAAAAATATTTGATCTGTGAGGGTTTATTTATTTATTTTATTGATTATTATTTTTACTATTATTTGACTAGCAGTTAATTTTAGTGAAAATTACTTTCTTTTCACTCTGCTTTTCACCCACTCTTTCCAGGCCAGAATATAAATTAGATAGCGCGCGTTCAGCTTAAGGGAGAAAAAGCGCTATTTAAACGTAGGTTTCGAAACACCATCTCGAGTTCCATTCTACTTGAAGCGCCCACAAAGGCATTTACATCTCGATTGTCGGATAAAAGCATGCGAACCGCATATTATTCTCAGCTAACATTCTCAGCTTCTTATATTGCTGGCAAATTTCAGAAGCATTCCATTTAAAATTAAGGCCCAAAATATTACGATTTATTTATAAAAATCAACAGAAAGAAAGCATACGAAAATGGCGACGTTGCTTGACTGAAGGATTGTTATGAGCATGGTTATTTATAGAATGGTTATATTCATGTCTGTTTGCCACATCCTGAATATTTTGCGGCTTCCACTAAGGTGATTACGATAACACGTAAATACTGCGATCCATTGCAAAACCTTACCACCGACACGTTAAACCGCTCCAGTTCAAACGTTTTGTGAAAATTATAATCTTATTTTGGGAACTAAAACAAAACTCAACAACATTTAATCGTTTCATAACATACGTACAAAAAAAAGAGAAAGAAAAATTAATTTTATTCTGGAATGTTATCATTGTGGATTATAATCTTCCCACAATGCCTTCAATTTTTTTAAGTGCCAGTTCATTTAGTTGTCATCATTAGAAGATGTGACAGTTCCAAGTACTTAAAGCTGCATTAAGATGAAACTTTCACAGTAGTAAATGCTTAAAGTCATTCAACGAAAATTTGACCTTAAACTAAACGGTGTTAGGTGCACTTTAAAACGAAGAGAAAACACTTTTTTTCCCCTCATTTCAGAGCGATGATTTCGCAAGTTGTTCAGAAGTTAAACAATTTCGGTCAGGAAATATCCGGCATGTTCTGTTATAGTTCCAATGTATCCAAAGCATGATGTTGTGTGAGGTGCATTCGTGAGTATCCTTACAATTGCCAAGTAAGAGCAAGCGAGGATGCTTATGACTCCAATGACAAGAACTTCAATCAACAAAATCCACTCTTTTTTACTTATTCTCCTGAAATAAATAAATAAATGATAAAAAATTTGAAAGCTTTCGGATCTTATATCACCCCTAAAGGGGAGTTTTTTTCATTTACATACACATATTCATTTCGAGCTAATATTCTTTTGAGCTAAAAATATTTAAAAATAGCCTATCTTTAGAATTTCTTATAGACAGTCTCGCGCGCTGAAGATACAAATGTTCCCCCCGACAGTGTTGCCATTGCTCGCTTTAAAATCGTTGAGTTTGTTAATAAAAAAATCGTTAAAGATTTAGAAAAAATGAAACAGACAGTAAAACAAATTCCATATTCTACTTCCAGGTGCTCATATTCGGGTAAAGGAGGATTCTGCGCTGTTCAAAAAATGGCTGTAGGGTACTGTTGTTTTTTCACAATGCGAGAAACATATACATACATTCATGAAGATTCTTCATTGTTTAATTTCTTTAAATATAATACAGGGCAATAGTATTTGGTGGCAACAATTTGAAAAGTGGTTCAGCGCTTTTAGTGATTCAATGGAAAATGACGTTTCGAGACTAATACCCTTCTGGGCTAACCCCTCTTTGGGCTAAAAAAATGTTCTTTTGCGACATTAGCAATATTACTATAGTATACGGAATTTCTTTATTTAAATATTTTAATAGATTATTAGATTTAAATTTAACTGTTCTGTATTCAGACAATTAGAGTTCGGATCAAGTATGTGAAATAAGATATACAAATAATCAGAAAAATATTTTTAAAATATATCGCCCAACATTAAGCTGTCTGTTTATATGAAATGTAACATAAATCAAGTCAAAATACTTTTAATAACCTTTTAGAGGTAAGAAATTAGCTCACTTGATAACTTATTATGAATATACATATATCATGAGCATTAAGACAAAATCCTCTAATCTGTAAAATCATCATTTTAAGGAAAACATGGCATATGCTTACTTTGAGAAAAATCGAATTGACACTTCTACACAGACATTACAAACACTCTTCTTTTTAGCCCAAAAGACGTTAGCCGAGGAGAGTTATTAATCTCGTTTTGGCATTTTGTGTCGAAAAATATAAAAGTATGAATCACTTTTCATATTGTTGCCACCAAATACTATCGCCCTGTATTATATTTAAAGAAACTAAATAATGAAGAATCTGCATGAAAGTATGCATGTTTCTCCCACTTTGCAAAAACAACGGCATCTAGAGCCATCAAATTTTGAATAACGTACGTCTTCACCCGAATATGGGCATCTGGAAGCCCAAATTTGGAATTTGTTTTATTATCTGTTTCATATTTTATAAAGCATTTATGAGTTTTTTATAAAGAAACTCAACGATTTCAAAACAGACGAGAGCAACACTATAACTGAAAAAAGATTATCTCCAGCGCGAGAGACTTTGTATCGAAAATTCTAAAGATATGCTCCTTTAAATACTTTTGGATATTGCTATTGAACTGAATTTTATGGTTTAAGTGCGAAGAAAATTATATTTAACAAATAAAGGTAACACACAAAACGTTAAAAAACGCACCTTTGGGCGTAATATAAAACCTGAAAGTATTCAGATTTTTTATTATTGTCTTAATTTTTTAACGTAGTGTGATTATGAAAAATACAGCCTACAAAGTTCATACAAGCAACAAAGAACAGTAGAAATTAACATTCGATATTCGTGGCTTAGGCCTAAATTATTTCGGTATTACTTGCATGCTGGCAACATGTCTGCCCCATTAATGCATTTTTAATAGTGATAAAGCATGACATTAGAAAAGCAAAATACTCAAATTTTTAAGTATGTATGAAAACACCACATTATTAAAATATTAGTAAGTTTACTAAATGAGTACAACTCGCCATGTTCTCTATCCAAATTAACAAGTCTCTTCACTAGCAGCTAGTGAATTTTTAGAACTATTGAAAAGAATTATAACTTTTATATATTTCAAATATATCCGACTTTTTAATTTAAATTTATTGAACATATATCATTGAAATTCTTTCTGATCAGTGCTTAAACCAGAATTAATGAGTACTTTTTCTAACCTGAATGCTTCGCGTGAAGGCTTAAATTCCGCCAAAAATTTCAGAGCATCCGCTGCACCCGAATGCTTCGGGGTGAAGTTTAGAATCTGTTGAAAGTAAAGAATAAGAAGTAAAGCTGTCAGAAAATTCTCACTGAAAATGGTTTCAGTCTCAGACTTTAATACCACAGGATCAAAAATAGCTGTCTTCAAGTGAATATTTTTTCTCTCCATCTTAGCGACATTCTAAATATGAATGCTTCCACTCGTAGTCAGCTTTACAAGGAGGTAAGAGAATGAATTGATATGACTTCATTCTGTGTTTTTGTAATTAAACGCTCAAAAATTAAAAACATTTTTTTTTTAATCTGAACGTTTTCATAATTTACATAACGCCCAAAGAGACTTTTTTTAACGTTTTGTGTGTTACTTTATTTATTAAATATCATGTTCCTCGCGCTTAAACCATAAAATTCAATTCAACGACAATATCGCAAAATAATTTTAAAATAAGCATATCTTTAGAATTTCCGACACACACTCTCGCGCGCTGAGATAAAAATGTCTTTTTTTTTCCTACAGTGTTGCCATTGCTCGCTTTGAAATCATTGAATTTGTTAATCAAAAATTCGTTAAAGTGTTACGAAATATGAATCGATAATAAAACAAATTCCAAATTACGGCGTCCAGGTGCCCATATTCGGTGGAGGGTTACGTTATTCAAAATATTATGGCTGTAGGTACCGTTGTTTTATGGCAGTGCGAGAAACATACATACATTCTTGCAGATTCTTCATTATTGAATTTCTTTAAATATAACACAAGGCAATAATATCTGGTGGCAACAATTTCAAATGTGAAACGGACATTTAAAATTTTCAACGCAAAATGCCAAAACGAAATTAATAGCTCTTCTGGGCTAACGCCTTTTGGGCTAAAAACATTTGAAAACATACTTTCTTCAGCGAATTAAAAATTGTAAAATAAGAAGGAATTGGTCAAAGTTTTTATTAAATTTTTATCAGGTTTTTCATGAGGTAAGAAATATTTTGATATTTAGAAATCCACTAAAATCGAAGTACTCGATAGTCTAGCAAAATTAAAAATCTGAAGAGATGCTGTAACAGGATAAAGATGATAAAGATATTTTATTTGAAAAAATATTATATCATAAAGAAATAAACGAGATTCTCGCATGAATGTTGTCCATTCTTTTTCTTATTTTTACTCACATCCCATTTTATACAAAAACATATTAGACGGATATAATCCAAGTGTAATTATTCCGAGACAAAGAAAATAATAAAATAACCCAGTAAGCAAGATATCCGTTACATTCCAGAATTATACGTCAACATTGTGTCTTATATGTCGATACTCATTTTTTGATTGCATTCATTTTTGGAAATTTCTTTGGCTAAAGGATTTTTTATACACTGCTTAAAGGAGTATTTATACATGTTCACGCAAAAAGCTGGATGGATGGAGGAGGAAGGAAGTTATGGATAAGTAAAATTTGGTCGAGGCGCCCTGGCGGACTGTTGAAGAAACCGGGCTTAGTAGTATGGGATCTGTTTCATTCTCACAGAACAGAAGGTGTTAAAAATAAACTCAAAGAATTGAAAACTCAGTTAGCTATAATTCCAGGAGGCCTAACAAGTCAGCTTCAACTTTTAGATGGCTGCATTAATAAACCATTTAAGGGATTTATGAAGGAGAAGTGGAACAGCTCGATGCAGTCTTCAAATTTTGAGGTTTTATCACAGGGAAGAAGAAAGAGACCTAGCATCTCGTAAGTTTGTGAATGGGTCAAAACTTCATGGGATGCTGTGAAAACAGAGGAAAGTGGTTAAATCATTTTAAAAACATGGTTTTAGCAGTGTGCTGGATGGAACAGAGAGACAATTTGTTGTATGAAGACTCAGATGCTGATTTAGAAGAGGTTTCAAGTGACCCTCATTTAGCTCTGGAGATGAGTGTCCGGGTGTTGATGAAGGAGATTAAAAAGTGTTCTTTCTCAGATAGATTGGGTATTTGCAGAAAGTATTACTTTGTATTTGTATATTTAAAATACTGTAAATTTATTATAATGATCAGTAATAAAGTTTTATCCTTCAGAAATGTGTATATAAAAGGAGGTGCCTCTTATAGGCCGGTGCGCCCGCAAATATGGTAACTAGCCTAGAATTTGTTCCCTTTCAAAATGAAAACTTACCTTCTTGGATGCTTTGGATCATTCTGAAACGCGAGAGATATATAAAAGACAGGCGGAAAGACATAGGTCAAGAGATTCGTTGTTATAGCGGCCATCAGCTCTATAATTCTCCTGAAGTATGGAATACTAAATGTCACCATGAAGATGATGAATATTAAACCTCCTCTAAATGCACACCTCTTGCATCCAAATGCTGCGAATACATAAAACAAGAACTGCTTCAAAAGTACTGAAAAAGAAATCAATTTAACATATACGTTAATAAACCACAGTTAAATGTTTCATTAATGGCCTACCATTTTACTTTTATTTAGTTCTCACTTAAAGTGTCAGAGTTTTTTTCTTAACATCAAAATTGCAGAAAATAATAAGCGTGAAGATTTGTTATCCGCTGTTCATGCCCATTGCGATTTCTATTAAAAATTAAATATTTGTTTATTTATGTATTTATTTTGTAGAGTCATTCGGTTTATTGGGTGCAGGAGAGGTGAAAAATGTGCAATGACTTCGCCCAAAACTGGACCTCTCGAATAGGCGCCGAGTGTGCTACCGTTATACCAGGAAGGCGTGCAGAAAGGAGGGAGAAAATATCTTATACACTCCTCCTTTTAAAGAGCGACAAGGGATTAGGGGACACATTCGCTAAATCTTGGTGGTGAAGAATCATCATCAACCACCTTTTAGTTCGGGCTATATTGTAGAGTCATTTGGCTATTTTGAAGCTGAAGACAAAAATGAGCAATGCCCTCACCGGGACTCGAACCTGGACCTCTCAAATACGCGCCGAGTGTGCTACCGTGACACCACGAAGGCATGCTGAAAGGAGGCAGAAAATACCTTATAATTTTTTTTTTTTTTTTTTGAACACATACAATCTCCTGTGCGCTACAAATGCACAACACGGCGCTTTCGATTAAAACATTAAATATTACGTGCATAAATAAAACAATCAAAAGCAGGTAAGTTCATAAGTTCACTGGCCAAGTCACGCGAAGCTGTTTTAAAGCGTTCTGCACTGTTTATATTTAAAACAGAACGGGAAAACAAAATAATGGACCTTATCAGACAAATCGAATAAACGCATGATTTTTTACAATAACACTCTTTTCACTTCACTATAAAAAAAATCAAACAACAAATTGTTTTGCCAAGTAACAATCTATTATTTGAATACTGGAAAGAGCATAGCTGCGTAATGTTCTTGGGAAGTGTTTTAATCTTACATTGAAAACGATAACGACAAATATACTATGACTTCTTCGGTCTTTGCAAATTATTGAAATTTATTAGTGCAGTAAGTAATACAAAGACTTTGAAAACATTCTGCATTATGTACTTCGGCTTTAATATTTCGCTCTTCACATTATCTGGTATGCTTTTTTTTTTTTTTTTCAAAATTATCTAAATTATTCAAGGAGGAATTTATCCATGCCTCGATTAAACCACACCATAATAATAAATTAAATCAACAGAACATGAACGCGAAAGTTTTCTGTACAACAACACACAGACTGTTTCAAATTAATCCTCAAAACGTAGAAAAGAAATGCCAAAGCAGCACTCTTTTTCCCAAAACGAATTATAAAGCTAATTTAAAATGGATTCAGAAGAGATTTTTTTGTGGCGTCTCTACGTGTGTACATACGTGCGTACGTATTCATTTATCCCGCATAACTCAAAAACGAGTACCCTTAGAACATTGAAATTTTGTATATAGGACTTCTATACTATGCAGTTGTGCACATCCCTTTTAGATTGCAATCGACCGCACCAAAAGTATATATAGATATCCCACTCTGATACTCGGCACAGTGAGCTAATTTTATTTTATTCTTATATGTTGGTGAATTGCGCATTTTTTTTGCTTTAAAAATGATTTAATTATTTGTTCTTGTCTTTTGGTTAAGGTTTTTATGTCTTTAGTTAATCTGCTTGCAATAGTTATAGAATTATGAACAATTTAAAAGTTGTTTAAGTGCCACTAAGCCTAATTTTTGTTTACCATAGCAGCCATATTTGCTTACTTTCAAACTTACCAGAATAGTGAATTCAGTTTCTGCACCTTCAGTGTCCTATTTTCCGAATGGAACCAAAATTAAAATGTCATTTTTATGCACCGAAATGCTGGCCGAGTTGCTTGTTTTGAGTTGAAACTCTAATTTTAATTTTAATTTTTTTTTTTTTTTTTAATTTTTAACTGTTTTGGTGGGTTTTTTCCCCTATGTTTCTCAATATTGAATGAAGATATTTTTAATTTTTATGTACTTTTGCCCTGTCGCGAACTAGGAACAGAATGAATTTAATGAGAAATATATCTTTAATGAATCGAGGAAATAAGTTTAAATGAAATGCAGCAAAGAGTGCGTATAAATTAATATTTCGTATAAGGAAGTCATGTGGTGTACACATCAGATTTTTAATTTCAATGTTTGTCGGGAAAAATGACCTTTCTTTCTTAAGCTACAAGTCATTGGAGAAAATGGATACAGAGTGTAACTCACTTTTTGGTAAGCTTAAGAGATTTTCCCAATTCTGAGCTATTGGGTTGAAAGTAATTACGAAAGTTGTGAAGAGCTGCACATTGAATATAATCCTCAAGCCATGCGCCAGTAAGGTCAGATCCGAATTCCGAGCAACGTTGTGAATGATAACAGAGAAAGTACTAATTCCATAAGCAGCGTATCCAATAACTGCCAGTGGCACGTACAGGACGAAAACAACTGGGGAAAAAAAAAAGTTCTGCAATTAATGATTAAAATAAATTGTTCTTGTCGTGTTGTAAAATCATCTTCATTATCTTAAGTAAGAAAATTCTGGAGCCCAGTTTCAATTGTTCCTTTTTCACCACACTCTCTATATTTGCATTATAAATCTTTAGAAGATGTTATTCTCTAAGTATTAACGAAAATCTATCGGAAAAATATAGCATTTATTCTACATGTACGTTTCACCTTATGTGATGAATTTAAAACTTTCAAATGGAATAATAAACACGTGAAATGTATTGCAATCTTTTATTTCAAAGTGAACTGGTTTACAGTTAATTTCATCTTGCGCCCTAAGCATATCTTTTTACTTCCTTGTACGAAGTAAAAAGGAAATATTGTAATCGCGCACATTTTCAGGCATCATAGTTCAACGAAAATATCTATTTTGACCCCTATCGAATGCAATTTAACGATGTTTTTGCGTGACATCTGTACGTAAGGACAGAATAAAAGACTTTCCCCCCCCCCCAAAAAAAAAAATTATAAAACTGATTTAAAATGAATTCTGAAGAGAATTTTTCGTGGCGTCTGTGCGTACGTGTATCTCACATAACTCAAAAACGAATAGCCTCAGAACGTTGAAATTTTGTATATAGGACTACTATAACATATAGATGGGCACCTCGTATTTTGGTTGCAATCGGCCGCATTAAACTTATATAAGTATATGTATATATATATATATACATCCACTCTGTTAACCGGCTTAGTGCTCTTAGTTTCTGTACTCTTGTAAGTTGTGCATTTTTTGCTTTAAAAATGATTGAGTTATGTTATTCTTATCTTCCGGTTAAGGTTTTTATGCCTTTAGTAAATTTGCATGCAATATTTATGGTGTTATCAACAATTTAAAAGTTGTTTAAGTGCAGCTAAGGCGATGCACTTCACAGACGATTGAGTATTTCTAATTCAATTAATTCAGTTCTCACTTCGCAAGAAGGCAAAAATACATAAATTTCAAAATAACTATATTAAAAATATCTATATTAAAAATTACGAAGTAAATCTTAAACACTTCTTTCCTCGAAAAAATTCCAGAAAGAACTAAGCTAATTTTGCGATGGGGGACATGTTTCTTTACATTTTAAACTCGGCAAAATAGCGGATTTGATGCCGATCTAAAGAAACTAAGTTTCGCAATAACAAATATAATGCCTTTTTACTTCCTTGTACGAAGTAAAAAGGAAGTATTGTAATCGCGAAAAGTTTCAGGCAGCATATTTCAGCGAAAATATCCATTTTGACCGCTATCGAATGCAATCTAACGATGTTTTTACATGATATCTGTACGTAAGGACAGAATAAAAGACGCGTTTCCTCAAAAAAAAATTATAAAACTGCTTTAAAATTAATTCTGAAGAGAATTTTTCGTGGCGTCTGTACGAACGTACGTACGTACGTACGTATCTCGCATAACTCAAAAACGAGTAGCCTCAGAACGTTGAAATTTTGTATGTAGGACTGCTATAATATGTAGATGTGCACCTCGTATTTTGGTTGCAATCGGCCGCACCAAACGTATATAAATATATTTATATATATATCCACTCTGTTACCCGGCTCAGTCAGTGATCTCAGCTTTCTTTACTCGTATATGTTTGTAAATTGTACATTTTTTGCTTTAAAAATGATTGAATTATGTTTGTATTTATCATTCCGGTTAAGGTTTTTTATGCCTTTAGTAAATCTGTATGCAATATTTTAGAATTATCAACAATTATTAAGTTGTTTGAGTGCCGCTAAGCCTTTTTTTTGATGCGGGCCATTGCTTGTTTACATTTGAAACAGCAGACTTGTGGATTTTTGTTGCCAATCTAGAGAAAAACATAGCTTCGCAACAAACAAAGATAACGCCTTCATTTATTATTGCCAATTAAATCATGCTTAGTTCTTTCTGGAATTTTTTCGAGGAAAGTGTTTAAGATTTACTTCGTAATTTTTCAATATAGTTATTTTGAGATTTATGTATTTTTGCCTTCTTGCGAAGTGAGAACTGAATTAATTGAATTAAAAATACTCAATCGTCTGTGAAAAACTGTTTCTTTTTTGTTTTGTTTGCTTAATTTCTTTTATACTTTATTATAGTATTTGAATAGAACATGTGGCAACGATTAGATAATTCTATTCTTTAAATGATATAAATTTTGTGCATTATGAGTTATAATATGAACGAAATATAATACTGTTAAGTGAATCTAGCGCCAGAGTGTCGCTGCGGTAAACAAATACTAGGGTGAATTTTAAAGAATGCATTTATTCTATTGTGGTTTGTGCGATGTCGGCGAAGTAGATTAATTCAATCCAATAAGTTTAAATGAAATGCAAGAAAAAATTCATATAATTTAATATTCCGTACAAGGAAGTCATGTGGTGTACACATCAGATATTTTATTATTGCGAATTAAATGTGTAATCCGTTCTGGAATTTTTCAAGGAAATAAGTGTTTAAAATTTACTTCGTAATTTTTAATATAGATATTTTGAGTTTTTATGTATTTTTGTCTTTTCGAGAAGTGAGGACTGAGTTAATTGAATGAGAAATACTGAATCGTCTGTAAAAACTGTTTCTTTTTTGTTTTGTTTGCTTAATTTCTTTTATACATCGTTTTAGATGTATTATAGTATTTGAATAGAACATGTGGCAACGATTAGATAATTCTTCAAATGATATAAATTTATATGCATTCTGATTTATAATATGAAATAATATGAACATTCTGAGTTAAAAATGAGAAAAAATCATTATGAGGTAGTTTCTCTCTTGCGACGACTACCGCTCTTCCTAATTTTTGGTAAATATCATTTTTGCTTGTTTTCCTCGATATGGCCAGTAATAGCGAACCACCTGATAGGGGCAAAATTCCTTGACATGCTACTTTTAGCGCATATGATAGCGATAATTATTCTACTTATTCGAACTATTCAAGAAAATCGACTACATCCAAAGAGATGCCTGTAATTGCTTCAGATGACCCGGCACTTCAAAGTATAATTGCTACTCTAATTTCTACTAAAAATAGTAAATCCCTGAGAAAAGAAAAGAAAACCTCAGGAAGTCCTAAGAAAATAGCCGATAATACTAAGAAATTTCCAATCCTCCCCTTCAAATTTTGAAGCAGTAGTTAACAAACACAGAAAAGTTTTTCATAATTTAACAGATGCTATCTCGCAAGAATATCTTAATACTCAGCTTCCGACTAACTCAAAAGATCTCTCACTCAAATTAGGAAACGAAATCGCCGATAAATTAAACTGTATTGAGTCTGTGAAGACATTAGTTCAAAGTTACAAGAAGAAATTCAACAAATTCAGTACGGACAAAATCACAGATCCAATACCTGTAAATTTTAGCAAGCATCCAGAACACCCTGAAGCTCGCAAATTCTAAAACCGATGATAAAACAATAAATCAGAAGGATTGGCAAGACAGCGAAAAATTCCGAGTCTATCCCACCACCAGACATTCCGCAAAATAACGGATTTGAAACTCTTAACGAAAATTACGAAGCTATGGAAGTTACAGGATGAAACACAGACGACTACAACACAGAATAACGCAGAAAATAAAACGAAAATTCCCCCATTAGTCATTCCAGAAAATGATGTTGATTGGCCTGAAATAGACAAAATGCTCAGAGAAATGTGTAAAAACGAATTTGAAGTTACTATCAAAGCCAGACAGATTTTCCTTTACACTACCACCGAAGTCGATTGTAAAGCTACAGTTGATAAATTCCAGAAAGCACAGATTAGTTTTCATACGTACCAAATTTCCTCAGACCCTTCAATTAAAGTTATACTTAAGAATATCTCAAGATCCTACACCAAGCAAGCAATTCACATGCAGACTTAGAACGCAGAAGCTTCCCTATAATTAACTTAAAACAATTCACGAAAGAAAGCAGAAAACCAAATTATCCGTTTACCTATATTTTCCTTGAACTAAAAGAAAATTCTACAGAAGAGAAAATTCATCAATTTAAACAATTTGTTCGGATTCAATATCACAATAGAAAGATATCAGCCCAGGAAACGCCCAATTCAATGTTTTATTTGCCAGGAGTTCGGCCAATCCCAAAATAACTGCTTTAAAAAGGTCAGGTGTTGTAAGTGCGGACAAAAGCACAGATCCAATACCTGTAAATTAAAACCAGATCAAAAACCAACTTGCATTTACTCTCACAAAAATCACGTTTCTTCTTATCGTGATTGTAAGGTATACAGAAAAGGATTCAATCATTTAAAGAAGATAGAAAAACCACAAGAAATTCCCACTAAAGATGACTTCCCCGAATTCATTCAAGCTTCAGGCCAAACTAATCAAGAAATGCCTAAAAACCTTTACAGTGACAAAGTTAAGCAGAAAAACCCGCAGAAAAATTTAGCAGAAATCATTAACATTTTCAAAGATCAGAAAACCCTTTATCTCATTAAATCAATAACCACAATAGCTCAGAGAATTAAATCAGCTAAATCAAATATACAGAAACTTTGTCTAGCTTTACAGGCCATCGAGATTATTTTGAACTTTGCAGATCAAGATCAATTCGCAGCTTCTCTCAAGACAAGCATAGCCGAGCGGCAAAAATCCTCAAGCTGCAGATCCTCACATCGTGGAGCCACGTTTACTTCTCTTCTAGAGACTCTGCACTAGGTGCAAAAAGTACGTTCCGTCTTACTGGATTCAACTCATCATTAAAGACACCCTACTTATATTGGTAAAGGCCGCACTAGGCCTATTGCCTCTTAATTGTGTTACGACATAGACATATTACGACATATGTACAATATGAACGAAATGTAACGCTAGTAAGTGAAGCTAACTCCAGAGTGTAGCTGTGGTAAACAAATATAGTGAATTTTAAAGAGTGCATTTATTCTATTGTGGTTTATGCGCTATCGACGAAGTAGATTTAATTCGATCCAATACGTTTAAATGAAATGCAAGAAAA